AAACAAAAATCAGATTTTAAAATATTCTGCACTCGGATTTGTAACACACGTGTATCGGATTTCGCACATTGAATATCTGATCAACTTTAATAATTATGTGCCAAGTATTGAATTGTGTCACATAGAAGGTGTACTGCTACGAGAGTTGCGTCATATACATTTTCTTCTGGGACACTGCGATCAATTGTAAAAAGATGCGATCGCAACACTCGCAATAAGTTGTGTGCTTAATTGTTATTTTTGTAATGTTATTTATGTATAAAGAACACAGAATCAAGTTTTTTTGCAGCAACGTGAAATGTATCTTTTTTATAAAATGCCAAAATTCCACTGCGGTATATAAAAAATCATTAAAAAGCTTTTTTGAAAATTTCGACTTTAGTCGAAACACGACTAAAATCAAGTTGATCGATTATTGTTGGTAATAGATAGAAAAATATAGGAAATCTCCGTCTAGGAAAAAATTATTTAGAAATCTGCCACATTGATAACAGCTGTTACTCTCTATAGAAATTAGTTGAAAAATACTATTAAATGTGACATTGCATGTTTAGATTGTTAAATTTATTAAACGATTGCCTCCACTACTCCTTTAATAGAAAATGATAATCTCCCATAAATTCTAATAATAGCTAACACATAATCTATATCAGTACAAACTGTCATGTGATACTTACAATTAGTAAAATGAAAAATAATTGTGTTTAAAGTAAAACACTTCTTTTTATCCGATTAAAATACAAGTAAAGTTTAATATATAGCAATACATTAATAAATATATTCTCATGGCTGAAAAACTACAAACGTAGTCCATATATAATATATCTTTGTGCTAGTTATTAAAATAATTTTAGTTACATTGGGATACAACTATACCATTAATGTAAAAACATTAAACGTCATCAATATTTTTCTGCTAAATTAATTGAGAAAACTAAGTTAATTTTTCGTTAAATTTTATTCAAATTGAAGAATAAAGCCGACATTGCAATCCAGTATGTTGCACAAATAGTAAATTCAACATTTTTAATTAAATACGGGGAACTCGATAATAGGCGATATATAATGCGATGTATTTTGTTAAGTTTTTCTTTTTGTCTAATCGTAATTTCTTAAGCAAATTACTTTAATTTAAAAATATGAAAATATATGACAATGGAATAGCTGCTATCTCAAAATATCGATGGAAAAGTTTCATTTCAATTTCCGAGCTAAACAATAAAAATTAATTTTTATATAAATATATTATTATTGTGTTTTTTGTGTGTGTTTGTATCTTTGTATCTTTGTTTCTAATTTACTTAAAATTTTCATATTTTTCAGTTTTTTAATTTCTTTTTTGTTTCTTTACAGAAAACGCCTTCTTGTGCTCCTTTTTGAGTCTTTTCTTGAGTCCGTCTATTCATTTTGGATGACTCAATGTTAATATCACCAAAGACAACAATCGTACATTAGGTATGTTCTTTTGCACAAATACGCACCTGGCAATCTATTGGGATGTAGTGACGAATAAAATCCCGCACAGATGGCGATTCATCATCCCATCTCGATCTCTCTCATCCCTGCACGCACGTTAGTGCAGGCGCAATTAAGTACCGGCGTCGTCTCCTCGACGTCTTCTCGGTGAGATCGGATAACGGGTCTCGGATTAAATCAATGTTATCACAGTCCACGAATTCGACGCACGAGCACCGCGATGAAGCCGATTATTATCCCGATCGAACACACTCGCATTACGTACCGCACTCTTTGCCATCGCGTCTCGCGTCGCGAACGTTCATTCATTCATGCTTGGCCCATCGTCGGTGGTTTCCCGTGAGAGCGCACGTGGGTGCTTACTCTCCCCTCTCACGATCGAGGGGGGATATATCTCGTTTATATATCATAATATCACAATGGACGATTTTCTTGCGTTTGTCAATACTTGCTGACAATTTTTATGTGGTAATATAATCTTAGACTTAGAAATCACAGTCGCGAATTGATAGCAGATCCTCGTGCGCGCCTTCTCGCGCGATATTCGTCGCGATATCCTCGCCATATCTCCATCGCTCATCAGGCATACTTTTTGTTTTTGACGCGATCACCTTCGAGAAGGAAGGGGAGCCGATCGCAACGTTCTTTATCTCTTTCCCTCGATTTCTCTCTTTATCACTCGTCGTTAACGGCGATGATCCGTGCGGCGATCAACCAACAGGCGTTTCTGCGCTTCGATCGATTTCCGCGTCGATTGTTTATCCTCTTCATCTACTGCGATTGCTGCGGACGGATTGCTGCATCTTCCTCTCACCTCTAACAAGCCCGATCACCGATCCCGGCCTCCGACTCGGCGGCGTTATCGATCATCCTTGCGCGTGTGTTTCCTGGTCCCTCCCCCCTCCCCCTCCCCCCTGCAGAAACTTTCTTTTCGACACAGCTTCGACTCTGTTCCCTGGCCGATGTGTGCGCGCGGGGAATTTCTCTCACCCTTCACCCTCTCTCTTCTCGTCCTTGACTTGTCGCCCGGAGGAAAGGAACAAGAACTATCACTCGACAACGCTGGACCACCAACTGCCGCCAACAACTGCCGAATCGTGGTGAACGTCGCACGACGGTAGCCACCGATCTCGTTGCTGCGTCGCAGAAGGTTGTCTGCTGTCGCTGCTGTTGCTCTCTGTTGTGCTCGTTCGTTGCTGTTGCTATTACTATTGACTTGGAGCGATGACGACTCGAACTGCTGTCCGCGCTGTGGCACGAATTTACGCGCGAGCTCTTCCGCGGTTGAGCTGTCGGCTTCCTGGGGGAGCACGCGGCACACGATGCCATCGTCCTCTCTGTGCCCGTGTCGACTGCCGACTGTGTGCCGGCACAGAATCGTCTTGTCTCTCGATGACGAGGACTGCCGTTGGGATGGGCACGCGTTCTCAGTAGTCGTTCACGACAGGGCGATACGACCGGCAACTTTCGCACGGATCCTATCGCTGGATTCTATCGGTCGACACCTGCACACTTCTACCGTGTGTTGCGAATGCTCCGAACCGTCCGAGTTTCATCATAACTACCTCTTGTTGCGAGGTTGGTGCCATTTCAATAAATCGGAATAATATTGTGAATATGAGGTGAAACAAGATATTCGATAAATCAAGTACAGAATATACGAGAAAGAAGAGATTTTTCTGGGGTCTCACAGTCAAATAGTTGTGCATTTGTTAACGCTCATTTCGCAAATCTTGAATTTTTACGAGTGTCACTACGAATTTTTACGCGACGACATTTTCACTTGCGGTTCAGGACGACGTACGTCTGATCGCGACGTGCTGCTCTTCCATTGCACTCTCACTCGGTTGCGACGACGCGTCATCGTCGTCGTGATGGATGCAATCGCGTCATCGCGCACCATCTGTACGTCGCACTCTCATCGCGAAGGGAACAGGATCCCGATGGTCACTCCGCCTAATCCACTCCGTGACACACGACTCGCGTAACTGTGATACTGTCGTTTCGTTGTCGTCGTCGCCGTCGCCGTCGCCGTCGTCGTCGTCGCCGTCGTCGTCGTCGTCGTCGTCGTCGTCGTCGTCGTCGTGGTTGTGGTCGTAGTCGTCCTTGTGGTCGTCGTAGTCGTTCTGAAGGCGGTGCTAGTCGTCGTTGTCGTGGTCGTGGTCGTAGTCGTGGTTGTCGCCGTACTTCGTGATCGTCGTCGTCGTCGTCGTCGTCGTCGTCGTCGTCGTCGTCGTCGTCGTCGTCGTCGTCGTCGTCGTCGTCGTCGTCGTCGTCGTCGCCGTCGTCGTCAGGACTCTCGTGTCGTTGTCCGTGCGTTTGAGGATGATTCGAATTATGAGCGAATCCCGATGAACAGAAGGACTCTACCGGGTGACTGCCTCGATTCTTAACGAAGGATCTTACGTACCGAGAGCACGACTCGCCGACAGCGATGAGGACGACTCCGTGAATCGAGCGCGGGCGGAAACTGGCTGCTCGACGGCGGTCCCCGGCTGGCGGCGAATACCGTACTCCGAACTCCACATTCGGCACCACGGTTGGTCCTCCTCCACGTTCCTCCGCTTCTCGCGCAAGCTCTCCTCTCTGTCTCTTTCCCCCTCTCTTCTCGCTCACTCAGTTCTTCCTTTTTGAGTTTTTCCAGGCTTTCTGCTATCTCTTGCTTTCTTATCTCATCACCCACATTTTTCTTTGTTTTTTTTAAATTCTTTTTTGTTTGTCGTCTATCTTATTTGATTCTTCTTTACAAGTTTTTTTTTTAATTTGTCTTGCTTACTTATCGCATCTTCCTTTTTACATTTTACACTTTTACTATTCCAGTTTTTTTTCACCTGCCTTTTTCCTGCTTTTCATCTTCTGTTCAACCTCTCCGTCGTCCGCCTCGCCCATCCGTACTCTCTTTCCGTCGACCTCTATCGCGCACTACTCTGTCGCATTTTCCGCTTATTGGAGTTTCCAGTCATCTCTCGGCCTCAACGTGGGGTGCGAAGCAACTTGACTTTTTATTGTTACTATTAATGTGTAAAAGATTGCAACATGCACGAGTTCTTATCGGTTATGACGCATACCGCATGAAGGTTTAGGAAAAGCCTCTTTTTCACCAATATTCACCAAAATACATACAAAAAAAGTTCCACCACTCTTCTGCCTTTTACTTGCTGCTCCATATGTGAACTCGACAGAATATGAGATACACAGTGATACTCTCCGTACATAGGAGAGCGTGCACTATTGTATGTGTCTGTTTGTCTGTCTGTCTGTCCGTCCGTCCGTCCGTCCGTCTGTCTGTCTGTCTGTCTGTCTGTCTGTCGTCTATCTATCTATCTATCTATCTATCTATCTATCTATGTATCTATCTATCTATCTATCTATCTATCTATTTATCTATCTATCTATCTATCTATCTATCTATCTATCTATCTATCTATCTATCTATCTATCTATCTATCTATCTATCTATCTATCTATCTATATATTAATAATAGATTATTAAATGAGTATTGGAATTTTATATCTGCAGATAAGAGTAGACAAAAGACTCGAAGAAGAAGATGGAGATAAAAGGGCGAGTTGCCCTCGTGACAGGAGCTGCATCCGGCATCGGCAAAGCGTATGCCATCGAACTGTTGAATCAAGGTGCCAAGGTAATATAAATATATTTATTTAATTATATTCGATATATGTATGCTCTTTGCACTGTAAAGATCTTTTCTTCCTTTTGAGAAACTAACTAACAGACTTGTAAATAAATTTGATATGCACAATTCTAGTCGAGGATTTATACAAGTTATAAAATTATTTTAAATAATATTTTTTATAGGTGACCATATGCGACATTAATACCGAAGAAGGGGAGAAACTGGTGGAAACGTTGGCCGCGAAATATGGGAAAGATCGTGTGATTTTTTCGCAATGTGATGTCACGGATTATCCGCAATTTGAAGGTACGATAATTTGCAATTCTATTCGTCGCAGATTTATTTCTATCTGCAAAAGTGACAAACGCATACGTATATTTATTGCTCTCAATTCTGATGCAATTCGATTTGCAGAATCGTTTCAAACAACGATCACGGAATTCGGTCATATTGATATTGTTGTCAACAATGCTGGTATCATGAATGATCGGTTTTGGGAGCTTGAAGTAGACATTAATCTCGTAAGCATATATCCAATAAATTCCTTGCGGCGTGCTTGCATGTATCCCAAAAGTATGCTTATAAAAATTACTTTTTGCTACATTAATATATACTTTTTATGACAGCTTTTATAAAAATTCTTCATTTTTTAGCTCTTTATGCGTTACTTATTCCATTAATTGAGACAATGTGCTGTATATGTCTTTTTTTCGTAGTTGATCAAATTAAAATAATTCTTTTCTTTATTTTTCTATTATTTCCTAAATTTTAATTTAAAAAAATGTTGAATTTGTGATACTGAATCGTAAATTAATTTTTTTGTGCTGAATCAATTTTAACGTCGTTGATAAGTGTTAAACATTAACATTAGTGCAAATATAATTACAGAACGGAGTAATACGCGGCACTTTGCTTGCTCAACGATTTTTGGGTACGGATAGGGGTGGCCAGGGTGGAATCGTTATCAACACCGGCAGCATCGTCAGTGTCAATCCTTACGTCAGCGTGCCAATTTATTCTGCGACGAAAGCAGCGATCGTCAGCTTTACCAGAGCTTTTGGAGTAAGAAGTCTCTTTTAGATTTATTTTAATTTCACTCTAACAATTATAATTGCTCGGAATGTAGATCATTAATTTCTCAATGAATCTGATAAAGTGTAGATTTAATTATATAAAATTTTCACATATATTTATCTCAATAGAGAATCTGTAATAAGTATCATATATATTTATAATCTCAAGAGATGTTTAAAATAAAAATTTATATAAATAATTCTGCGTATAATGGAAAATAAAAACTCTAAGCTGATATCAGTTGCAAAAATTGAGCAAATTTATTTGCGTTTATTAAATTGCAAATTTAAATTTAAAATAAAATTAATAATTTTGCTCTCAATCCTTGAATAGGATCAATATCATGTAGACTTGACTGGCGTTAAGGTGATGGCACTCTGTCCGAATGCCACGGATACCAAATTAGTACGAGACGTCAACAGAAAGCTCCTTTTAGCTCGATACGAGGATGCCTGGCAAAGGGATACGGCTTCAACAGTTCCTCAAAGGTATAAATTTTCTTGTGTGTCATCCTGAGTAATTAACTCTTTTAACATTAAATAATCTCTAATTACGAACGAGTCATAATTAGTCTTTCATAAAAATATATTGTTTCCGCTATATAAATAATTGCAATTGAAAAAAATGTATACATTGTTACATCTAAAGTTTTTTCGTACCATCTGCATCTTCGAAGGAACTAGAGTGCACATTTTTTAGTAAAAAAGTTAGTCTAGTTAGCTGGAAATAATGGAACATATATTTTTTGCTATTTTTTTCACACTTGTAACATTTTTCCGAAAATGCAGAGGGTGCGGGTAAATTTTTGAGAAAACGATTTGATAAAGATACTCGATATTGTAGAGCGGAACATGTGGCAAAGGCGTTAATACACGTGCTAAACACCGGCAAGAGCGGAAGCGTGTGGCTGGTGGAGAAGGATCAACCACCGCACGAGATCAACTTTACGAAGCACTAAGAGAATGATGTGCATACGCACAATGATTCTTCCTCGCTTCGCTGCAAATATCTATGCTGTACCGCACAATTATTTGTAATTTGTATCGAGATATATCCCGTCACATCCTGTGCCGGCGTCTTGCCGTCGTTATCAGGAAGGCGGACGCGGGCGAAACGTAGTTACTCGTTACTCACACTTTCGACACCCGAAAGACCAATGCGTTTATTGTTAACGACAACGAATGTATCATTCAAAGCTAATACCATTTCCGATTTTTGATAAAAGCGATACTTTTGGTACGTTTTATACTGAAATAGCAGAACCCGCGACGTAACGCGGGTATATATTCGGATTTAATAATTATGAGAGAGATAATCGCGATATTTACAAAAAAAATCCATATAATCGACGCAGGATACGCGTCGCGACAGCGGGAACACTCATTATACAAAAAAAATTGTAAAAACAATGGCTTTCGCTTCCGTCCCGCATCCGCGTTGCAAATTTGCGTCGGTTTTTACACGAGTCTTAACAACGCACTAGCTCGTCAGCTAAAAATTTTTAATCTCTAGGCGTTGCGGATATTTTCTTATCCTTGTGTATCGCACCGACGGAAATGATCGTAACGAATCTAACTAAATCCTGCCGCACTTTGTAATCGCTGTGTGATTTATTCCGTTCTCTAACGCATTCATAATCTTGACGATTCCTTTTAATTTAATCCGTTTAAAAATGTGTAATGTAATCACATTTCATTGCTAGGTGGAGTATTATTAGGGACACTTTGTATCTATTGCTTGTATGTGAGAAAGACGAAGAGAAAAAAGAGAGAAAGAATGTGTGTATGTGTGAAAGAAGTAGAACGAGAGAAGTAAATATTTCGCACGTTCTCGAAACGTACAAAAAAAAAGAGAGAAAGAAATGTTACGAACGTCCTTACAATGACTGATGCAAATAACCCAGCAAGTTTCCACGGAAATTTCCTTTACAAAATACAGGAATTATTACAATATTAAATCCTTATATTTATTATGTCTATTAACATTTAATAAAAAGAAGAGAGATTATTAATTAATTAGTTAAACAAAAAAGTAAAATATCAAGTCTTTCATATTAATTCATATGCTGTATTTTTTAAAAATGTTTAAAAAATCAGTGATAAAAGTAATTCAAATTAATCTTACAAAAATATATTACTTAGTTCACTGCAGAAGAAAATAAATAACTCGTAAAAGTTTCTTCTGCGCGTCTTAGAAGATTTATGAAAGTTGACATTTTTGTTCGTGCAAATTTTTATTTCAAAATTCGATGATGCGTGTGTTGAGGATTATCTGCATCAATATAATCTCAAATTACAATTGAACCAAAATCCGTCAGATGACTCCAACCAAAACTATGTATCCAACCCATAATTTTTCTACAGTCTTTTGAAGGAAATAAAAATATTTAGAGACGATATATAGCAATAGAATTAGAATCTACATCTAAGCACGACGCGATCATATTCTTTTTTATGTTAGGTATTAGAATTCATGAGCAAATTTGTATGATGTACTATTCCTATGGTATTGATTGATATTGATGTTGAATTCCGAAGCTCGAATCGACACGTTGGTCAAATGTTTAGCTTGCTAGCGAATTTTGTTCGAAAGATATCGTCCGTTCGAGTAATCTTTTGTAGCTTTCAATTGACGATGCGATTAATGGCGATTGTTGATTTTATTTTTGTTACGTGTTATACTACGTATGTATGTTGCTAGCCTTGCCAATAAAATGCATTGCCTTTTAATAAAATCACCGGATCAGACAATTGCATCCTTTTAGTTTTGAGTCGCTTTTTTTTACGAAAATTAATTTTTTAATGTTTTTTTCCTTAACATTTCTTGTCAAAAAGAGATAATACAAGTTAGTTAATAGAGTAATTACTGTACCATAATACAGACTGAAACTTTGAGAGAATAAAATTTTTCTATATATATCAGATTTTCTGTTGTTAATAAGATAATTTTTTACATATTTGATATTCCTAAAGAACATAATATTATTATAAAACAAGATAATTTATACAATTTTAGAAATAAACTTATGTATCTCATTTTTTATTTGTTTAATTGAACGCATATCGATCATCTTGCATCGAATTATTTTTTATTCCATGCTTGTTTATCAACGCAAATTCGATCTTGTTTACCTCGAAAACGGGTTCACATTATCCTATCCGATTCCTATCCGGATTCATATCTGATATTCTATCATGTACGACCGACTTCTCGAATTTCAACACCTTTCGTAATAGTATCTCAGCAGTTCTTAGCGGTATGTGCGAGATTCATTCGCAGATCGGTGCTTGACAAGATTCTCTCGGTGTGATCCAAAAATCACGATTCTTATTCACTCAGCATTCCGAAAACATCTTAAACACAACACGTCTATAATGGAGATTCAGGAGAAAACCGTACTTATCACCGGCGGAGCCAACGGGATTGGTTATTGCACCGCTCGTGAATTACTTCGAAGTGGAGTGAAAGTAATTTAACAAAACCAAATGTGTATAATAATACATAAAGTTTGTAAATATTCTCTATGAATTAATGTATCGCATATTTTTTACATTAAGTATATATAAAAAGATAAATCCACGCGCGAAGAGAAATCATATTAAAATTGCTGCATCGATAGTTTTAAGAAAATATATAATGCATGATAAATAATGAAAAATATCGATGTAAAAACTTCAATAACATTTTATTTTTCAACTAATCCAGTAGCATATTATTGATTTAATAATTACATATTGCAGGCCGTCGCAATCATAGATTTAGCCGACTCAAACGGCGAAACTGCTGTAGCCGAATTGGAGAAGGAGTTCGGCGCAGACCGTGCTATTTTCCTCATTGGAAATGTAGCAAATGCTGAAGAACTCACAGGTAATGTGTCAATTTACTTCTAAATGTCAAGCTAATTTTCTATTTGTATTTTACAAAACATTTTCTTCGAGAGAGAAGCATTTTTCATACATCTACAATTTTCAGCTTCTTTCGACAAGGCGATAGAGACACTTGGCACACTGGACATCGTTATCAATAATGCCGGTATTATGAATGACGCCGAATGGGAGCCTATGGTTGATATTAATTACGTAAGTGATAATGAACATGTTATGCAGCCCATTATACAGCGCACCGGAAATTTAGATTGTTCTTACCACTTTATCGTTTATATAATCAGAAAGGAGTTGTGTGTGGCACGATATTGGGCCTTAATCATATGGGAAAGCACAAGGGGGGAAAAGGTGGTACTATCGTTAATATGTCCTCAATAGCTGGCTTGCAAAGTACTCCGCTCGCGCCGATTTACGCCGGGACGCAATTTGCCATTCTCGGATTTACTTCGTCATTACAGGTAAAAATACAATATGATGTCGATAAATAAATAACAAATCTAAGAATGCAATTGTACATTCGAGTCTAAAATTTATATATTTAATTTTTTTACATTTAGCTTATGCTGAGAATTTTACGATTTGTTCTTAATATTACCGGCGTATTTATATTTTAGTAAAATTTCATATATTCGTAGACTTTCTACGAAAAAACAGGCGTACGTGTGTCGGTTATATGTCCTGGTCTCACGACCACTGATATGGCTTCGAAGTTTATGTCGAGTAAAGTCTATGCGATGGATGTCCTCGATGACGAGATTGCTGCTCAAGCGATGACAACGTTCGAGAGTCAATCGTAAGTTATATCATCTTGTTTTATGATATATAAATGGTAATAATTACTTTTAAAATAAATTATGACAAACAATAAATAAAAATATATGCAAATTAATAATAGTAAACTATAATAAATAAATTTAAATAATAAATTGAACTGTAAGTTTTAATCAACGTTCTTACAAAATGTACTTAATATAAATTATAAATTGAAATTTTCTTTTTACATTTGAATTTTATATTAATTGAAGAAGTGATGTATCGATAAAAATTTACAAAATTTACGATAGACCTGTAGTGTTGTATTTATTTAACAGACCCGAGCACGTAGCGACTGCTATCGTGGAATTGATCGAGAAGGGGAAGAATGGCGCAATCTTTGTCAGCGAAAACAATCAACCCGTATACTCTGTGCAATTACCGTCTTATGCCGATCTGAAAATTTCAGTGTAAAGTCTGCATTCTACGGCGAATCATCCTTAGTACACGGACACCGGCGTCAGAGATCTGTAATTCATAAAGATGAATGTTTTCGATTGAAATGAGAGTTTTAAAGAGTTTTGTAACTTTACATCGATAAACAATATTTAACATAAAATGATATATAGAATCCTTTAATAATAATATTAGTAACAACTAATAATTAATAGTAACAACTAGCAGCTAATGATATTTATTGTTATTTCACGAAGCTAAATAAATAAAAACAAGTAGTAATGACGATAATAAATCTTTCAGATCCTAGATTATATTTTTTTCTTTTAACTCTTTTAATTTTTAACAATATATTGTATCGTTTTGACAGCTATAAATGTTTGGTACGAAAGATTAAGCAAAATATTTCAAATGAATAATAACATTACGATTTGATACTTCTTAGACTATAAGAGTCTTCCGTAGAGTCTTTACACATTTCTATAACTTTTCTATTTATTCTATTGTATTGAACCGTGCGCGTTACTAAGAGGAAGAGAACGCGCAAGACGTTGCAGGGAAAGCTCTAGATGTGTATACGTGTAAAGACGTAAATATGCATTTTCGAAGACTGAGGGTTGTTACTGCTACGTACTCGTCGAGGCTCGTTCGTCGGTGCGCGCAGTACGTCGATCATTCTGTGCTGAGTCGTCCTTTCGCGCAGCAACTGGCGAGGTGCATCGCGCTAACGTTGCATCTGTCGCAAAGAGGTTTTAGGGGTGTATTTGCAGCATATTAACGTTACACCGTATCAATCCATATCAATCTCCGTCATGTCGGTGTTTACGAGATAATGCCACGGCTGCTGTCAGGCGGTCGCGCTCGGAGACCGGACGAGGTTAGGTGCGCGATTGACATCAGACCCGATCAACGTGTCAAACGTGAGCGCAAATGGCGGCCACTGGCGAAGAGGATGTGTCCACGCTCAGCGAGCGAGTTGACAAGCTGAATGTCTCTGCAACGGACGATGAAGCGGTGAGCAAAGGCGTCGAGAATGGCGCCGATAATAACGGGAGGATCTGCGAACCCCGACTCTGGGGCTTCGAGACGCGAGAGCTCTACAAGCTCGCGCTCAACTTCTACAAAGGTGAGTACTTGACAGTTTGTCAGCGCGGTTTTTTGGCCACCACGCTACGACGCGATCAGATTACTTGAATGAAATTTCTATACTAATGTCATTAAGAATCGGCTTTATGTCTTTTAAATAAATAAAATATTTGGCAAATATTGTATTTGTATTTTTATGCAAATTTTCATGATAAAGGTAAACAATGAACTTAATAAAGATTTTATTCTATATAAATATTTATTATCATTGATAATGTGGTTTCATGAAAATTTATATTATTTATCTAATAGTCATCAGTAAATACTGTATGTGTAATTAAGAACTGTTGTGTGCGAATAGAAATAATAGTAAGCGCAGTTGTTACATTTCGTATCTATGTGAATTTGTAAGCACATTTAGATTTATGAAATGTGTAATTATGAAAGTCATTAAAAGTGAGAAAAATATATGTAAATTTTCAACACACATTGTGCAATATCGATTAATATTTGATGATGTGTTGTCACATATCATGTGAAATATGCCTTTAAATATATTATAGTGACGAATGTTAATATTCTATCTAAGAAGCATAAAAAAGTATGTACCTTTAAGATTATCAGTCAATTTTTAATGTCTTAAATAAAAGAAAGATTATCATATTTTATACTTTGTGACAAAATAATTATCAGAAAATTTCTAATTTATTTAGAAAAGGAAGGCAAAGCTGTTCATCTCTCCTATGAAGATAAGTTGAAATTGGTGGCGTTTACACAGCAAGTGACGCATGGAAAATGTACTACGGAAAATGCAGCACCGTTAGGTGTTTTGGATGTGATCGGAAGGGACAGGCGTTTGGCATGGCAGAATTTAGGAGATATATCCAAGGAACAGGCAATGGAAGGTTTCATAGTATTGTTGGATAAATTGTGCCCTTTATTCAGAACAGTGGTTGAAGCGCAGAAAAGGGATGTCGAGGAGAAACAACGGCTTAAGAAGGAGGAAGAAGCTAAGAAGCTGGAAGAAGAGAGAAAACTCAAGGAGCAGGAGGAGGAAAAGAAGAAGCAGGAGGAAGAAAGACTGAAGGAGGAAACGCAAAGAAGATTAATTCAGGACGCTCTGAATCAACAGACGTATCATCAATTTAAAGTGTACGCGGAGCAACAATATCCTGGCAATCCGGAGCAACAGGGCGTCCTAATCAGGCAGTTGCAGGAGCAGCATTATCACCAGTATATGCAGCAATTGTACCAGAACCAATTGGTCATCGACGATCAGACTGAGGAGGAGAAAAAGATCGTCGAGTCGGAAAAAGAAACGTGCCAAGACGACAACAAGGACGACACGAACGAGAATAGAAAGAATGGGGAAAACGAGGACGAGGACTCGGACGAGTTGGAAGACTGGCCGCCCATCTCTCCCGCGGAAATGTGGACGAGGAAGGGCGTGGAGGAATTCAAACAGATCATTAGGAAGGAGACGAGCGACGCGATTATCAAGGTGAACCACGGCGAGACCGTCACCGTGCGAGTGCCGACGCACGAGGGCGGCAGGTGCCTGTTCTGGGAATTCGCGACGGACAGTTACGATATCGGTTTCGGCGTTTACTTTGAGTGGTCTAAACCGGAAACGAATCAGGTGTCCGTGCACATAAGCGAGTCTGAGGATGAGGATGACGAGGAGGAGGAGTACGATCCGCAGGGAGACGTGGAAAGTGGCGCGGTGGTTAACGGGAACCCCCGACCTGAACGTAAGACTCCGCCACCCATAAGCGTTATAATACCAGTGAGTATCCTTGAATATCACGTATATTAATCTTCAGCTCGAATTCCTTGCTTACACATGCAGTCTTCTATTGACGCGCTATTTGTTAATTAACTGTGTTATTTGCTGCTTACAGATATACAGGAGGGATTCTCAGGAGGAGGTCTACGCTGGAAATCATGAGTATCCTGGCGAGGTAAGCGTATACGACGATTATTTGCTGAATTATTTAGACGCATGCCGCGCATTTCACCGATAAGATAATTAATTATTAATTCGTCGTGTTTACAGGGGGTATATCTTCTCAAGTTCGACAACTCGTACTCGCTGTGGCGAAGTAAAACTCTTTACTATCGAGTGTATTACACACATCCAGGGCAGCAGAGCCAGATTTAAAGAAGTGGGGGCCCCGGGGCGGCTGAATCAGTGGGGATCCTTAATTCGTAAAAGATCAAAATCATTGAAAACTTATTTAAAAATTCGTAAATTTAAAAAAGTTGAAAATACATATTTCAATATTATTACAACAAATATTTAAGATATATTTAATGATGCAAACTACAATGTTTGCGAAACTCTGGCATCCAAAATGCACATCGCGGTCATCATCCGGAAACCAATGGCATATATTTAAGAAATATTTGATACATTTCCAAAATATATATCAAATATAAATATATAGATTTTTTAATCAAATTTTCTTTTTAATCAAGTTTTGTTTGTGGGGGCCCCTGGCCGGTCGCCCTGTCCACCCACCCTCAAATCCGGCACTGGTTCAGGGATTCATGAATAAGAATTTGTCGTTACGTGTTGAGACAAAATGTATGTGTATCGAGCGTACGTCGGCTGTTAAGCACTAGCCTTGGCATAATTGTCTCTAGATAATGCTAGTCCGACTGAAAGAGACCTATGTCCCGGTTCGGTTTGCGCAACAAAACTGTTCACACATAAAGAGAATATATTTATTGTATAGTAAAGCAAGGAGACACGCTTAAGGGTCCTATTGTTTAAAGTGGTAAAACTATGTGCACAAGGACGAAACAGATTCTTAAGTATTCTCGAGAGGCGGACTGCCATGGCATACGATATATATATATATATAAATTAACGTAAAACTCTTCTATCTGCATAATATATTGCGTACCTGCGGCCATTCGTGCGTACATTCTTCGATGCAAGGCAGCGTTCTCTCTTCATGATTTTGATAAAATTTTAAAGCATCTATATCGGCGCGCAAATCTTTATATATACATGAAAAGATGTTTCTGTATTGAAGAAAGGGTTAAATGTACACAAATGTTGTATATCCGTTTGTCTATATGTGGATATTTGCTTGGAATGTTTTTTGCGACTCGATGTTATACAATCTTTATCATTACATTTAGCGTTCACTATGTCGTAGCTTTTATTAAAATTCTTTCGTTTTTTTTTTCTTCAAAGGAAAAAAAATACAGCAGCAGATACGGTGCACAATGCTTGTTCCTCATTTATGCAACAACAAAACTCACCCTTTCTCTTTCCTTTTTGGTAACGTTTATTATTCTATGTAGCCATATTATTTTTACAGCAATATTGGTGCGATTTATATTATCTATCATATGAATTAATGGTAATAATAATAATAATCATAATAATTAATAATAATAATAATAATTGTGTCCTGCAACATCCAACTACAGATGATTTACACTAACGGGTATGCATGCGTAATTTCGCTCTTATCGTACTCCCATTTTATCACGCGTTCAACTTCGACTTATAGTGACATTTAATTAGAAGAGCACTTTTTTGAGACGGCATAAGTTTTGTATCGTTAATTCAGAGACGGAGAGTGAGAGCGCGAGAGAGGATGGAGGGGTGAGGAGAGGAGAGAGAGACAGACAGATAGAGCGAAATCGATTCCATTATGCGCGCCCTAAAAGTACGTGTAGATTGTCCGCAAGTGATTTTAAATAAGCGCCGATTAAACGACGGAATTACCATTGGCTCGTTATATTTGGCTCGTAGCGCGATAGCTATACATATTTATAACAGCCTATTTAACAACCACACTTCCGTGACGTGGACCGAACTCTATTACTGAAGTGTGGAGTATGTTACTTCGCTAAAAAAATAGCGGCTTCGTTGTACAAACATCCTCGGTACGAAAGCTATTGCGGTGTTTTCACTTCTATTTTTTTTTTCTGAATATCACACAGTAAATTTCTTCGAGTATATACCTGAATTGATTGAGTGTTGCTGCAGTGTCGCCCTTTAAAATTCTGAAGCGGTTCGTGTATGGATGCACACAGTCGCACGTGGCAGTTGACGAGAATTTCGGAACGCCAAAGCTCTACTCACTAACAACGAAGCGCGTTTCGCTTCTCTTGCGTTAAACGAATTTTACGTTACGTCTGCCACTGCTGCGATGGTTGTCTGCGTAAAAGCTTGTTTGCAGTTCGATCTATGTGTACTAATAAAAATCGCAAACTTCTTTCAGAATTGCTAAGCCCGTGAACTGAGTTTCTTCGCCGAACTCATCGCCCTGAGCGTATGAATGGTCTCGGCCATCAGGTGCATTTATGAACTTTTCTCCTGTTTCAGCCCCAGCGAGAATATTGGACGCCACATAAACCGTGATTTACAATACAAACAACTTTGAAACATTTATAGAAAATTTACATTACCAATATAATTTGACATACATGCCTAAGGCGGCAAGTATGAACTTACGTTCGAAATTTCTCGACGAGAAATTCGGATTAACTTTTATCACATTTATAATTTTAATTATTAATTAGTTCTTATTTACTATCTCGGGCTGAAACATTTAAATTATCACATATCATCGATGACACATCATTGAAATCTTTAACACGGGCATTGATATTTACACAGAGCGTTCCTAAGACTTTTCTTTCAACTTAAAATAATCGAAGAATTCATTAATGAACGGAAGTGTGCAAGACATTCTGTACATCTACGAAACAGCTCCGGTGGCAACTTTGTCACATCAGCTTAAGCCTATTCGCATAAATTTTCGTGTACGATACTGCTTTTTTTTAGCCTTAGAATTACGGATCCAAAATATACAAACACGACGAAGGCATATGTCGGCAAACGTGTGCATGTGTGTGCGTGTGTAAAAAGCGCGCGCACCGCACGCGCTGGTGTTTAAGGTTGAAAGTGAACATTTATCAAAAACTTAGTGACTCTCGTCGTTATATCGCTCGCATCTTATAATGATAATAATAATAACAATAACTATAATCATAATCATAATCATAATCATAATCATAATCATAATCGCGTGCAGGAAATTTTTTATTGAGCTATCGTCTAACGTCAAGTTACTTCGCTTTACTCTATTCTTAGGAAATGCGCAATTCATAATTTTTTTTTCTTAATATCGTTCGATGAACCCATCTGGTTTATACGTAAATTAATCTAAACTTTCTTTAAATTCTTAAGAAAATTTTTTCGTGAAAGAATAAATTTTGATTTACGTAGAATTTCCACAAATCTCAATTAATTCACTCATTTTTGGCAGGACTTCACACATATACGTGAATTTTCGTACCATTTACACCAACTAAAATATTCATTCAACTCATTATTTCATATTTAAATGTAATGACGAAGACCTGAGGAAAAAAACCGGAAAAAAGTGGATGCTTACATTGTGTTATGCATCCAGTATATATTTCCAGTTGCTAACATTTAAGATCGTAAGTGCCCTTTCTCAGAGGCAAATAAAACCGAGAAACGCAAGCATAGAGAATTACTTACAATTAATAAAAAATAATACATAATATTAATAAAAATCACATAATGGAATCCTGAGTCTTTTATATTAATTAATTAATTTATATTTGAAACCTATGGAATAATTGATGCAAAGAAATTGGCTGGAAATTCGGTTAAAATGCAATATTCTCGTATTCTCGTCGTTTTTCACGAAATATGCATGATAAACCTAGACGTCGGCCTTATTAAACTTTCGCGTGCGACAATAATGCGGAGCATTCAATTCCGAGATTTACGATAATCTAAGGGAACATTGCCTTTGGCCACAACTCGCAGTAACTTGCGCATATGTAATTGACTCGACGTTTTGTAATAGCGTATACGCCTAATAGTAAAATTGCGCGTTAACTTTCGAATTGGCTAAATTAGCGAGGCACGTCGTCCCGAAAAATTAATTGTACTTGAACTCACTTTCGAGACGCGGTCCTTTTTTTTTATCTCGGTGTGCTCTATCCAAGCATTCTGAAGCTTCTACTCGTTACGCTTTGCTCCGTATTCGCGGCGCGCATTTAACGTCAAATGCGGTCATCTAAAAAGCCGCAATAATGCATTTACGAGTGCCTGAAACTTGTCGTAAATACTGTTTTTTTTTTTGTGTGCAAGATTTGAGATTAATAATCTACATTCAACGCTAAATGCGCGTGCACTCAGGCTTCTTCCGAGCTTGCTATCTGATCTCCGGATTTTTGTAAATGCGTGTCCGACGCGTTAACGCAATGTTTTTCTTTCAAGAGTGCCATCTTCATTTAAGCGAAGACGCTAAAATCTGGCATATCTCTTGAAAACCGCATGACCCGTTCGCGTATCTGATTAACTCGAAAGTAGTAGGACGGATACTTATAATATAAGTAGCGTAGAACAAAGGAGCAACAATTTTAAGGCTGACAAGTCATATCGACAGTCCGGGTTAATGAAATCCCCAGTCAGCGACTCGCTGTCCCTAATTAGAGTAATTACAGTCCCATCTATAATATTGTAGACACACACACAGACGAAGAAAACTTGCAATCTTATCTAGGAGCGAATTGCACCAATAGTCTCGATTAAGTATTCTCGAGTTAAAAATTCGCTGTTTCTTTTTGGATTTGATTACTTCATTAATTATCACAGAATGTTCCTCAAAATACCGCGTAAAGTCTGCACGATAATATTGTTTATGAAGAATCGAAAATTAATTTTTTTTAATAAGAACTATCGAAACGCTAATATTTTTTTATGTAAATTTAATGTTAATAATAGGTTTTTTAATCGAATCGGTTTTTCCTCGACGAAAATGAAGGGAGAGATCATTACTTCTCGCCAGTTTTTATATATATCTTTGTCACAAAGCCTTTTGTTGCAATAAAATTCTATGTTTGATTGAAATTTCACTAAGGAAAAATCATCCAGATTGTCCACAGAAATTTAATTTTCTCGAGTTGACGCGGCAATTTAGAAACATTCTGCGACGGAGTTCACGCAGTTACGTCTAACCGAGATCGGTGCAGTTGATCCTAAGATTCAAAATGCGCTCGTTACAACGACGTCTCCATACTGAAATTCGTTCGTTTGCCGTTCTCCGTTCTATAATCCTCTACCCTGCCTGTGAAGCTCCTTCGGAAGTTTCGGTCGACATGTGCGAGCTTCGGACGTCGTCGCTCCGTGCACGATCTGGTTAAACCGGCTTGTTGGTGTCTTCTGTTCATGTATAAATTAGGTAGACGATCCTCGGACAGATCGTCCGGCTCGTTCGAGCTTGTCGAGATCGATCTTCTATTTCTTGCACGTTCGGAGGTTGGTCCGCCGTACGGGGGTGGAAGAGAAAAGTCGTGTCGATACGCTCGCGGCGTTTCCTCGGTTTGGACGCGAGCGACATTCGCATCCACGCTGTTTGACGGCCTGTCGAACGGAAATCTACTGTGCGAGTGGTGCTGTTGGAGCTCTCTTTCGTGACGACATGACGGATGCGCGACGAACGATGGATATACGGTGCTATCGGGTCGGAATGCCGGTGGTATCGAATCAGTCGGAAAGTCTCGTGTGACTGGAGATCGGCTTGGACGAGCGAATGCCAAACCGCTTGCGGGATTTGTTAAATTTCTCACTGGCACGATATCTCTGCCGCCAAAGGGATCGCCGGGGAAGACCTCTTGTATCGGACTGGCAAAAATGAGTGTTCTACAAAAAAAAAACCATTGATTTATTTCCGCATCTTGCTTGAAATATGTGTGTTACGCAGTTAAGGCAATCGATACTACTGCACGCATTTGAAGAGAATACAAAGTATCATGTTTCAAATTACATGACATTTCTTCTCGTATTTACAAACGATGATTGTCTTAACTCCGAGTCACACATTATAAAGATTAATTCTCAACTTGGCAAAAATAAACTTAAATCATTATGTAATAAAAAATTTGTTTAATGTATAAAAACTGCAGGAATTTTTCTTTTGTTAAAAATATATTTATAAAATAGATATAATATATTAATATAAATGTATATTTATAAAATAGATTTAAAATGATTATTATACAAAATACAGAAATATGATTTAAGAAAATGTGAAGGATTTAAAAACTTTTTTATATTTCATTACAAATGAGAAATTCTAATCTGAGTAGGAAACACTCAGGAAGGAAGTTAATTATAAAGTATCGCCAAGTTTAGAGTTAATGATGATATAAGATGATTACCAATTAGCAACAACACAGCCACAATACATCGCAATATACGCCGTTATGTGAGTAAGCAGGAACAAAACACAGCATTGATTATTAATAAGCATTATAAATAATATTAATCACCACTTTAGACAATCATCATATCAATGTATTTTTTGTACGTTTAAAATATATATTAATATATTTTAAATTTCTAAATATATTTTGTGTTACATTACACATAAAATTATAAATTGCTTGACTTCTGTCGCGAATGATCGATCGTCTAAAGTGCGCTTTACTTACAATAATTGCAAAGAATATAAAAAGGCACAGACAGTTTGCCGATTACACAAAATAGCGTACTACGACAAAATTAATGTAATAATATAACAAGAAAATTTACCTGGTGCTCTCCGGTTTTTGATAATAATTGTACGCTTTATCTCTGGCCGACATAAATTCCTCAAAGGACGGCATTCTTCGCCTGGGATTCAATCTCTCCCTCGAGCGCGGACGATCGTCCGGTCTGTCGGGTTGAACGTCACTTCCCTTCTCGCTTCTACCAAAGTTATCAACAACACACTCGCGGCCTTGATTCGGAGCGGGATTCTGATCAGCGAGATTCTGAAACTCGTCCGCGGTCACCAACGTGTACCTCCGATTGTTCTGTTTCAGAATCGACTTCAGGCAGAAGTATGTCCTTGAGTTCGGTAGCTTCCAGCAGGCGTCCTCGCTCGACATAGGATTCACCATGATCCTGCTGCGCGGCTCGGGTCTCGGAATACCGCCGTAGCCGGTCGCCTCCCTTGGATAATAGTTCCTCGATTCGTCGAGGGAGAGAGAACGATGATGGGCCAAGGGCGGCGGGCGGGAAGAGACCGGAAATCTTCTCTGTCGTTCGAAAGAGTGTGCGAAGGGTCTGTCGTGTGAAAAACTCGTCGCCGTACTAGCAGCAGAGCCAGCTCTGACGCTTTTCATCGGCGCTTCTTCGTTTTCCAGAATGTTTTCCAAGCTCCTGACGTTCCCCTTCGGAACGTTCACCGGTTCCGATCGCGATCGCAAATTAGGTTCGGAAATGTCACGCGGTATGGCTCCGTGTTCCCTTTCGGACGGAAATGCACTGGGAACGAAGTCCGTCGGCGGAGTGAGCGAGCTGCCGCCAGGTTTGATCCTCGCGACAGTGACACGAGGAGGAACGTCCAAGTTGATGGTCTGCGTGCTGGCGGAGATTCGGCCGCAGCTACCGCATCTGCTCGGCGACGCTTCCGCCTGAATATTGTCCAAGGAACGCGGCGTCATGCTCCTGGGGGGATGCAGTCGGCCGTCGGCCGTCGTTCGTAGCGTCGCTATATCGCTCTCGTAGGTATCGCTGACTCCGGGACTCGTTGGCGGCACGCCGGGAGAAGGCAGGTGTTCTCTGCTGGTCATGTGCATGAAACTACGCATGTCCATTCTTGGATCGTAATTCTCGTTTGCTTTGTTCCCATGGCACGGACAAGGACAGTGACACTCGCACGGCATCGGTGACAACAATCGCCCATTCGGATCGTTCACATCCTTGCAGGGGATTGCCGCGTCATTCGCGTTTCCGGCGGCAACAGTGGCATTCGGGATCGCATTCCGAGGCTCGAACTGCTCGGCGCGTTCATAAAGCAGCGCCTCGGAGTAGCTGGGAACCATGTCTGTCCCAGCGACGTCCGCTTCCACTTGAGGCTGCCAGACCTCTTGACTTCGTTCCGGCTCGTCGCTGCGGGGCGTCGCCGGTTCCATCAGCAATGCCTCGCTGTAACTAGGCGCCAGCATGTAAGAACCTGGCTGGCTCAGTTGGCTCATGGACGTGTGGATGGGCTCGCCGGAAGTCGGCGTGTCATAATTTACACCGAAGAGCTTGGTGACCTGATGAGGAACTCTCGTATTTATTTTCACAAACTTTATTGCGTATCTTAACAATTTTACTCTCGATAATTTTTAAATTATTTTATACGATTTAGAGCTTATAACTTTGAGCGTAGTGTAAAAAATATTGATAGATAAAATGTTTCAATCGTGCAAAAAGCTAATTTTTATTTTTATTAAATTTTATTAAAGGATTATAGCGGATTAGAGGATGGTATAAGACTAAAATTTATAATAATAATTTAATAATTTAACAAAATATTTAATGAAATACTTAGTAAATCACTTAGATGAGTTGAAAATGTTTTTTGAATAAAAAAAAACATTGGCTCCGTTTAAAATAATCTTTACCTGATAATCGGCGTATTGCGTTTTATATTCGATGATCACTCGCAGCGGCCAACTAAGCAGCAAAGCACTCAGGCACCAGTAAACGTAGCGATTCGCAAACCAAGGATTACCAAGAACAGCCACCAACATCGTGTTGACGTTGTATCCGAGATCGAGACCCTCTCTCATCTCCATGTAATCATCGCTGAGTTCCTGAAAAAAAAAAGCAAACATTATTTATTATTTCATTTATATTTCTACGTAAAATAGCTAGACATCTTGTCTATGTTTTTAAATGCGTTTTGAGTGCAGAAAACTGAATTTCGAAATTGTAAAACAGCAATGATAATTATTGCACACGCACTTGTTCAGCGAAAAATCGCGATCGAGCCTCCTCAAATTCCGTGGCAGACCTGATGTTCGAGAACGCGAAGCCTTTGGTGAGCATGATCTTCGTGATCGGTATCTTTGGCTCGAGAATCAGCTCTTTACTGATGTCCTTCACTCCACAGTAATCGTAGTAGTAGTGGGAAGTGGCCGAGTGTGTGTTTACCCTCTCGTAATAGACCTGCAGTGTAAGAAGAGATTCGTCAGGCGCGTCCTTAACCCTTTCGTTATCACGACATCACGACATGACTATGTGTTTTCCACTACGTACAGAAACGGAATTATCTACATCTGCGATTCCTATCAGACTCACTATTCGAGGCTTTTTGAGATTTTGCTATTCCAAAACGCTGCTTTAAAATAAAGAACTTATCACAATTGATAGAAATGTGAGAAATTTAAATTGTTTAGATGTTTCCTCGTGAAAATACTATTTTGTAAAACTTTTGCATTTAATTGTACTGTTTTTAATTATAATTATTTTCGTGTCTGATAGCGAGAAAAGTTAAAGAAGAACGCGTGTTTAATAGGGTTCGATAACTGGCGAGACGTCACCTGCGTGGTGGTATAATTATCCCCGTTCCTGTAACGTGTGATTTGCCGTTTCCTGCGCACGTAATGATAGGAAACGGCCTTCCACCAGATCCTTGGCTGTGCCATCTTTAGCTGCGCCAATTTGGACAGCACGCTGTCCTGGCTTTCCGCGTGCAGCAGATCGATCCTGATCGGCGAGTGGTAGCATTCCACCAGATAAACCAGATACAGCATCCCCATAAATGCCACCTGTACGACAAAGAGAGGACGAGAAGGAGAGATGGTGATAGTGGAGCTGAGCGGGGGCGGCGCGACATGCATTCAAGCGTGCGTGCGGAGCGGGAAAAAAAAAGGGAAGATCCGAACAAAGGGATATTGCTCCTCGTCGAGTGATCAAAAAAAAAAAGAAGAGGCAAACGCACGCGGTTATAATAAAGGGAGAGAGTCATCGGTTTTTTTCTTCTCTCCTGGCGTCTCTCTCTCTCTCTCGGTATACATACCGGAATGTATATGTAGCCGTCGTCGCAGGGCGACGATACGTGCTTCGTGCTTCTAATAGGGAACTTGGTGTAGTTGACCATGATCTAAGGAGAGAAAAGGGAAATTTTCGTTCAAAGGACGTAGACAAGAAAATTCGCGCGGCATAAAATCGATCGTGTGAAAATAACGGTTCCGCGGCCCTTTCTCAACATACCTTGGTAACGTTGGCGCATCTGCACCACGTTACTGCGGCGAGACAGCCGTATATAAGCACGGTCAGCACCAGGCATTTGCAGTTCGGCTCCTTTTGCAGTGCACCGCACAGCGTCTGGGGGACCGGTCGCTGCTAAGAGGGTTGAAAGATTAATGCGCGAGGTCGTCGGCCATTCGCGGGAGCGGAGAGAAACGGGAAACGCGAGAGTAAACGTTCGCGCTTATCGAAAATTAATGCCCGACACGAGGGTAAACGTAATGTCTCTAATAAAATTTACAGATTGCTTTTAGACATTTCTGTGTCACCTTAAATAAAGAATGTAATAATTAATCTTCTAAATCCATTTCTCCATCTATAATAATAAACGCAGTCAGCAGTTATTTTCGAAAGAAGATACCCGAGAAAGAATGGTATAATTGGTCAGATGTAAATATATATAATTAGTTATATGAAAAGATCTGATAACATGTAACATTTTATGATCATATAAAATCACATATGTTATTAGATCTTTTCATAACTAATTATATATATTTACATGACCAATTATACCATTTTTTCTCGAGTATAGATTGATATATTGCTACTAAAATATTTTAAATCCTGCTTTAAAAGATACTTACGATTGCTTGACATATTAGATTTATATATAAATATTAATTTCTCTAATTACATTGTCACTACATTGTAATTTTTCTTTGGTTATAGTTTTTTATCTATCGTTTTAATTAAACAATACTTTATTTTGTAGCAGAACTTTTATAATTTAGTATAATTGAATAAGCAAAACGACAAAATGTTGCAAAATTCTTCTGAAAGATATTTTTAACTCAGCTATGTATTCTTCAATTCTCTGAATGCACGTCGCGAATTATTCTAGATAATGAGATAATTTTTCACTCAAGTTTATTGCATTCGCAAGATTAATCGCAAATTAATCTTTAATTATTCACGACAATTAAATCTATCTTAAAATGGATGCTGTCACGTTTGATAACGTACTTCCTCGTTTTCCCGATTCATCGTGGTCGTGCTACCCTCGGAACTGAACAATTATCTGGCGTCAAAGACCAAATTGCGTCATTTCAGCGTCGTCCGCCACCCTTCTCGTTCACTCCTCCTTGAAATGCGAGCACCCTCCTGTGATCCTACGGCATCATCGTAACAGGTCCATTACTCCTCTCCATCCCTCGCATTAAAAATTCACTATTACGTCGAGATTACGTCACGCGGGAAAACGCGCGACGCTGTGATATGTATTGCGTCACTATTATCACATACGAGCGACCTTTCCATTGCGAAGATTCAACCTCTTATTGACACAAATTATCTGCTCGGAAAAGAAAAAAGATCGTTAATCTGTATCAACATTTTCACACAAAGTAAGATTCGACACGAGATAAACAATTTAATACAGCGCAATATACACCTCTATTACAAAATTTAGCAAATCCGCTAATTTAGAAAACTTAGCAGAATTAAATATACAAGCTATTTTACATTCCTCGGGAAACTATATTTTTACTTGGTGCATACTTTATACAATTACTAGCGTTCTTTATTTATGATTTCTGTATGGTAATTCGAAAACGGAAAGTTTCACGCTGTAAGTCGAAGCAAATCGACGTTTTGGATACAAAATAAGAACACGCACGTGTTCGCGCGATCTGCATATTAATATATATAAAGATTGCAAAATCAATCGCGCCCAGTTGTACGAGTTTTTTTAGCTATAATGCTCGCACACGTGTCGGTATGAAATTAATCCCGTGTTATCGAATGCTTATGCACTTTATGTCTTCCATTATGCGAGGTATTCTATAAAAAGCTCCCTACGTGCAACGACGCTCGAGAAATGCATTCCAGCGTGGCGGGTGCAGAATGGCAGCGGTGCGACGCGCGAAAACTCCTCGGCATGCAAGAACGCGCCGCGTTTCCCGACGTTGAAAGCACTCACATACGCTATTAACGCGCAGTCTAGCTCGTTTTCAGATAAATTTAATCGCGTCATCTGAATAAAAAAGATTACGGAGTATTTGTAAGCATAAAATGCAACAGCTTGACATCCCGTCATACTGCGTTGACGCGATCTCCGTGTTAAAGTAAACAAAATTCACAATTAGATTACATTAAATTTTAAATACGTACACAAGTTTTTATCAAATTCGTGACTTTGCTTTGCAAAAGACGGGAAATCTAGGATTACGAAATGCTTAAAATTGAAGAGAAATGAATATATGAAAAAAAAAGAGAGAAAGATACGATTGTGTAATACAATTTTCATGCAAGTTAACCGCACTTCTACAAACAATTGTCGTACTTTACCGCCACTTCGAGGGACATCTGGACGACACTTGCCACATCCTTGTGCATCACATGTCACGCGACACGAAAAGATCAGGACTCGTGGAACTTGAAATTTGCAAAAATTGCGAATTCTTCGCCGATGAGATCGATGAAAGTGACGAAGAGTAGAAAATATCGAGTGGCGATACTATGCCCCGCACGATCACGCGCCTTCGGCACTACTTTGTAGCGCGTCACCACCGCGGGACATGGGTGTGGATCCACCCCCAGGGAACGTGCCGCGATCACTGCTTCTGCCCCCGCCGACGTCCATACGGAGCGTCCTCGCGGTGGCGCCCCGACTGACGCGAAAAGCGACGTTTACTGTCGCCGTCGACGGCGGCGTTACCGTCGGCGTCGAGGAGGCGGCTTTGCGCCGTCGTGCACGCGCCTATTCTGTTCTTCCTTTTCACCCGCCCGTCCGATCCTGGCTCATACATACGTTGCGACGCCAGGACCTTGAGCGATACCAGTACTCTTCGTTGAAGGCGACCATCCCTGATTGTGTCTAATGAGAATCATTAAGACTACCGTCGAATGAAATATCAAATGCCATTGCAGAATCGCTTAAACAGGATCTATCAATTGATGGAGAGCTTCGCTTTCAATAATTCGAACATTACTTTAATTATCTATGTAGAATTTGACGAAGAGAATGTATACAGCGAAAAATAAATTTCCTGTAGCGATAGCTATGAAATTCTACATGGATAAAAGATACATTTTTCTTTATTTACAAAGATAGTATTTTTTAAATAAGGAATTTATGTAAGAGTATTATATAGTTGTGGGATTTTATGATAAAAAAAATATATATATTGCGAAGAATAAAATTCTACAGTATGTCGCGATAGTCATAAGACGAGATTCTGCATGGCAAGTAAATGCCACATTTCTTTATTTACAAAGATAGTATTTTTTAAAATAAAGAATTTATGTAAGAGTATTATATAACTGTGGCATTTTATGATCAAAATATATGTATATATTGCGAAGAATAAAATTCTGCAGCATGTCGCGCTAGTCATAAAACGAGATTCTGCACGGCAGGTAGATGCTACGCTTTTTATTTATAAAAATAATATTCATAAAGATAGTATTTTTTAAAATAAGATGTATGTTCCATGATGGGATAATGATTTATTTAAATAAAGATGTCTTCACAAATAATAAAAGAGATAAAATTAAAATCTAAATACTTTACGTATAGTTTTTCAAATTATCAGTTTTACATTTTAATTTAATTTTAACGAAATTTCAGTAACAATTGTGGTTTTTCAAGGAAAACATTTTCTTTTTATATCCTTGAATCAGAAAAATTAACTGTCCTAACCAGACTTGCTCGAAGGTTGTCAATGATGTTTAAACGTGATACCATCTACATATATACATAGATCAAGATATTGCATGGGCGTTAACTTATAATAGATTAAACCATAAAAGTGGGATCGGTCACGTGTGCTAATTAGAGCGCGAGTCTTCGACAATTAAATACTGTTTCAACATTAATACTCTTAATTAATTCTTAAGCCCATTTTACAAAAGAGTTACATCAATCTTTCACCGTCATAATATTTTAACTGACATTTCCGAATATAATATATGATTAATTTTTAGCAACCAATTATCGCGCATAATTAACTAGAGATGCTTCCGTGATATGCATAAAACTATCGAATATTTTATTATTAAAAGTTTGATTATAAAACGTACCTTTGTAAAATCATCCTCTTCAATCGATTGCAGGGCAAATATTCGTTGCGAATATGACGCAGCATTTAATCGCGTACTTCCGTGAATTGATCGGTCCTTAATCAGTGGATTAAAATTATAATGCCTTTGCGCGCGGAGCTTTCAAGCTTTCATCCTCTTTAGACAAGCTGCTCAAAACTTTCGTTTCGAAAGAAGTTTACATGCGAAATCACGAGAATTATCACATGTGTCGATCCAATTTGTGTCAAAAATTTAATGCTTTCCTAAGTGAAGTTAAACTCTCTCATTGCTCCAATTTTACGGAATTACAAGCATCTTTCGATGGACTAAAGGAAGCTTTAAAAAAAGTCGTAAAAGAAAGCCAAGGAGAAAAGAACAAAAAAAGAAGGCGATTCGCGCGGTAATGGTAATGATATCGCGTAAAAGTTGACTTTTGAGTTTTCTTCTCTCGTATATCCGATCCCGTTAAACAGCAGAATACCACGATTTTCAAATTATCTCGTTGTCCGAACTGGAGCGGGAAACTATAACTATACGGTAAGACGCGCGTTTTGGCGCCGTCTCGACGGGTATCTATTGATTGCAATTTGAGATGATGGGGCAAGCACAGAACAAAAACGCTTGTATCTCAAAGTATCTAGGCGGAAGAAAGAATGCAAAAAATAAATAAATGAATCGATGGCGGAATGCTAATCGTTACGCGAACTTTACTGGTCTTCATATCAATTACTGTACATGTTTATTGAACATTATTAAACGCAATTACGTTTACTTGTTTTTCTCTCTGTTAAATTAAAAAGAGAAAACAGAAAAAGTAATTTTACAAGAATTAAATGGTAATTGTAAAACTATAAATTAAAAAAAGAAATGTATTTATAATTTAAAATTTAAATACATTCAGATCAAAGCACCTTTCTTTTTATTTAATGCTCCGACTTAAATCGCTAACAACGTCACATCGTATAAAATAGAAAGAAAAGGAAGGTATTGTTAGATTAAATCTCCAATACTTGTTCCGAAAATTAAATGTTTACCCTTGCAGAAATAAACTTTTTCCAATATCTTTTCCCTCGTTTATATCTTAAAGGGAAATTTTTACTCGAATTCTTTGATCGTGAGATATTCGTGTCACGGACTTGCACGCGAAATTTCCTTAATGACGGTAAACAAGGACGCGCGGTTTGAACTGCTAGATCCGCTTTAATATTATTTATGAAAGTACCGCGAGATCTAGGAAGCTGCTCTGGCACCCTTTAAACGATTTGACCTTATTTTTTCTAGGGCAATCAATAGGCGAGGGTTCTACTAATAAATACTTAGCTAGATCGATAGGTAAGCAAGATCAACAAAGTGCCGCCTGAATAAATTTCAGACAAGATATATGTATGTGCATAAATGTATGTGTATGTGTACGTGTGTATGTACCGTTCAGCATGCACGTAATTCCGCGAGCGCGAAATTTCCTTTATGTACGTATAAATTTTTTTTTACTTCCACAAAAATAGACACGAGAATAAATGCATCAAAAAAAGGATGCAATACGAGTCGATTGGTCTCGGCAAACATAATTTCACTTTTTTGGAACTCGGCCAAACCCGCATTCTGTCTATAGAACCGTTCAGCTGTTGTGCATATATGTGTATCAATTGATTTCATTTAGAAAGTGTTCGGTGTTTGAAAGTAAATTGTTTAGATTTTTTTATATTCTTAATATTCATCAAAAGTGATATAAACAAACTCAGAAATGTATTTAAAGTAAAGCTTATTATTGTTTCATTTTCTTCTCAATTTTCTCATACACTATTTATTTATGAGAGTGAAATGTTAACCAAATAATCTTATAGAAGTTACTGAATTAGATATTAAAGCATTATTTATACACATTCGTGCAAATCATAATCAGAAAATTTTCATATTAATAAAAAGTATTTTTACCTGTTGCAATTTTCATTCTCACATCGACATTATATTATAAAATAGTAAAAAAAAAAATTATATGATAAGACACTTGAAGAGATATTTGCCAAGTATAAAGTATTTTACTTCCGACAGATAAAATATTATTCAATGTTAAATATTATTCAATAATTAAGAAACTTATAATTTTGTTTTTATATTAAAAAGACATTTAAAACATTTTTACTAAACTCAGTTTTTTGTTCACTAATAGAATTAATGTTTTGTTAAATAAAAAATTCCTAATTAATGAATGTTACACATAGTATATATGAGATATAAATAAATATATTTATGTGACTTGAAATGTTTGATATATGAAATGTTTTATTATAAAATATTTTAAAAATTTAGATTATTTTGTACATTTAAAAACTATAAGAATATTGTTATACTTACATATAAGTATTTTATAAATTTTATCCAAATATTGATTTAAGGAATTCTGTTCTATTTTTCCCTTGTGCTTCTCCTTTCTTGTTTCTTATCTCACTGTCAGTCTCTCTCTGCTTAACTTCAGGCAATTCAAAGGCTGTCTCCTGTCCTTGGTCATGTTTCTTGCGCAATTTTTTACTTCTGTCTACATTATACGAAAAGAAGTTTACTTCTCTCTTAGCTTGTGCTATTTCAGTCAAAAGTCTTTGTTTATGAACGGCCCGCTCATATGCCAAACGTTCGCTCAAATGAATCCATTTGAATCTGTAAAAGAGAAATTAAAATGTGAATAATAAATATTCTATAAATATTAAAAAATATTTCATATTTTACCTGGGCAAATATTTTATATTCCACATAATATCATAGAATTTGCTCTTTTTTCTTGTAGATATTTGTGTATTGTTTAATGTTGCTGCTACAAACTTGGCTACCTTTTTACTTTCAAATTCTACCCAACCTTCAGTGAAATTCTTAATTGCTTTCTTTCGCTTCTTTTTCTGTTTTTCAGGTTGCGTCTCTAAAAACATTTTATTTAAATTGAAACACATCGTAATTAGCAATTTGAGATGATTTTTATGTTTAGGATCATTCTTAGAAATTAACTTTTACTTATTTATTTGTATATATATTTTTAGAATCTTAACATGCCTTCAATCTAGATTCAGATTTAAAGGTTTTTTGATACACAAATTGATTTTTACTCTATAGCTGAGGTTATGTGTAGTTTATGTAAATATTATACAAAAAAGATCAAGACTAACCATTTTCGGCTAGTTGCAAGTACACTCTACCCACTTTCCCATAAGCGGAAAATATTTCCCGGACCATTGTAATATTCATATATTTTGGGATTGTGGACAAATATATTATTCCTCTTTTAACCTTTTTGCCAGACTTCACCACGTTGGTCGTTTCAATAATCTTTCGTGTCAGAGTCGATTCATTCTCCGTGTCACAATCGGTTGTACGAGTGTCTTCATTGCTTTCGTTTGTATCTTTGCAATCCATCTTTATATTAAATTATTCAATCACGTAAACAATAAATAAAACAGCAAACCGTATCACATGTTCACTGCCATTACCGATGATTAAAAAAAATGGACGATGTCTCGATTAATCGAACTAGTTGATAGGTTTTCAATTAATCGATATTTTGAAACGATAAATTTTCCGTGCGACTAATCGATGTTTAATCTTTTTCCACAGTCGATGGTTTCAAGTGATGACTGATTTCGCGCGCTGCTAAGTTGGTTGCGCAACGCGCGAACGCGCACGTAGGCGTTTCTGTATATGTGTACCGTGCATACATGTCGCACACGGCAATCGGCTGCCGATTCGCGGACTGACGGCACAATGAATCGTTAAAAAGAATATCGCGAGTGAATTGTGCAAAGTGCAAAACGAGTGGTCGTAGAATCGACCTCGTGGGGAACGAGCGAGCGAACGAGCAGGGCAGCGAGCAAAGGGAGAGTGGATAAGCTGGCCACTGCGGGAGATCATCGTCAACGACGTTACGCTACCCAACGCGAGCCAAACAAAATGGCCGCCCCCCGCTTGTCTTCGGTGGTACTGTTGTTTATCCATTAGGGAAAACGTTTCAACGGCGAAACGGAGCACGCTTATCGATTTCCCGCCGCCGCGAGTTCCGTGTCGTCGATCGCCGTATCGCATTTTCGTCGATTACGATACGCGAATCGTTGACACTTCTGGTTTTTTTTTGTGCGCAGACAACATTATTAGCGTGGTAGTAAGCATTATCGTTATTATCGTCGAGAAACGGTAGTGTGGTCTGTTTGCAAAGGCACGAGATACTTCGTCAACGTAGACGCGCGCTATCTTTTGGGAGCACGTGTGTCAGGACATGCAGACGCATCCGGTCGACAGTATTTCCAATTCTACGATACCTCCGGCACACTCTCGAGTATAATTTCGCGCCTAGGTAATTCATAACCTCTTTAATGTTTTGCTTTATATTGCTAAATCTTTTACTCTTTTAAAATCGGCCAATATAATTGTTTTATTTATTCTCTTAGGCACGAAAGATGTCTAGTTCTTTCATCGTGGAACCGCAAGATAGCGGTTCTGAAAAAAAAGACGACACATTGATTATTGTTGTTAACGATGACGGAACAATATCTGTTGATCAGGCAACTTTACACAACATGATAAGTGAGTAATTATGAGGATATCAGTAAAGAAAGAAAATATACAGCAGACTTTTAATAATTTTGCATATTCTTTGCATTGTAAAAAAAAGAATTTTTTGGGGAAATATTCTTTGTTATTTACAGCAAGATAGTTATCTAGAAAAATCTAAAAAACAGAATTCTCAAAGAATTTTATTAAGATTTAAAAATTTTTTGTTATTCAAAAATTTTATGTTGTAAATGGAAGTCAGAATATAAATTATTGTCACTAAATATCAGAATATGGAATATTTGCTTTATAGTGAACACTAATATGTATGAATTTATATATACAAATTTACAAAAGTCTGGTGTATAGCACAATAGGAAGAGATGTATAAATATCACAACCATTATAAGTATTGAATTATTTGACATTTCAGTAAATCAGTCAAGTGCTAATGTTAACGTGGTAAGATTAGGACAAACTGAAGCAGATGCTGAAAATGGTGACATAACGTTGACAGTAGATCCACCGCCGTTTTTGCACTCCGCAGCGAGCTCGGTAAGCGCTAATGCCAGTACCGACTCAGGTGGGTTGGTAGATCCATTTATGGAAATGGATCCAGAACAGCTGAAAACAATAGAGACAGCTCTCCAAAGTGAAGAGGCAAAACAGATGCTTGGGGAGAATGTCACTGCGATGCTTGGTATATTATTTTTTATATTATTTTCTTTTTTTAACTAAAGTCAAAGCTCTTATCATTTTCATGTAACATAGGAATCTTTTGTTCGTATTAGTGTTTTCGCAAAATTTCATTGATGCAATTACGTAGTTGAGATAATATGTAAATGCAACTTTTATTTTTCTGGGTCAATACAGTTAATTTATTTTTTTTAGATATGTTAACAGTGGAAGAGGAGCAAAATAAGATACGATACAGTATACAGTTGGATCATTGTTATACAAGTAGATTGTCACCCAGTGATCCAATACCAAGAGACCCCTTGCCAGTCGCTGATGATTCACCTGATTCTGATGTACAATACATACGTCAAGCGTCATCTCGAACTGTTGTGTCATCTATTACTGACACAAACAAGGGCAAAACTATTGTGAAGAGTGCACCTGTAATTATTGTTACATAATAAATATAATATTATCTTAAGAGTCTTTTTTTTTAGGACTGATTAATTGTGTGATATTTTGTTAATATTTCAATAGGTATTGCAGACCAAACAGATGAATAGACCGGTACGCAAAGCTGCTATGTCTACACATACAAACATAACCGCATCCCCTAGAACTAGTACAAATATTGTTGGGACTCCTAAATTATCAGGGCATCATCCTATGCCAAGAAATATAACAAATGTTCAGCAAGGAATTGCTAAAGGTATCATTCTAACAATTATATCACTAATATAGTCTTGGGAGCCAAATATCATTCTTATAATCATGTTTGTAGCACAAGGCAAGAGTAATGAGGAAGAAGATGATGATGAAACAGAATCATCTTCAGAATCTTCAGAATCAGAACCATCATCTGACAATGACAATGATTCGGACTTTGGCCCTCGTGGCACTAAGAGAAGTAATGTCAGGGCACGAGGAGGACGAAAAGGTCTTACTACAAGAGGTGGTAGCATGGCGGCCGTTCGAAGAAGAGGTCAAAATAAGCAGTTGGATATGGAACAGGTGCGACGATTAGATATGGAAATGGCCGCTGCCGTTAATGCGATGAAAACTCCTGAGAAAGACGATAAATCGGGTAAGTAAAATTAATTCAAGAAAGCAATCGACTTTGTAATCGAGTAAAAATAACGTAACATTTTAACATTGTTAGAGAAATTCAATTCTAAAAGTAAGAGACAAATTAAAACTCTTGGTGGAAAGAAGAAGGAGGAGCCGCAATTCACGGAAACGTCTCCGTCTGTGTCCGAAAATGCGTCAGCGGTTAATGAGAAGCCGCTGCAAACGACAAATCAAGTGAAGGCGAATCTAATTAACGCTAATATGATTAAGGGCGACATGATAATAACCAAACCTGGTCAAGGAAGAAGCAATCCGAAGGTTACTTTTGTTCAGAAACAAGTTACGATGAAACCGAATGAACTCAAGAACATCGGACTTAAAAAGCCTGTGGTGGTTCCTAAAGGAAAACTTGTAAATCAAGCCGATACAAAGTATTTTACGACCAAAGATGGAAAATTGGTGCAATTACCAGTTGCATCCAAAACAGTGTCTCCGATAACAACTCAGCTTTCTCCAGTAAAAACATTGGTACAGCAACCGGTATTACAAAAAAGTCCACCGAGTGCGAATCAAGGAATACCGGTGCAGCATCAACAACCAAAAATTACTTTATCCAAGTTGCTTGATTCCAATGTACAATTAAAATTTAAAATACGAGAAAAAAGAAAATCTGATTCTAGCATAGAATCCGTCTTCAAAGGAGAAGAAAACCTTGCGAAAGCTGCAGAGAATAAAATGTTAGATAGTGAGTATTTGTTTATCACATTGCCAGTTGCATAGTCGAGATAATGTATAAATTTTTATTTTTGTGGATTAATACAGTTAATTAATTTTTTTTAGATATTTTTTAGTTACTTTTTAGATATTTTATTTAGATATGATTAAAGAGATTCAGACATTGGATTGTATTTTTAAATGTTTTTTTATAGGTGTGAAGAAACTTAAAAAAGACAATCGGAAAGCTCCTGGATACGTAGCGGAAGGTCCTGCACTTTTCTCAACGCCAGATATAATTCGACGCGTTGGTTCGAACAGTGATGGGAAAGGAGACAATGGAGCACCTACGACTCCCACGACACCTCCTACGACAGCGATACCTACATCCGCGTCACCGCCTCTTCCTATATCGGCAGCTATTTCACTGAATATCGGCGTCTCTGTTGGTTCAGATGTAACCCAGAGCACAGTTTCTAATAAAATGATAGTATCCAATATAGAACAATCTGTTCAACCGGAGACACAAACCTCGTTAAACCTCGATGGGGATACTAATGCTATACGAGGAGACGAGAGTGATCAGAAAACAGAAATCAAGCCACCTCTGGCTGAGGAATTGCAACCGTCTCTCGATTCAGGTAAAATTAACTCTTCGAGTGAGATTCGTTATATGGTCTTTCCCAGTGCTGTTTAATACGCTTTTTATCTGCAAGCGAATCTTAACTTTTATGGTCTTTATAATGGTTTAATGGTGACTGTGTAAACATTTTTTCAACATTGTTATTCTATTCTCTTTTATTTCTTGTTTTTATTACTCTTTATTAAAAAAATAACGCTATTTTAACACATCTAATAAACAATTTAACACGATACAACAATCCCTTTTCCTTGAACTCCCATATTTTTTTAAGTTATATTAGCAAAGAATGACATACAGTGTATGTCAATGTAAAATTTATGTTTTTGCAACGCAATTCTATGTTTTCTTAGTGTCAAATACTGCTTCATCAGAGGGAATTATTCAACCTGTGGCACTACCTCATGTTCCAAATCATGTTTCTAAGAATAGTAAGTTTTATTATCAATTTATACTGTACAGGTGAAAATGTTGCACACGTGTCTATTTTTCTACACAATGACAATTGCGTTCTCTTATTTATAATTTAAATTTAGACTATATTTTTCATGTTTGTTCTTTTTTTGCTTTTAGAATATTGTATAGTATTTATGTTACAGTAACAATTATTTAGATGTTATATTATAAAATTATTATATTTAACGTGCTTGTTAAAGGTGGAATAGAGGGAGAGGAACATTTATTGGCTACTTTAGAAATGGAAGCCAGTAAACACGAAGAAGAATTACTTGCTGAAGCGTTGTTATTACAGGAGGAACTTGGAGTGGACTTAGCTGAACATGTAAGCCAAAATCTAATCGCACACATGCGATCACTCAAATCCTTAAATTTTTTATCTTGAAGTTTCGTAGATTAAATGTAATTTTACAAATAAATAAATATTGGGTTGATCAGAAAGTTTTCTTGGATTTTCGCACTTACTTTTATCAAAAAAGCTCTTTGATGAACCCAATATTTTTTTGTACATATATTGCGAGTATATTTTCTTAATATGTATATTTTTATTACTTTAGCTTTTGCCAAAGCTTGGTTTATAATTCAGTTTTACCACACTCATTCATCCACTTTTAAAATGTATCTGCTTTATAAAATAAGGAACAAGTTTCTCTTTAATATTACTATTTTTTATTCTGTTACTATTAACATACTAATATGGCGATTCTTTATAGCAGCTAATAAAATTTTATAGCAGCTATACACTTTAAAACACATCAAACTTCTGCTTATTTTGCGTAATTTAATCTTACAATACATTAATAATGGTTACAAATTTTTACCTTAACACTGTACCCCATTTAGGTGACATAAATTTTATTAATCTAATACATTTGTATTGAAATCGCATTATATTATTTTTCAAATACAATTTTTTTACATTACGTATAAATTTTTTAATTAGAACACTATGATATTTTTATTATGTACCTTGCATACAGTCGGCACTGGTTGATTCCACGCCGCCGGTTACGGAATCTTTAGCTTCGAATAGCATGCTCGTACCTACATTAATACCACCCGAACAAGAGTTGTCTAAACCAGAGGAAACAGTACTTACAAGCGATTCGCTACAAAATCAGACAACAAATTTGAAAGAAACGAGCAAGAAACTTTCAAAGGATGACAAAGAGCCGATTCAAATTATTCGCGGCAATCGTGTGATTACGTTACCGCCCATCGAAGCACCTGCCACGAGAAGCAAACGACTGCAAGCTAAAACTGAAACGCCGAAGCCGAAAAATCCTGAACCAATCAAGAAACCGGAGAAATTGACGTAAGTTATTATATTGTAACCTGAGCAGTTTTGGATGCAATAATAATCTAAGTAATTTTACGTAGCTTTAGATTTAAAAACATTTTTAAGTTTGGATAAGAGTTTACGTAAATTTCAAAAGTACACATGTATTAAAGTACAAATTTAAATTTAAACAATCCTCATATTTAAAATAGCATTATTTGAGGCGACGTCAAGTAATAATAATCGTTAACGTTATTGCAGTCCACAAATTCAGCAATTGTTACCCAATAAGGAAGAGCTAAGAACGGGTGTAAGTGAAGAGGACGAAGAAGACGATGATGACGATGACGAGGAAAATTCAGATTCGGAAGACGATCCAGATCGATTATGGTGTATTTGCAAACGGCCACACAACAATCGATTTATGATATGCTGTGACGTTTGCGAAGACTGGTTTCACGGGAAATGTGTACACGTCAGCAAAGCCATGGGTAAGTATTCTGACTTTATGTCTAACGAGATGAAATATTTATTTTTAGCAATAGTTATACATACGAGAAAAATCAGAAAAGTAATAAGACTACATGTTTCCTTGAGTTCTCTTGAATTTGTATCTTATACACATATATATATATATATATATATGACAGGTCAACAAATGGAGGAAAAGGGTATAGAATGGGTTTGTCCAAATTGCCTACGAAAGAAAGCCGAAGATGAAAAAACAAAACTGAATTCGCAATTATTATCTGTGAAACAAAGAACAAAGGTTGAACCGGTGACCGAGACTTCAACGTCGCAGGCTGCGTTATCAAAAGAATCGTCGAGTTCTCTCACGGACTATGGCACTCCTCCTCAGCACTCCTCAGTTTCTGGCACGATGCAGTGTGTTGTTTGTAAGAAAGAAGCCAGAAATTCCAGCATTTATTGCTCGGACGCATGTATTCTCGCACATGCTCAGGAAACTTTGACAAAGGACAAGCCGGTACCGACGGGATCAAATGTAAAACCTGGAAAGTCGCCTATTACAGAAACCATCAGATTAAAACCCGAGGCCAGAGTGATAGTTTTTGACAGAAAGAGCGGCAAAGTTCTTACCGGTAAATTTATTTAGTTGACGTTAAATATATATATATATAAATGACATGTAATTTCATGAATTATTATTTCAGGCGCGGATGCTCCGACGAGAACCAATTTGCGAACGTGGTTGAAGGAAAATCCGTCTTTCGAAGTGGTAGGAGCCAATAATATCAATACGCTTCAGATAGGTGGAAAGCTTGTCACGCAAATCCAAACATCTACAAAAACTGTATGTATAAAATTAAAATTAGATTTTAAGTTTATTTTAAATTTAGCTACGAAATAACACTTTTAAGTAAATTTTTAGATTATCTATGTTTATATTAATAATAATTCTACTAATCAGTATCTTGAACTATGAAAGATGTATATAACTCTATTTTCAGACAAAAATTACGCAGTTATCGCCAGTAAAAGTGCAAACTATTCCAAAGATGATCTATACAAAGGTTGCTGGATCGAAACAAACTATCTTAGCGCCTAATAAAAAAATCACGATAATTCCTGCTACACAACAGGTGAACGTGTCGCCGAGCAATAAACCGATACAGCTGAAGCAGACGACAATCACGACGACACCGGGAAAATTTTCTATGTTACTGAAGCCGACGACTCCGAAGAGTGTCACTCCGACACAATTGAAAGTCCAAGCGGCAAATTCGCCGAAGCAGCAGACACTGGTTAAGAAGCAAGAGACGAAGCCATCGCCGTCCCAATTGAAGCAAACTAAACTGACACTGGCGAAAAAACCGGAAGCGGAACCCTCCACACGAGTGATTACGCGAAAAACTCTGACAGAGTCACTGTCTACTCGTATAAAGGAAACCGAAGATCTGAAATTAACCGACGAAGAGATCGCGGACTTGGCGTTCAACATAGAGCTCGAAATGTTCAAGTATTTCAAGGACACGGGTTCCAAATACAAAGCGAAATATAGGAGCCTCGTGTTTAATATAAAGGATACCAAAAATTTGACATTGTTCCGAAAGATCGCAGATCGCAGTTTAGCACCGGATGCTGTGGTACGATTGAGCCCGGAAGAAATGGCCAGTCAAGAGCTGGCCGAGTGGCGAGAAAAGGAAACCAAGCATCAGCTGGAAATGATAAAGAAGAATGAACTGGATCTGATGGCCCAGGCGAAGTCGATCGTCGTGAAAACTCACAAAGGCGAGCAAATAATCGAGAATGACGGTGGAATCGATCATGTCGATCCCAAGACGCCGGTGCAAGATATCGTCACAGCGTTAAATAGCGGCGACAGCATAAGTTCCACTGTCGACGACATGAAGAAAGACAAGGATAAAGAGGAGAGACTGAAATCCCGAACGGACGCGAAGAAATCGAAGAACGCGGACGAACGAAGGAAAAAGGAGAGAGATAGGGATCGCGATGGCATGAAGTCTAAGAATAAGGATCGACGGGAGAGAAGCCGTAGTCGACATCGCCATAGCCGAGACCGCAGCAAGACGCGAGATAAGAGCAAAGAGCGGAAGTCGAACAGAAATAAAGAGAGCAAACGTGACAAGGATCACGAGAAGGATAAGGATCGAGAGCGGAATAAAGATCGGGACAAGACGAGGAAGGAGAGCAGGGACAGAGGTCGGCAGAAAGAAAAGGACAGGCATAAGAATAGCGATGATCGTGCGAGAAATTACAGCGGAGAATCCAAAGACATCGATAAGAGAGAGGAGGAGCGTAAAAAGGAGACGGACAAGAAGAAAGAAACGTCGCCGCTTCCTGCGGAAAAGCCGATAGAAGATCGCCTCTGGCGACACGTGGAAGACGAGGCGACGACGAATACAATTGACGGAAACGATTCTGACATATCTGACAGGGAACCCAGTTCTACTGTTACCATCAAGACACCTGACATAAACGAGGAACCCGAGAGAGAAAAGGAGCAGGAAGTGGACAGCAAGGAGGCGCCGACGAAGAATAGCTGGCAGACCGTTTGGCGCGGCTTCGTCAATATGGTGGATGTCGCGAAGTTCTTTATAACCGCGCAGGAAGTCAGCGGCAATGTGAAAGATCTCATGGATGATCTGCCGGACACTGTGGATGTTGTTGGTAGAATTAGTCACGAAACTGTTTGGGATTATATCTCGAAGATGAAGAGAACTGGTTCGAAGGAGATCTTGGTCATCAGATTGACAGCTGCAAACGATGAAGAAAAGATTCCTTACATAACCCTGTACAGTTATCTGAATAGCAGAAGCCGTCTAGGAGTTGTGGGCAATGTCTCTAAGAATATCAAGGATTTCTACATAATGCCGTTTTCCAGTCAGAGTACGATTCCACCCGTTCTCCTGCCACTTACCGGGCCCGGTTTCGAGGAGCATCGACCGCATTTACTTTTAGGCATCATAGTACGCAACAAGAAGAAACGACTGTCGGCTATACCATCGGCGATATCCGCGAAGACATCGAAGAAAGAATCTGACCGGAGTTACACCCCGCCGTTGGTCAGCGTGCCGAAGGAGAAAACCTCGTCGCCGCCGCCCTCGTCGCCTATGCTATACCTTAACAAAGCGGCCGCATTGGATTCGAAGGAGAAATCGGCGGTGACGCAGATGACTCTAGAGTCTTTGAACAAGGCGCACATAGGCATGTCGCGCGGTGTCATCGACACTGCGACGATATGCAAGATTGTGCCCGAGTTGTCGTCGAAGATCGATCTGACTTCGTCGCCGGGTAAGGTAGCGTTGGACGATGATGGTGATGAGCCGTATAGCCCTGGTGAGATGGACGACGACATGGACGATTTACAAGCTGCCACCGACAGCGCGAGTATTGTCGCCTTATCTTCTAGTAAAAATTCCACAGAGTTGCAGCGAAAGATGGAGGAACTGAACAGACAGATCGAAGAACAGAAGCAACAAATTGAGGAGCAGAAACAACAGATACAGAGCATAAGCTCGTCGTTTCTTGACGAAGCGACACCCACTCTGCCGGTGAGAATTTTCATAAGACTAATTTTTTACAATTTCGATTGTTATCGTTGTCTTTCTGTTTACCCGGAAATAAAATTGATTTTAAATCCGTCCGTATATCCAAATCCCATCCTTGAGCTGCTTTAGATTTTTACTTCTGAGAGAATTCTGAGATTTTGAAAGAAATGAGAGAAACGTTTATTGAACAAGAAAATTATATATTTAGCAATGAGATTAAGACAAAATCGATATGTCTTGTGCAATATATGCAGAGATGTAAATATATTTTTAAATTTTCTGCATCAAATCGATATTATAACCGTGTAAGATCACGGAAAGTAATGCTATGAATTAAAATTTGTATAATGTACAGAATCTAGCAATGCAACGAGTATTAAATAAACTCGTGTAAATATATGTATACATAGCGTTCGCATGCAACTCGGGCATTTACGGAAGTATAAATCTGTCAGCTCTATATATTTCTTTTAAGAATTTTTTTAAAAATTTTATAATATTTTTGCAGAATACAAAAATGCAAAATTATGAACACCAAATAAGAATATTTTTAGTTTTAAATTGCAATGTAATATTTATATGTCAACTTTTCTGTTATTTTTCGAATAATGAAAATCGGTGAAATATATATAACATTATTTTATCGCCGAAGATACGTTTGTGTTCTATTAATCGGCGTTATCACACCTGAAAGGAACGATAAGAGTTCTGTTGACAATTGATTGTGAACATTATCAAGTTTCCTCGGTATCTCTTATCGTTTTTATCTGCAATTTTTCTACGATTATTTTCTATGATCATTTTCTATCTATATTTTGTTTTTAGGGTTTAGGACTAGATCCACCAACTAATGACGGCGATGAAGCTTACAGCCCGTCGGATGCTCGGTCTTTCACGCCACCTCCGCCCGGCATCACCAAACTCGCGCAGCCCATCCTCGACAAGGTTTCGGACATCACCATACCGCCGAATCTGCAGGAAATTCTCGCCAATGTCAAGCGGCAGGAGTCCTCCAAAGTGGATCCTTATCTGCCATCTAAGCCCAGCGCTTCATTTTTGCCCACGGCGGGCGCATCGATTTACCAAAGCACGGAGAGATATTCGCCGTCTTCTTCCAGGATTAGTCAGCCGGAGAAAACGTCATTGGAGATTTCGAAGGAGAGCAAGAGCACATTGAGTACTTTGAGCGATCTGGATCTGATCCGGAAGGCGGAAGAAGAATTGGCCGCTGTCGCTGCTGCAACGGCGGTGGCATCGGCGGTACCCAGTACATCCACCATGGTACCGCCACCCTCGTCATTACTCTCATCTCCTGGCGCGAGTCTGGTTTTGACGCCACCGCCTGTGGACACGCCCATTCCGTCATCATCGCAGGTTCTCTCGTCGCTCACGCTCTCCTCGGAGCTGGAATCTAGTAAGCCGTACAAGCTGAGCCCTCCGGACCCCTTCAAGAAGAGCTTCGCCTCGGAACAGCCGAAGCCGCCCGGTCTCGAGGACGAGGATTTTCCTGCGTTCCCGTCGACCCCGCCGGCGATAGACGCGGCTGCGTCGCGCACGAAAATCTCGTCCAAGAGCGGCATCGTGCTGAATGTCAAGCGGAAATTGAATGACGATTGTACGTCGCCCACTAAATTACCAAGGACTAAATCGCGCTGGAGTCAAGGGCCCTCCGAATAATTCCAATCGAATCGCTACGAATTACGGTGATCTCCGGGTCTACAGACTTTCCGTGTATGCTATTTTACGATTATCGTTGACGTTTGTCGTGCACAGAGTAAAATTTTGTTTTGTCTGTGCCCAAATGGCGTTTGAGAGAAAGCGATAGACTACGGAGTTTCATTGTAATATGTAACATAAATGTACAAGAAGTTGGTGGTGAAGAAACTGCAGTAGGATTTTGTGTACGATGAGTGAAATAGAAAAAGAAATGAAAATGGAGGGGAACTGGAGAGATGTCGCTAGTCCCTCTCGACAGCTGTTGCTGTGAGTGTGAAGGAATTTGCATGTTCAATAACAGCAAATCACGTGTACGTAAATATTTGCTTCGAAATGTGAAAAAAAACGCTATATTTCTGGCAACACGTATGTATAAGTAAAGCTTTGTTACAAAGTTTGTAGAAAGGTTGAAGCAGTATACTGCACGGCGTGCGGTTTGTACAAAAGCTTTATCGGTCGAAGAACGCTTTCTAATCCTTTTTCTGGAATCCTTTATCTCTGTGACCTCCTTGTTTACCGCCGAGACGACTTTTTACTGTACTTCGGCCGTAATTTAAAGAGAGCGAGCCTCATGGAGGGTAGTTAGTTGTTTCCCATCTTTCAGGGAATCTTCCGTGGCATATTTGCCGACGACATTCTTCATACGCCAATGAGGAATGAAAGTTTTGAAAAGTATCTAGGTAAGTGGAGTGTCCATTTCCCTCACTCTAAACTAGTAACAAACATGAAGACAAATATGTTAATGATACCAGACGATGAAGCAGATAAAAAATGCTATCGATATATCAGTATAGAAAATACATAAAAGTGAGATCGCTCCCTGGACGTGCGAGCGTAGATGTAAACACGACGTTTCCGCACAGTGCGTGACGTGTGTTGGATTCACTATCGAACATTATAACTATGCACGTATTGTCCCTGTAAATACCAAAGCGAGAGGGTAAATGATAACCGCGTCGCGCCCATATATAATACGTTTTGCACACGATAGATATGTATATATACACATAAGTGAGTCGAAAACTTTCTGTAATATATTTTATTAAAGACTTCAACCTGTTTGTCACAGAATAGAAGCCGAAACTTTTGTAAGGTCGGATATAAGGATGTGAACATGTCCACTTTGAAATCAGGGTGCAGCTTAAATGTATCATATCTCAGGAGGAAGAATTGAAGCTAGTTTTTTCAGAAATCGCAATTGAGAAAAGTGCAAGGTATTTATAAAATATTCTATATATACCACAGATATAAAATATTTTATAAAAAGTATAACTGCAATATTAAAGATGTAAAAATATAATTTTAGTATATGTAATCTCTTTTATATTATATTTTAATATGTATTTTAAAACACACAATGTATATTGAAACAAATATGTGCATAATTATAAAAATGAAAGGCAACTTAAAAAACTATTATGTTTATATTGCTTCTTGAACTGAGAAATCGATGCATTATTTGTTTTAATTAGGACATTTTTAATTTAAAAATGGCATTTCAGTTGCGAGTTCTTTTCTTCCATTGAAGCCTCCTGTATTTTAAGCAAGCAGCAATGTAAATAAGTTTCGCAGTCACTTGTATCCGACGGAATTTAAATACCGGTCACACAACTACAATACATGCATATAATTAGGCTGTAAACTTGCAGCAATTCGTACATGCGGCGCGATTAATGTTGAATGCATGTGTGCATTTCAGATGCATCTCGTATACATAATACATAAAATGTTAGCAGTAAGATTATTATCTTCTTCCATAAATCTTGTGAAAAACTAGCTGCTATAAACAACATTACTGGATGCGTTTAATTTTGTACATGTGGTTACCTGCGAGCGTGTCACGCAATCGCAACAATCGAATTTACACAGAAAATATACGGTGTAACATATCGCAATCTTATTAATGCGACTTGTAACTCCATTTTTAGTAACTTTTAAGGATTTAGTGTTTATCAATGATAGAAATATTTATGTTAATATTATGTTAAAATTTTTACAATATTGCAAATTTGAAAATTGTTTTCTTTCAAATCTTGATGAATTTCTGAGAAAGAATTTTAGCAAATATTGTAAGATATTTTCATTAACGTAGCGCTATTGTAAAACAATTTTGTCTCTTTGTTTTCCCATTTCCTCATTTGCGTTTTGAAGAAAAAAATGTACCACACATCTGACACACCTCTTTTACATCCTATATACGTTTCTCACAGTTTCTTATTAAGCAGTAGAACATGAAATTGACATAATCTTGGAAAGTAACTGATGTATCACGCAAATTTTACTATGATATAATTTGAATCGCTCAAATTGCAGGACTTTGCAAAATAGCTATAAACTTGCTTACTTGAAGATTACAAACGCTTTATGTAGATTATTTAGGAATGAGCGATTTCAATTTTTATTTGTAGAACATCAGGCTATGAATATTATTGGGTTAACAGTTAACGATTTAACTTTAACCGCGACTAACAGGCTATAATACACGTACATTTTATTTACACACAAAATACTATACATTTGTTGAACACAGTCTATGTTTAAGAATACAATTTTTTGTAAGGATTAGCCATTTTATTTTATTATTCACTTTTGTACCACGATCTTCGGCTGATATAGCGCAGCAATTCTTCATTATTATGTATCGTCATTATTAATCTTAATCATAAAGAAAACTATATGCTATTGTTGATTTATTTAATTATTGTCCTCGCGCTTGTGAATAATAGCACGCATGCAATTATGTATTATGCAAAAGGTCTCTATGTTTATTGTTAAACACATCCCGAAATATGTTATGAATTTGTTTTCATAATTTCATTTAGCATTCACTGGCAATAAAAAGAAGAAAAAGCAATATTTATTTTTAACTTCTAGCTACATCAAAGATTGACTCTTGGATAATTAATTAGAAATATTCTTATATATCTAACAATTTTCTGAGTCTTCAAAATTATTATTAAATGTACTGATTTTTGTATAACTTAATATTTTCTTTTAATTGAAGCTAAAATGTACTAAATTTAAAGAATAGTATTTGAAGACTCTATTATAAATGTCTCTTTCTTTATTCCATTATTTTATTATTTTCAAAAACTTATTTAATATCAAAAAACAACCTTTTTTTATAACTTATTGTAAATTAAATATTGAAAACCACCCAAAAGTGTAGAATTTAAATGCTCCAATGAAGATTAAACACGTGCGAGAAATCTTAATTCAATCGTTAATTCAAAAAATAAATATTTTATGATTTTGTTGCATTATTTTTTTCTACAAAGCATACATACAAATATTTTTAATCTTTAATTAAAAAAAATTTTAAGTTGGATATAAATTTTATCATTTTTAGATATAAAATTGTATGCAACAAGGTTAGAAAATCGACTGCAAAGTCAAAATCGATTTTTTCGATTAATCGATCATTCGCAATCTCGTTAAATTTCCGCATGCGCTGTTTTGCGTATTTAAGGCTTTCGTCGTCGTGGCGTTACTTGTTTCCGGCATGCATGTGTACTGTCCATTTTTCCTGACACGCGCAATGGAGGTAAAGCCATTTTGTTCGGAGGTCCTACGTGGCGGCCGGATTGCTAAGCGTTTCAAGATTAGACATGATTCTCCGTAAGTATTGCGTTAACACCGGCAATTTTAGTGTTATTTGTTTTTTGACGATAGCGAAATTATACTATCGAAGAAAAGTACGAACTTCCAAGTTCAGGCACGCCGGGTGGCTGCATGAAATCACGCGTGTCCGGCAAAGTTTGCTTTCACATAATTTTCATCACATATTGACCGTTATATATATCTAAATTTATTTCAATGATGTATAATGTTAATATTTTTTAAATTTAAGATAATAGTGGCTATAAATTTGGTTATACTTACTCGATATTACGTTATACTGTAACTACCGGGTATAGAATTCTGCATTTAATTTATAACATAACGTACAAATGTTAACAAAAAAGATTCAAGATTTAGAGATCGAATAATCCTCTCTAAATTAAATGTAAAAATATAAGCAATTATATTACCAAAATTGAAAATTCTCTGTTACTAAAAAAATGAATTTCTTAACCTATGCTGATAAACCATTTTTATCTTAATGAGTATTATCTGCCTTCCCTAAATTCCAAATTCGTTTTTTTATTACTGTATAATATATATAAAAAAATTACTCAAGAATTAAAATTATTAAATTTAAAAATTTTGAGGAAATTTATTTAAAATTATATATTATGTTTTAATTTTAGAAAACATTGTGTTAGCTTAAAACCCTATTATGTACATTGTTAAACATTAATTTTATTATAAAGTTTGTTGGGCAAAAATTTATATAATTTTTTGTTCACTTTTTAGCTACTGTGTTATTAGCGTTGGTAGCAGTATGTGCACATTCTGCACTCTCAGAAGTCGCCCATTCGACAAATTCATATTTATCAACAGCTGATAGACTGCGTTTGAAGAGCATACTTGAATCAGGATTTCAATTAGAAGATGTATCCACAGTATATTATGCAGTTAGTGGGTACAAACTGCTTGGAGAAGCTGTACCAAAAACAGATGTAAATGTCTTCTTATTTTATATAAAGTATCAATTGTTTAAAGTTTAGTATACACCAAGTATTATATGATGACAAAAAAGCTATAATGAAAATTCATGATTGTTTGATTAGTCTTTCTGATAATAATCTTTTCTTCGTTACAATGTGTAATATTTTAAATCATTGTGTTAATAGTACATTTGCTTGTTTAGGCTATCTGTAAATATTTAATAAAATCCAATGGAGAAAATATTACACCTGAAACGGCACTTTACCTCGCGTCCACATGGAAAGCTATTGGAGGCTGCCAAGAGTTTCCCGCAAGTGCTGTGACTAAGGTAATGTGTATATTTAATAATGATCAAAATTATGTGATTATTGTAATGATGTTTATTAAACTTTCGTTCTTCTGTATGAAAACTGAAGACAACAATTATCGCTGAACAAAATATTTGAGAAGTTATAAATAATGTTGGTATGCTACACATAGTATATAAAAAATACAAAATTTTATTTATACAGATATTGACAAACGTTGTACAAAAAGATACTTCTACACTCTCTGATTTGTATTTCGCAATAAGTGGCTTGACAGCTTTGTCGCAAAAGGTACCTGCTGCCAGAATCGACAAGTTAGTAAAATTAATACAAGCAGCTTTACGGAAGGATGACAGTCTATGGAAGTAAGTTACATTTGAAATAATATATTAGCATTAATAATCAAAATTTTAATTTGGACTAACAATAATGATGCTTATACTTTTGTTCTGCTAAATGCAAAAAATGATAAAAGTAAAATTTTTACTGAAAGAAGCATCTTAAAATTTATATATTGATATTATGTTATTTAAAACATTAAATATTAATCAAATTTTTCATTTCTAGTTTGGGATATACATTCCATATTGCTGCAGACTTAGGCACACCAGCTGCATTTGCCTTCGATCGTATTGAGGATGCTGTGGTACAAGCTGATGAAGTGAATGGCCAATACTTGCAGTTTGAAGGCGGTCTTTCCATTACGAGTATGATACTCTTTCTATTTAATTTCAAATTTACTTTAGTGTTTAATTTTACAATTGCACACATGTGTCACCTGTGTCTTGTTTAAACATTTAAATTTTCAAGATGTTTATAAAAGTTATATATAAACATATTTTTTAATTTATATAAACATTATCTTCTAAGAATCTTAAATTGAATGTATGGATTTCTTCTGAATCTTAAATATTTTAACACTTATATAATTTAAATACAAAAATCCATGTGTGTCAGATTTAAATGCTGTAAAAAGATATATAATATTTTAAAGTAATTTGAACTAACTTTAACATAATTTTTTATAGGTTTTCTTATCAATGGCATTCTTAAATTGTCAACTTCGTTAAAGAAAAAGCCACCATTGAACTTCCAACAGACTGTTAAATTCAGCAATTATCTTCTCTCACGACGTTCCGTGCAAACCGCGAAAGGTGTCACGAACTTATTGTCTGCTTTAACTACTTTGGCAGTCGACAGTTCTGAGAAGCCTATTTGCGTAACTTTAGCCGATGGAGGAATCGTTATCTCTAATCAGCAACCACTGGTCACCGTCAAAGTTTGTGATATTCTTGGTCAGGCCTTGCCAACTGTGCCTAAAGTCGTTGCAAATTCTGCCACAAGAGTAGGAGATGACGTTGTTATTCTTAGTAACGAGAATTTACAATCATCTACATCAGACAAGTAAGTACTGTTGATTTGGTTTTCTATTTTTATATATTGTTAGAAAAGTTTTCTAATTTGTTTTTAGTGAAAATAAAATTAAAACATTAAGTGAAAATTACCCAACACACCAATATGTGTACTTGATCCCCAATTCTTTGCTGAATCAGTTTTTCCTTGCTGATGTCAGTTATACCTTGGGGTATAGCAATAGTTGTTGGATAATCCCTTTAACCTTTATTTTTTAAATTAAGGTTAAGAAATTCAACATATATATATATATATTTTTTTTAAATTATATTTTTATTTAATTTTTATCTTCATATATTTAAATGTAAAATTCTGTTTTTGTCTACAGGACTTTGTTTACAATGAATCTTATGAATGTGAAACCTGATCGCGGTTTTTACAAGGTATCAATAACTGCGTCTTCGGTCACGAATACGATTACAGTGAAGGTCTTATCTGAAGCGATACTGGACTACTTAGAGATCGGCACTGGCGATGCCGATCAAACTACTCAGCCAAAACTTACGAGGTATTTCCATAATGCTAATATTTTTCGTGATATTTTACATACTCAATATTTTATATCTTTAATGAAAAAAGTTTACGTTTTTAATTACAATTTTTTATTAATTCCAGGGTAAACACAGAATCCCCGTCGAGCAAACTTGATCATAAGATAGAAGCTGATTCTCAACAGAAACTAGTCATGCGATTCTTGTTGCGCGACTCTTCCAATAAGAAACCGATGCGTGTGCATCAAGCCTTCGTACGCCTTACGTCCGCTTCCGCGTCCACCAACAAGCGAGGTCACGAAATCTTTTTTGTCGCCGAGCCTGATGCTGCTCACGTTTATAAATTCGATATGGTAATTTTATGTTATTTCGCATTTTCGTGTTTATTTCCATATGCAAAACTTTGGTTATGTAACCTTATTCTTGTATTTTCTTTCTGCATATATATAATTTTGTCTCTAATATTTTAGCCGGTTGGAACAGCAGCTGCAAATTTCGGCTATCAAAGTGGAGAATATAATATGGAATTAATTATTGGCGATGCCGTAATTAGCAATCCATTCCGGTTCAACATCGGCACGGTGACTTTGAAATTTCCTGAGTTGAGTTCAACAGAAGTTGGCGAAAAGAGTGCATCTTATAAGCAAAAGCCGAATGTATATACAACTAAGCCGGAAATAAAGGTAATATTCTTATGTACATATCTAGATTAACACCAATGCTCGTTAGTGGCAGAAATTCTTTGATAATTTTGTCACCTCCAAAACATTGGCAGATAATCACGTCAAAGATAATATATTTCCAAAATTTAACATTTTGCGTAATATTCTTTACGCTTTGACGAACACTTCTATAAATAAAAATTAAATCTGTGTCTTTCTAACAATTTGCAATTGTTATTTTTCATTTCAGCACATGTTCCGCGAGCCTGAACGTAGACCTCCAGCGTTTGTATCGAATTTGTTCACGGGATTGTGCTTAGCACCGGTTCTATTGTTGCTGATTTTATGGGCTCGGCTTGGTATCAATATTTCAAACTTCCCTTTATCTCTCAGTGCAATTACATTCCATATTGGATTAGGAGGTAATGTGATAAATCATATTAAAAGAAAATCGCTTATCAACTATTTACACGTACTTCGATGATGATGTACAGCTTGTTTGTTTTAAATGTTAATTATTGTATTATTCTTTTACTTTGTTTTTTTATATTTATAAGAACATGAAATATATTATTTTATTTAAAACTCAGGGCTGACCTTAAAATAATCTTAAAAAATAAGTAATTTAAAATTCAAATCGATGTTACATAGGCATTTCAAAGTTATGTTTGTTTAAATATGTTTTGCATGTCCTTAATAATTAACAATAAGTGTTAAGACCTTTATTCTTTTTTACTGCGATTATATTGCATTTTGACGTCGAAGCTTTAACATTTAAAACAAACGCACTGTATATAATGTGCCCGATCTTGCTTGACAGAAGATGACATATAATCTATTTGTTTTCATCGGGCAAATAGCAAATTTTGTGATGTTTTCGCAAGTACGATAATTATTGTTGATCGTATTTGTAGCCCATGATTCACTACAAATTACTACATTCGTTATATTGACAAGTCGTGGGAGCAGTGCAGTGGAAATAACCGGGACTTTTTTTATTTCAGGCATCTTTGTGCTGTTCGGTATTTTCTGGTTAAAGCTCAACATGTTTGTCACGCTGCGATATCTCCTCGGTTTTGGCGTTGTTACATTCCTCGCTGGCAATAAGATGCTGTCGCAGATAGCACACAGGCATAAGAGTCAGCGTTAATTTATATCTGAATGTACGTTACAATTGCAATTCGAAATGCGTAATAAATACAAGACTGCCGTAACAAGTTCTTCTGTGCTATCGATCAAACTTGTTAAAGTGGTAGAAACACTGTGGTATTTTTTCACTTGTCACAGATGTACATAAATCACGACATTGTTTACTTCGTTTCTCATACGCATTTTTTCATAATTCATCAACGGTTTATATGGTAACTAATGTACGGTTACAAATTATTGTACCGACAAGCAGTAAAATTATAATCCCTGATCACAAATCTAGACAAATTATAAAATTTGATATTAGTGATAGTTGGACTGTCTTTATAATCTTTATCTGTAAATGTTGCATTTTATATATAAAATAATATAAATAATTGCAGTTTATTATTTCTATATTGCCAACAAGAGCGAGTGAGACAGAAAATACTATTTTATGTTTAAAACAATTTTGTTGCTTTTTAATGATGTAAAATTTCTCACATGTATACGATAAAAATTGCCACGATAATTGCAATTATTCAGCGTAGCGATATTAATTACGGGTCGTTGCAGGTACATCTGAAAGAACACGGAAAATATGATGTTACGAGTGAGTTTTCAGAAAGTATATATTCTACACTTTTTGTATATTTTTGCTATTACTTATTCTGCATCATATAGGAATTAAGACATTTGCGTAAATGATTTGCCTCAATCTTCAATTTATCTCTCTCCGATCGCAATTGCATAGTAATCATTTGTGCAAGACCGACTCGTCGCCAGAAATTTGTCAAATCTTGATAATTCATAATCTGTATTGGACAAATTCTTTAAAATTTCTTGATTTTATTATAAATGTATGCACATATTTCTGAATACAAAATTAACCTGGTGAGAGACATCCCGGATATCTGGCGGAGTAGCATTTTGATGTGACGTGGAAGTTGTTGAATCTTCTGCACTCTCAACAAAGGGAAGTATCTTTTCGTATTGCGTCTCATATTTGCGACAGATTTGCATCAGCGTGAGCAGTCGTTTGCCTTTATTTACAAGACGCTCTAAATGCTTTATCGTCTTATTGTACTCGATAGACAGTATCTTCAATTGCTCTTTGTCTTTCGCCTGTTCTGAAATTGTTTTACATTTCTCAGTTCGAGATCATTATAATAATAATTAGGGATAACACGATTGTTAATGTAGTTTTGTGTAGTTAGAAAAAAAATTCGAGATATAAGTTATACAAAATATCAATCTAAATAAACCAAAGAATTAAAGAATAATATGCACCGAAGAGGAAACGATTTTTTACAGTCCAGTAGACTTTTTGAAAAAAATCGTATTCCGCTAGAATTTCAGAAATCTCTCTGTTAGTCGCCGCATCGTACGTCGTTATTTTGCTTCGGAATTTCTGTATTTCTTCGAAAAGACTCGCCGTACGTAATAATTGTTGTGCTATCACTTGTTGATCTTTTCCGTCTTTTTCTTTAAGTGGTTCATAATGATTTCGGCGATCCTTCGTTTCTGGTATGATGTCATACTGACTAATATTAACTCGCATTGGATGTTAGAATAAAATTAGTTTACATTAATTTACATGGATCGAATTCTATTTCGGAAATTATCTATGTGATCGAAATATAATTTAAAAATAAATTTTATATAAGTTTAACTATTTTTTTAGTCAAAATATTAACACATACAAATGTTCTTCCGTGTTCATGATTTTGAAGTTGAATATAATTTTTATTACAAACAATATTTATGGAAAATATTGTAAATATAAAAAATATAACGTTAAAACATGCAATCTAGATGTTCTAAATCTTACTATTCTGGTAGTCTGACAATACTTGTCGCAGTTCCTCCCAGAAGCTTCGCAACTGATTCTCAAGTTGAGTTGCAGAAAATCGACGAATATCCTTACTGTCCGCCACAAATGCATCGATTTTACCTTTAGAGATATAATTCAGATATAATTAGTCAAACTAAGAGGTCTTGTACAAAATTATAACAATCATCCGTTTTAGTTCGAAAGTATTTATTCCATTCTTTTTATTAAAACCTATTTTTATTAAATAATTCTATTCAATATATTATCTGTTATTGCCAACATGAATTATGGTATTGGCATAAATTAATCTTTATTTTTAATTATTCCAGATATAAGTAAAATTATGTAAGATTAATATCTATACTTAATGCAATGCTCTTAAGATTGTTTAGTGATTCTTTCAGTTGTTGCTGAACGTTGTGAGTTACTAATTGTAGGAAGATCTCATTCTCATTTTGCTGATGACAAATTTTATTGACTTCAATGTCTTTCTGATCAAGCTTCTCATTTAAAGTCGCTCTATAATTCTGTTCTTCGCGTTCCATTTTCTTTTTGTATGATCTTAATAATCGATCAATGGTTTCAATATGTGATCGTACATTTCTTTGATACTGCTCTTCGGCCTCGGCTAATTCGTCCATTAATAAACTTATTCTGTGAAACATGAGATACATGTAAAAATATCTCTGAAAAAATATGCAAATTTTCTTTGTAAAAAGGAAAGATGTGAACTTCTCGTTCTTTTCAGTGAATCACATTCAAATTAAAATTGGACTTTAGAATACTGACATTTTTTTCCAGAAATAGCGCAATGTTATCAACAGTTTGTAATGAGTACATTTAAAAAAGTTCCAAAAGAGTTATTATACATACAATAAAATAGATTTTTTATTAAAGTAATTGTTGCAAAATTAATATTAAATGAATATTAAATATATTCTCAGTCACCACACAAATTTCTTATTCAATCCTGATGCAAGAATCACGTTAAATAATTTTGTTGCGTAACCTATTTAGTTGACACAAATAGTGACCTGTAGTCCTTGATGTCAAGAGCTCGGTCGAAATTGCGCCATGCGACCTCCACATCCTCGATGATCTGTGGCATTTTGATCCTCATCATCATTTCCCGCCATAGCGTGCGATAACGCTTTGTAGTCAGAGCACCGAGCTTGATCTCGCGCATCAGCTGCTCTTTTCTCAACATTCGAGCATGTTCCTCTTCTTCCTGTTCCCTTTGTTCTTTAGTCTTTTTTTCTCGCTTTTTATCTGCCTTGCCTACCTTGATATCATCATAAACATTTTTAATATGTTTTTTAATGTTTTTTTAGAATAAACTTGCATTCATTTTTACATACGCGCGCACATTATTATTTATAGTATATATATATGAGTGGTCTTTTAAGGTGAAAAAATTGTTATAAAAAATAAAATCTTACTCACCGCTGGTCGCATGTTTTAAATCGCGTTGCAATTAACAAAGTTTATGATTTGGTGTAAAATTCTTAGGCTAAATTTTCCTTTGCGAGATGCTTGTGTTTTTCGCGATTTTCTTATTTTATACATATTTAATTTTCATAATTTCTTCAATATATTTCTTGGATCTAAAAGTACAATATATAGAGACACATCATTTAAAAATGTATACATATATAATATCAATTATGTCAATATAATATTTAATAGAATTTTAACTTTGGATTTATTTATCAAGGTTTTGCGTGGAAGTAGTTTAGTTCTCACCAACGAATATCTTCTCGTTTATATCGTCTTATACACAGGTCTCGTATGTATCTTAGACGATTTTTATTTGATTTCGAAAGACATGTTATTAATGCAGACATTAAGCATGCGCTTAATTTGCATATACATTCTGTGGCAATGACCATGCCGGCGCTACTACCATTCCCATAGAAATATGTAGACTTTGCGCGCTATCCTTTTAATACTAACGATTGGTAAATGAATGTTTAAGGTACAGCACAGATAACAAGTTGCTAAGGGAACAGAAAAGTTAAATTATTAAACGATTGCGAGGTATAATTAAATTAGCATCCTACAAAGCGGCAGGTTCATTAATAACAAGGTCACATTATGCAAGATTGTCCATGTAAAATATTTTACAGATACAAGTTGTTTCCTCAGAGATTGTTAGAGATAGCATCCATCACATTATTTTTTCATTGAGATAATAAATTAATCATTTATGTAAGATATTTCATAAGTAATTAGAAAGTAAAACAAAGAACATTTATGTATTTTTTTCTAAGTAATGTGACAATGCCATGTGAAGATTCTAATTTCAGTATGATTATCAGTGTATCTATATTAAATCCACTTAGGTGACCCATAATTTGTGACAAGACTTGAGAATTGGAATTTATTTATAATTATATACACTGTATATAATTATATATATTTTGTATATATGTATTTTAATTGGAATATATATAATTAAAATCAATAATGTTATTGTTATTTACATGTTTTGTACTACATATGACTATATGGAAATCTATATAAATTTATAGATTTCTATTTTATATTCTATTGCAAAATTATAGATCGTCTAAAGTGGGCTTAATAGAATTCGCAACAGATCGCGAAATAAAAATCTATGGTATAATAAACATGAAAAATCAGAATATACATACCAAAAAATTAAACATGGCATATAGAATTATAAATATAGCTTTCATCTCTCGAATCCTGTCGTGAATTATGAATTGTTTAAAAGAGGCTCGATGATAAAATTGGGATTTTACAAAGTTGCGAAAAACCTGAAAATCAATAAATGTTTCAGGAAAAAAACGCTATTATATACAACAGGTTAATAGCCAAGGTTAATAATCAACAAGATGATAAATTCTTATAGGCTACGCCCAAAATTATGCTGTGTGTTGACATTTGCGTGCAGTTCTGATAAAAATAAGAGTTACATAAAGTTAGATATGCACATAGACAATTGTGTTAAGGTTATTTCTAGTTCTGTTCTGCTGTTCTTTCTCGTTAATTCATAGAGCATTTTCCATGTCGAAACAAATATAGATGATGGAGTGAAATATACGCATAGATAAAACACGTAGAAAAAAAAGTCAATGATCCGGAATTCCCTGAAAACACTTTATGCTAATTTTTCATCTACCATTTACCATTTATTACGTAAAAGCATGGAGAACGTGTGCTTATTCCAAGGTCACAACAAATATAGTTTATCTCACGCGATTGTACGAATCCGTTCGTTTTTCACGGACTTTCATTTATTATTTATATAATAATGCAATGAATACATTGTTATAATCCACTAAAAAACGTGACAGAACTATCGAGAGGAAGCATGGTATTAAATCATATGTTATTTCAAAATCTTTCTGAATTACATAAAAAATATCCAAAAAATACTATGCATTGCATAAGCCATCGAAATTCTAAATATTAATGATGACATAATATATATATTTCCATAATATAAATCTCTTGCAAGCAATAATATAAGTCATATTTATATAAAATATTTCGAGCTGTCGAAAAAAAAATTTCCATGTATCTTCATTTCTTTCGCAGCATTTGTAAATGATCATGTTTCGCATCATTCAAAGTCAATTCACACATTCACTGCTATACGCTTGTAACGCGAAAATGTAAATATGTAGGAAGTACAATGTAAATATGTAGGAAGTACAATGCCAACGAATTTTGAAAGTTAATGGGAAGATCGAGCGAACGCGAGGAAATCGCGATAATCAATTTCGGCAATTCAATCTCAAGCTTGGAATTCCTGTCGAGTCACTGGATAGATTCAATGTCAGCGCGTAGGGAAATGAGACCTCGATTTGATTTGGCGGGATCAAGGGAGACGACGAGGGCGGCGGCGGATAAGTAAAAGAGGTATTCAGGTGGAGGACACGAGAATGAAACTTGTCTTTTCGAGGAATTTGGCATAAGTTTCCGGTGGTAGGGGACGCCGGTCTGAACTCATCGTATAAAAGTCTTTGGACTCGCTGCTCTGGGAAGAGTCAGTCTCCATCCGAAAACGTGGTTCCTAAACAAGGTACGTACGTGGTGCATGGTCACACCATAACGAAGAGATATAGGAGTAAACCTTACAGAAACTTTGACTCTTCAAGATCTGCGATAAAAGAATTCTTGCATGTGCAGACTTAAATTACCTGTAAAAAAGTAGAAAAAATTAAAGTCTTTAAATTAGAGATAGTTTAACGTTAAATTTTGTTATATACATTCTTCTCAATTGCATATTGACAGATTATAACTATTGTTAAATATTTTTTAGACAAAGTTTTAAAATCTGTGTGTAACTTTTGTTATAAATCATTTTCTTCCGAGATTTTAAATCACAATTTTAGATTATTCACATATTTAAATTTGATATACTTAAATGATAAATTATTTCGTTAATAACAGTTGAGCAATCATTTTATATGTGTTCCATTTAAATACAGTATTTAATGTTACATACTTTTAATTATTTCATTATTATATTAATTTTATTTAAAGGAATGCGTGACATTCAATGATTCAAACAGTTGTAACATTTTTTGAAATCTTTTTAAATTATATTAAAAAAAGATCAATTATTTATATACTTGTTCATGTTCAAAATGCAAGATTCATGTTGTCATCGACTAGACTTTTCTATTTTATTCTCTTCAATAACTCCTATTTTTTTGTTCAGATGATGACGAGGTACATTGTTGTGCTGGTCGCTGTGCTAGCTGTAATCTACGCTCAACAACCCGAGACCGTCTCTCAGGACCAGCCGCAGCAAACGCTAGCAGCACCTGCGGCACCGGAATCGGAAATCGTCGTGTTCGATGGAACCGCATTACAACCAGACTCAACCGAGGTGGCTGAAACGCAACCACGCAATAAGAGAGCCCCGCTTCTCCTAAAGAAGGCTCTCCTGGGCGGTGCTCTTCTCGGTGCCGGAGCTCTCGGCGCTGGTGCTCTGGGCGCCGGTGTCCTCGGCGCTGGAGTCTTGGGTGCCGGAGCTCTTGGTGCTGGACTGTACAAGGCTAAATAGTAAGTTACATCTTTCACGCTACCTCTCTGAAAATGGGAGTCTAAAGAGAATAGAGAAATGTGTTGCATTTTACATTATTTATTTATTCATTATATTTATATAAAACTATAATAAGATGTTCAGCAGTGAGAAAGTTGCGTACATTTTTACCGAGTTCCGGATGTTGTCAGTTCAATTTTCACGATTCGTTATTTGCCGAAGTTTCGAAAGTTTGCTAAAAATATTACAGGGAAAGTGTCAAGTGCTTTTCTGTAAACTGTCGTAATCTTCTTTTAGCCTTGGTGGCGGATACGGCTACGGCGGCTACGGCGGCTACGGCGGCTACGGCGGCTACGGCGGCTACGGTGGCTACGGCGGCTATGGCGGTTACGGTGGCTACGGCGGCTACGGCGGTTACGGCGGATATCACGGCTACAACCCCGGCTATCATTATCACAGTCATTATCATAACGCTCCCCATCATAGTTACTACTCACCTCACCACCATCACTACAGCTACGGAGGACTGGGTTACGACTATTGGTAAACTGACCGACTTCAATGTGTATTGTGAGAGTAAGTAATTGATACATACTTAAATTTTCATACTTTACATATTTCACATTATTTTGAAAAACAATATCCGATATTTGAAAATTAATACAGTAACACATTTTCTTGTAGATCTCGTCGATGAACGGAACTACCTGCCAATTTATGTGGATTTCTTTCTAAATGTAATGTAAATTGAATGCTTCTTATGTGAATCATATTTATCAATGATGATAAGAGCTACCTCCTTTTTGTACAGTGTGCACGCAATATTTATGCATCGTAGATATGTTTACATATTTGTTATGAAACTTATCAACGATGCAAATTACACAGTTTTAATTTATACCAAACATGTTTTAATTTAAACCATTTATGTGTTGAATATTTTGAAGCATAATAAAATTTCTGAACAAAATCGACTATATAAAACGAATCAATTGACCATGGTTATCTATTATCCAATTCATTAACTTTCAAAAAATTATCTTTGGCGGTAAATATCAAAATATAATATTCTTTTATTTTCGACACAATGAAATGAGATATTATGCATTTAGTAGTTTACACATATCACATACACACACAGTTAAAGACCTAATATACTTAACTTTGCTAATCTGTATTGTCGCGTTTTAGTATTTCTAACAAGAGCGATATCAGACCTTTTATCCATCATTTTAAGTAAGGAGGCTAATGTGACATATCCGATACCAATACCTTTTGCTTCGCTAAACGATAAGTGACCCATTGTTAAATATCCCATAACTTCTCTATCGCAGGAATAGCGAACGTCTGTACATTCCGGGAGATACAATTTGGACATTTTTTCCAATTGATTCGATATAATTTTGCGCCGCGATAAAATGTCCAAGTGTTTGTCTTCGTCCAACTTACCGCTGGGTCCTTCCAACAATGTCAATACATTGTCTCCAAGCGTTTTCTTCAATCGAATTCTGTGCCGTCTTAAGCGTTTTAACAGCATCAAGTGACTTTTGCGCAATATTTTACGAGACCTTTCGTTCGGATCGGCGTGACGTTTTTCGACAGGCCCCGACCACTTCTTATTACTTTCAAACTTTTCCAAATCTTCCCGCGTGGGCATGCATACAATAGCAAACTCTTTCGGCGATCCTTTTCCCACCATAGATACTTTAACGTGAACTAAACAATTTTTATATTTGTCCAATTCTTGAAAGTCGGATTTTGTAACTTGAGCAGGCAACCTTGCATATCTTTTCTTAACAGGAGAAGTAATGCCCGCTTGTAAAAGCAGTAAATGTTCACGACTCCTCAGGACGTAAAAATTTTCAACATCCGACCAGTCCTTCGTCAAATTTTTCCAGTCGCAGAAAAAAGGGCTGCTAATACCAACCTTAATAAAATTCACTCTTCTATTTGGCGGATAGCGGAAATACTTGTTAGTCAATTCCTCCTTCGTACACAATGCTTCCCTCGCGTAAGCGGGACTGTCGGGATCATTAATATCTGGTACATTTAGAATCAAACTTTCGAAAGCTACTGATCTTGATTCTCGAAGCGCTCCTACTCTTACACATCGCATTACGAAGGCAATCCAAAATGGCATTGACCATCTAGCTGGTATAATAATGTCCATACCAGAACCTAAACCTGTTAACATATAATTTGTTGTAAACAATAATCTTAAAATTTATGCATATCACTGTATATTACAAATATACAAATTATATTTTGTTACATACCTGTAATCGTTCCCTCCTTCTGAATAAGGAGTATAGGTATCTTTGCCATGATGTTCTCATTGTAATACTGGTCGTTTAATATACCAGGTACAAGACACTCACCCCTGAGCTTATTAATTGCACTTGTGGACACGCAGGAATTGCTCACAGTATGACGTATTTCTGCATCCCAAAAAGGAGTGCGGTTTGAATTTATTGGTGACTGATCAATTGGCTTTAATCGCGAACTTGTCTCCTCCATTTTACATTTTGTTCTTTTCTCAGGTAAATAAAAACGTGGATCTAAAACAGTTAATCCAATAATCATACTCGTTGGCAAGAAATTTGGCTCCCTAGACTTCATTGTTTGCCACAATTGATTTTGTATCTTAAAAGCTTCCATGTTTTCCTGACTTTTATAGTACTTAATATGCCATACTTTTTTACTAAGTTCCTGTATATTCAAATCTTTCAGAATTACAGTATTGTTTTCACTTGTTTCGTCAATTGTCATTTTCTCTGTAGGTTGCAAAATATTACTGTCTGTTGATTCTTTACTTGTGTCTAATTCTTTCTCGCTTGACAAATTATGTTCTAATTCAGTTAAGGATGGTAGATGTAATGCCTCAGTTAATACTTTTAGAGCCAATGGTCCATAGAGTCGAAATCTATTCAATGCATTTCTTAATATAATCATTTCGCAATTTAAATCATTTGTATACAGACAGTTTAAGTTGTGCGTGTCAGTTGCGCTTTTTTCAACATTTTTCTGTTTAAATTCAAAACTCGATATTATCTCATCAAAAAAATCGTTGTAAAAGGCAGGATGTACCCAGATCCAAATTGTCCTAACATCCGATTCCTTCGGTCGCCAGAAAAAATTTACATTGCCAATAGGGAAATGTGGATAACCATTTTTCTTAAAAAACATCACAGCACCTTCTCTATTACCATTAATCCATTTTTTTGCTGCAAAAGTTAACGTCGTTGGATTGCAATGTGTTTTCAGTGTTGTCTTTAGCAAATTTTCCTCTCCTTTTATTTCAATGCAAGTATAGTAAGAAATATCTTGCAGCAGGCAGTGCTTTGTGACAGCACGATAATTAGCTCTAAAGCATTTGTCGTTTGGATAATTCGCAATTCTATATCCCCATTTGTCGATCATGTGAAAGCGTTTTGCATGCCAAATGTGAGTTTCCAACCAAATTTTATTACGTTGTCTACGGCTGTATTCAGAAAGTAAATTGCGTGGTCTTCTACGATATTTCCGGGATGGCCGTTTGCTTATTAGTGGTAAATTTTTGCCATTTGCTGATTTTGTCATTTGTGCCAAATGTGCTTCTCGTAATCTACGTGGTAGTCTTTTGACATTGTGAGACATAACACGTCTACGCATATATACAGGAAGCTTTTGAAACACCAACTTGGTTTGCTTAGGATTTTCTGCAAATGAAAAAGATACCAGTGTTTAAAATATTATATTGTATATTTAAAATACAATATTTTTCAATATTAAATATTTCTTTAGCTAAATCTTAATTAGATTTGGTTAAAGCAAATTTTTTTAAACTGTCTAAAAATAAAATCTTATTATTCACGTAAAAAGCTCTAGAAATAAAAAAGTATTAATAAACTTGAAGTCTAGGCTTGTAATTTTCAATAGATATAGTGGTAGGAGGATCTCAAGCCCAAGTAGATCGTATTTCTTGATAAATATTCTTTATTACACCAATGTTAGAACAAACGTTTCGGCTGATCATACTTGGGCTTGAGATCCTCTTATCACTATATCTATTAAAAAAGTATTAATATTTTTACATTCTTGTAAAGGAAAAATTGATTCAATATTGACATCCAAATCAATATTTAAAACAAATCATAACTGATGTGAAATATTAACATAGAACAGATTGAAGCAGATATAATACAAATTTATTAGAACCTTAATATTATTATTAATTTGTTAATACAACATTACCTATCGAATATGTCATCATGGATATTTCTTGAGCTCGTGAAGAGGCGAATTGTGCAATGGAAACTTCATGTGGAAGTGATTGGGATCCTCCCAAAAATTCATCAAATTGCTTCCTTTTTGCCATAATATTTACTTGTCAATATATTATACTTTTACCAAATTTACTTATTCTTTCAAGTAAAAGTATGTTTCAGAATTGTAGCACTTAAAATATATAATATATAATGTAACAATTATATTATCAACAATAATATTATATAAAATAACAGCACAAAATATAAAAAAATAAAGATTATTTTTGAACTTCTGTAGAATTGTTACATGTTTACCGGCATCACGAAATCAAACAGAGGTTAAGTCCACGTGATCTCATTTTGAATTCAAATATTATATAGTGTGGTCGCATGTGACCAATGGTTTGAGTCTTGACTACAATGTTTGAGTCTTAAATAAAATAATTGAGTTAACTGTCTCACGTAGACTAATAAATTAATTTCTTTAAGAAAAAATTTAAATTTTGCACTAATTTCGCATCCTGCGACGGCTCTCAATGCCTTTCTATAATATTTTTAAAATAATTGAATTGTAAGATAATTATGAGAGGGCAATATGTGATTTTATTAGGCTTTATTCAAACAGTCTTTTTACATCAGATACGATGCGCCGCGATACAAAGGAATACGAGCGCACGTGCAGACATTTGGACGGTTCGACTCAGACTCTCGTGTCCGAAGTCCGAAGTCACGCTCGCGCAGCCACACACCGCAACGCCTTAGCTCGATTACGTGTGAGCCAATGAAAGACTAGCTCAGGTGCCATCGGATTGGTTTGGAGAAACTCGAACGGCCAATGACGGCTCATGGCTGATATGCACGCATTTGATTGGGCGAGAATGCAACCTTCTAGTAACTAGCATCTTACAGAATAAAATTTTATTTAATATAATATAAATATAAATTAATACAAATATTAATATAAATTTATAAGAGACTCACGACTGAATCATTTTCTTATGCACATAAAAATATTTGTGCAAGCTTGCCTCTGAATATACCTTAAAGCGGAATGAAATGTTTTGAGTTTCTAATCATGTGTCGTGCTATACAATGCTATAACATGTGATAGTAAGAACCGGCAATGATTAGCACAATGATTCTTCGATAAATAAATCACATGTTATTTGTCGACATTTGAAAGATCATTAATATAGAAGTTCGATATCTTAGTATTCTTTGAATTTTATCGATAAGGTTAGTTTGATGCAAGCGAACATCATGTACGTGTAAGAAAGGTTAATCAAGTCTTTAATTTTGTTAATTATTACATATAAAATAAATAAACGTGATGTCACGTGCGTTATTTTATTGTGAAATATTGCGTCGATATTGCTAATGACTTGCTCTGAGAGAATCTTTGCGAGAAGAAAAGTTCATATGTTTGTGTAAATTGAAGTGAAACCGTCTCTATGATGAATAAATTAAATAACATACCGTCAAACATCGACTTGGATGATCCAAGATTTCGTATTAGACCATACCAGCAAATTGTAGCTTCTTGCACCGGTGCATTTATCACATCGGTGTTTGGTAAGTTTGTATCTGATGTATCAGTTGTGTAATTATGCAACGTTTTTAAATAAAATATAATATTTATATTTTTAAATGCAATATATTTAGATTTTAATTCGTTGATTGCTTATACAATCATATTTCTTTTATATAAATGGCAAGTTAAGTTAAAATGTTTTAACTATTTATATATTTTGTTTGATTTTTACAGTGACTCCATTAGATGTGGTAAAAATACGTCTTCAAACGCAGCAGAAAGCAATGCTGTCAAATAAATGTTTTCTTTATTGCAATGGTTTAATGGATCATTTATGTCCTTGTATGAATGGTAAAATGCCAGAATGGATGAGAAGGAATGGAAAATTCAATGGAACAGTGGTATGCGATAATTGGACAATTGTAATACAATTTAATATTAATTTTAAATCTCTGTTATTCTAATTAATTCTTTATTTTCAGGACGCTTTAATAAAAATAAGTAGAAATGAGGGTATAATATCGTTATGGAGTGGCTTGAGTCCCACTCTTGTTTTAGCTATACCTGCAACTGTTATATACTTTGTTTCATATGAACAGCTAAGATTATATCTTAAGGTAAAAATACATTGCTATTTTTACTGTTTTATTTCTTTGCATCACTGATTTAGTTAAAAGCATATAATCTAGAAATGTTAATGTTATAATATCACATTTTAGGATAAGTACAATAAAGAGTTTAAGAAAAGGAGAACTAATGTTGAACAACCTTTTTGGATACCAGTATTAGCTGGTGGTACAGCACGGATCTGGGCTGCAACACTGGTGAGTCCAGTGGAGTTAATAAGAACAAAAATGCAATCACAGAGACTAAGTTATCCAGGTAGGCTAAATACAAATCTTAGTGTAAAAATAACAAATGATGTAATAATAATATTAAATTGTAATAAAGTTTAATCCAAAATTTTTTATGATTTAAAATGTTATATCTATTTCAGAAATAACACAAGTGTTGAAAACGGTTGTGAAATATAGCGGTATTTCTGGTTTATGGATGGGATTGAGTTCAACACTTCTTCGTGACGTTCCTTTTAGTGCTATATATTGGTTGAATTATGAGACTATAAAGAAAATGTTTTATAACTCCCAGCAGACTTTTACTTTTAATCTGGCAGCGGGAGCTGTGGCTGGATCTGTATGTATTTTTCATAAAAATATAATTTATTGTTATAAATGCTTTATATATCTTACAATCATGCTAAACTGGAAATTTGCAGATTGCAGCATTTTTCACTATTCCATTTGATGTAGTAAAAACGCACAGGCAAATCGAAATGGGTGAGAAAGAAATTTATTCAGGTAAATATTGTATAAGATGAACTCTTTCTTCTTTTTTTTAATAATTTATTAGCATTTTTTTCGATGTTTAAAACTTTGTTTCATATCTTTGCTGTATCAATTTAATAACTGAAATGAAATGTAAGTAGAGATTGAATTATAAAGTTGATTTATATAAATTTTTAGATAAACCTATTCGCAGTAGCAATACTTGGATCATCATACAGAGGATTTATCATCAGAATGGATTCAGAGGTTTATTTACAGGATTAACACCACGTTTGGTAAAAGTAGCTCCAGCTTGTGCAATTATGATTGCGACTTTCGAACATGGCAAGCGTTTCTTCCAATCATATAATGCTAGTAAGAGTATCGAAATTGAGATAGAGCGTGATGTTCATTTATTGCAGCACAAATCTAATAGTACAGAATGACAAATTATGACAGAGAAAATTGTACAATTTTTATACGAATTAATCTGATATAAATTTGAGTTAATCTTTAAATTTGATTTCTAATTTTGTATAATGTTCATTAGTTTAGAATAATTCGGTGTTAAGATTGTATGATTATAAATTTTAAAATATGAATAACATAATGTTCATATGTATATACATTGTTATAAATATAAACATGAATTATAATTTTAATTTTAATTGCAATTGAATGAAATACATCAAAGAATGCTATATTGTCATGTTCTATATTTTGATTGTATTATTTATATACATTAATACGTGTTCATATATGCGACTATGCAAATTCGTCTGAATAGACCTTAATGCATGCGATTGATTTGTTAACCAAAGATAGTGCTTATAATGAATTTTATATTCATTGATTGAAAAATCGATATCAAAATTTGTGGTTATAAATATTCGTAAGTAATAATAGATATTCTTCTCGCACATTATTAACAATTAATTAATATAAGATATAATCACACATTAAATAATGACACCATAGAAATCACGAGTACTTCAGAAAAGAAAATTGATTCCTTGATTTGGGAAAAAAATTGTCAGATCGTGGCCAATCACGCTAGCGGATCGGATATGATTCTTTGTTGTCCACAGCACTGAACTGTATATCGTATGCGGTAACAGCAACGTGGAGTCAACAGAGAAATTAAAAGTTACTTGTACATCATTCTGCATCTTTTCTACTTCAACATGACACAAATATAGCTTTATTAGATAAATCATGATATTGAAGACAGAAATAATGGTATTATTCGCACGATGGCAACTTAACACACAGTTTAGTGCTTGCACTGATTATTCGCTGCGGACGAGAAGTCTGCTCGGCTAAATTCGGTTGGTCGATAAACGGAGTCGGAGGGGGCTTGCTCGGAAGAAGAGCGAATAGGTCACTGCACGGAAGTCGGTCCGTTCCGTTGGTAGCCGCGGTCGCGATAAGTCGGTGCTCTTGTCAGGCGTTTCACGTACACACGCGTTTCCACTCATACTCAATCTAACATTCCAAGGGCCGGGTCCTTCTGCCGTCTCTTCGACACTGCTCTTTGGTGAGTGCCCGTTGCCTGTGCAAAGTGAGTAAAAATCGTCCCGTAGTCGTGTCCGTTCGTCGCTAACGTCGCGCCGCGAGTCACAAGATAGAGTGCACGCATTCTGCACGCATTATTATCGGAAACGTGAGTCAATATTGCATCTTTCGTCGGCCGCGTTTTGTTCGTCTGCTCGATAGCCGTGCGAATCGAGAGAGGGAGGGCGGCCATTTTCCATCGTAACGTGCTGTCTTATGAATTTGCCACCCGGCATTTATCGTCTCCGTCAGGATTTATCGACGTATGTCATTCCGCGGATCCGTCCGAAGCTGGTCGCGAGCGAGTTCTACGGATGACTGTCTAGAACTTGTTCGCGCGAGAAGTCGACGATGACCGCGTTGCGGCGTTACGTAATATTCGGCGCTCGAGGGCGAACGGTTCGATCGCACGGCACGCGGCCACTTCGTCTGTGGCCAGCTTTACGACACTCGCGCGCCGAAGGTCGTGGTGGTGATTCCGTTAATACGAGACCTATAACCGTGCGTATTTTCGTTTTCCAGGTATCTTGCGTAGAGTCCGCACCATAGCAAACGTCACCATGTACGCCTGCAGCCGATTCATCGCGCCCATCGCTAAATCCACCGTAAGTAAAAGAAAGAGGAAAAGTTTGACTGACTTTTCGGCGAATTTTCGCGTGCGCGTGCATTATATAACAACTCCCCCTTGTTTTTCACACTTTTTCCTCAAACATGCATATTTTCTTGCCTCGTTACAGTTGGTCTCCGGCACCAAGACCTATCTACGGCCGCTGAGCAGTGCCGTGATCAGCCACAGCCAGTCCTTACAGCAGAATCAAATTCAGACGCCCGTCAGTTTGGTGAGTAGGTTATCATTCCTTTTTCCTCTCTTACATTGCATAACTTTTTGAGATCAAGGTTACATAAGCAACTAGTTTTATTGTATAAAGTAAAGATTTTGAATCTTAATGATAAAAGTTGACATTGATAGTGTAGAATTTTGTATTTTGTAATTGTGAGGAAAAATTAAATCATTATCAGTCACTTTTGACATTCAAGTATGTACAATAAATACATTAAAATGAAGTGCAGACATGTTAATTGAGTATAGAAGGCATTAAATATCAATTTTTAACAAATTTAATAGTATTCAAGTATTTTGTAATTCATAATTTTTAATTTTAAATATATCTGTATTTCTTGTAACTGATGGCAGATCTGTACTAGTTTATAGAAGCTCTTTTTTAATTAATTCTTAGTAAATTAACTAAAATAGTTATTAAATATTTTATTCAGATCTCATACTTGGAAATTTGTCTTTAATTGGTCCAACAGAGAAGTGGAGGTTATGAAATGTCATTATATCATTGAAACTTTATGTATGCAAAGTTGTAAAGCAAAAACTTTTTATAAATAATCTTATTGTATATTTTTAACAAGCAAATACTAATGATATCTAACTTGTGATATTTTGGTGCAGTCACCAATTGTGCGTAGCTTCCAAACTTCCACAGTCAGTCGTGACATTGATTCTGCTGCAAAATTCATTGGTGCTGGAGCTGCCACTGTGGGAGTAGCAGGATCTGGTATGCATCTATAAAAATTTATAATTATTAGTTATCAGAGAGCATTTTATAATAATGGTATAAAAAATAATATATCTAGTAAAATATATCAATAATAATAGAATTTGTACAATAAGTTTGTCAATGAGATATTTTTAATGGATGATTTGAATTTATTACAATTTTTTTTTATTGAACTCATATTTAATAATTTTAAAATCAATCCTTGAATAAGAATATTTCTTCTTTTCCTTTCCTTTCCTTTTCAAATGACATAATTTAAACATTTATTATAGTATTCTTAATATCACACTTATATAATCTTTTATTTTTTTAACATAATAGAATTTATTTTGAAATTTACTAAAGATGTTTAAATTCCTCTTTGAAGGTGTGATATATATATTTTTTAATGGATAATGAGCAATTGTATAAAATTAATAAATTATAAATTTATTAGGTAACATCATGTTTGTTTTAAAATAGTTTTGTTATACCTATATTGTGTTTAAAGAAATGATTCTATATTGTAGGAATTGGTATTGGTTTGGTTTTTGGATCCCTAATAATTGGTTATGCACGTAATCCCTCCTTGAAACAGCAAGTTTTTAACTATGCTATCCTTGGCTTTGCGCTGTCTGAAGCAATGGGTCTCTTTTGCTTGATGATGGCCCTCCTTATATTATTCGCCTTTTGAATCCCTCCCTGGATCCCTTCATGGAAGTGAAGTTATAAGATACATTCAGTTTTTTGGAAAACATTTAATTACTCGATTTATATTCACTGTTTTGTTAAATAGGATACGTGTATATAGATCGTTATATAATACATTGTACATACAGAAGTACAGTTGGCACAATGTGATTCAAATATCAATAAAAGCCCCCAATTGAAATTGTTTTGTCATAGTCATCTTTTTTTTATAATAGTGGATAAATTATTATTTCAGGTGCTGGAATTGGATCCGTATTCGGTTCTCTAATCATCGGCTATGCGAGGAATCCTTCCTTGAAACAGCAATTATTCTCATACGCCATCTTGGGCTTTGCCCTGTCCGAGGCCATGGGTCTATTTTGTCTTATGATGGCTTTCCTACTCCTTTTCGCCTTTTAAGCCACAATATCTGCATAAGAAATTGCTGATAGTTTTAGTGCGTCACTGCCAAGGCAGCGTCGCTTGGCTCTATGGGGAAAGGCGACGGCTGTCTCTGGTGCGCGGGATGCCATGAAATCATTAGAGAAGCTCAGATTTTCGTGGTTCGATGGGGTGCGACGGTGCGACAATGAACAAGAAAGAACAAGGGCTGCAGTACACATGCAGTTACACGTCATCGTGCGGACCGTCCCGGCCCTATCCAAGCCTTCAGCTTGTTTGTAATTATTTCATGGCCTACTGTCTCATGTAGCGTATAACTCACATTGTTATAAAACAATTTCAGTGTAACGAAACGAATAAGACATTATTGAAAGTTGAAATTAAAAGAGAGAAAAAAAAAAAGAAACGACAGCCTCACCCGCATACCCATACACGCACGTACGTTAATCATCCTGTTTAGAGTGTCCTATGCGATATAGTTCACTCTTCGAAGATCTTTTTTGTCATCTAATGAATTCATCATTGTTGTGCCGTCGCGTACGCACGTTGTTGAGGTAATTCTTGACGATAAAAAAAAGAACTGTACAGTAATAACGAATAAACACCTTTGTCGTGAACATATGAATTTTTGTAAATACTTGTCTTGAAATTTCCTCTTTCATCAGGTTCTCTGTTCGAAGACGTCTTGTTCACATAAACCGTTGTCCCCCAAAAATAAATTTATCTCTACATAGTGTGTTATGTAAATTATGTAAAAATAAATTTTCGTAGTACAAAGTTATCTTGATTAACTAAATGTGTTCTTAAAATATAAAATTATCTTGTAGGGCTTTTTTAGCTGTGGCAAAAATATATAATATATTTAAAAGATATTTTTAATATACTGTCAATTTGTTATTATCAAATTACGTGCACATATACGTAAAATTTGTATTCAAGTATATTCTTGAAATATGTCTTGCTTTATTATGAATCAAATCTACAAATACAGTTTCGTAAAAATTAAAGATATCCAGTATTGTACTTAACAAATTGCATACTAAATTATATTTTAATATACGTCTATCATTTATTTATTAAGTTGGGATTGTACAATACACATACATTCAAAACTATTTAAATGCATTTAATTTAAATCGTGTAAGCGCTCTAAATATTGTGTCATTCGTAATGATAAAAATCATTACCAAGTCCACAAAAAATTATTTTATAAATATAATAAATCTAACGTATTGAGTTAAAATCGATATGCCAATCGACACACAAAGTCCTACATTTTTTCTTTTATATCTTTACATATATTTAAATACATATGTTATGTGTTTAGAACACAATCCAGGATTTTTATAATAAATCATGGAGTTAAAAATCAGAATACGCGCAATCGAGGATACAGTGATGTGATGTATATACATGTGAGGATGAAACTTTATATATGTATGTTATATACAAGCATATCTATATGTATACATAACACACATACACACACTTAATATAATATTTATATGAAGATTTTCTTTGTAGTGTTATAAATTATAAACTTTATGTTAAAAGTTTGCATTAAAGAAAGATATTGGCATATAATAAGGGGGAGGTATAAGTAAAAATTAATATAATGAAATGATATTTTTAAATAATTGATGAAATTACAAGTAAAACCTAGTTTCACCATGTGAATTATGTCAATTTCATATGGTAATTATTAATACATATGTTATAAAATGTGATTAATTTGATTATAATATCCATTATTTTCGGAATTAAATTTAAAAAAATTTGTTCATACACATTATTTAGATTCAAAGTTTTTTTCAGAATTTGTGAATTAATCTTGTAATCTTATGTGCTTTGGTATATTAGATTAATAGATTCTATTTTTTTCTAAAATTAATTTCTAAATTAATTTTTATCACAATATGCGCAAGTATTTTTATTTGTATTAAATCTATATATATTTCTTAGCATAAGAAAGTAATAGTTTATAGCATTGTCATATGCAAACACTGCAAGGAATATTCTTCATGATAAACTGAAGACTCTATATATACTTTGTATTCTATAACGTTGTACTATATAGAATATTTAACAAATATTCTTAAATTATTCCGTTTCGCTGATAAACCTCATAGATTCTATTGAATTATTATTTGGTAGAATTTAATTGTTCTAAAAGATTCTCTCGTTCTCGAAGGCATGTCCATGCTTTCTCCTGGTCTTTTCTCGTCAGTGGAACTTTTCTCTGTTTCGCAAGTGTCAATTTCTTATAATGCTCGATCACCTCATTGTCGGCAACACTAATTTTCCGTTTTAACGCTTGCCTTTTACTCTCATCTTGAGCTAGATTTAGTAATCTTTTCAGCTGCGTAACATTGTGATTAGACAATGCAGTAAGTTCCTGCTGACATCTTTTAATTTCCGCTAAAATTTCATCGTCTTCTTGATCCTTCTTCTGTGTGTCAGGTTCTAAGAATCCTTGTTCAACCAGCTCTTTATGCATTCGTAGTTCCAAGTTAATGGAATTCTGAATGGTGAGATCTCTCAAGACAGGTGGATCCCCATCTCGAAATAATTTATTCTCAGTGTTATTATTCGCGACGTACACATTCTCCTCTAACAGTGCAGAAACCAGTCTCTGAGTAAGAGGTCCTGCGATGCCATTAGCTTTTTTATCATTTTTCGATATCAAATGCGACATATCTGTACGACTTTTCTTCTTTTCCCTGTTCACATTTGCTGCATCCTCCTCTTGCAGCAGATCGTTGTGTGCCCACATTAAACTATAATGACGGCCCAAAGGAGGAATCTTCTTGAATTCACTTATATCACCATGCGTAGCAACCAATTCTTCTAATAATTTAATGTCATCGGGCATGATGTCGGTACAGTAAGGATCCACCGATGCCCAGAACTTGTTGGGTGTGTCATTTTTCGGTAGAAGCAATTTTGGCACATCCGACTTAGATCCCTCAATCCTTGTAATATCGTGTAAGTTTGGTACCACCTGACTGGTTGAACTTCCCATTGCTTTCTGCTTGAAGAGTTTTGTATGTATAGGTGATTGACTTTTAGCATTCACTTCTTTCGGCTTGAATTTCTCCTCGCGCACTTTTTTATCTATTAAAGACAAATTCTTCCCACTTTTTGATCTTCTATCTCTACGTTCTTCCGCTGAGGATAAATTAGTAATTTCATCCTGAAGTGTACGATGTCTTACAACAACTGCCGACAGAAGAGTCTCAAGTTCCAATTGTAGTTCATCAAGATCTTCCATGCCTACACCTTCTTCTGCTGAGCGTTTCAAGATGCTGATATATTTTGGCAAATGTCGACTGTTATCGATAGTTTTTAAAATAATCTGAGACGTTGTGGGCTCTGGTGCTTCTGGACTTGTGTCAGAGTTCATCAGTGAAGACTGAGCCGTCTTCCCTGATTCACGTGCCTTGACAACAGCCTTTTTAGAACTTTGCTTTCCTTTTCCCGACATATTTCTGAATGAGTTGTGGCAGTCAGTAATCAGAAACAATCAAAGTCTTTGCTTCAAAGATTGTAACCAATTTAACGCAGCCTCAAACAGATTTCATGTTGTCTACAATTACAATTATTTAACGTAAGTATTCAATGTTTGCAAAAAATTTTTCGATAACTATTATCATCAAGATATTATACGTACCTTGCATTAATTTTAGGAATAAAATATGTTTGCTATATATGAATAAAATTAATAAAAAAATGAATAAAGAAAATGATGCACATTATTATAAAGGTTATAATCGTCACCATTAACTGTAAAAAAAGAGAGTAGATGTGTAATGACTCCGAAGGATCTCCCCTCTTGCGGCCATGCTACTAAACTATAAAAAGAACAAACTCATAGAATGCTTAATACATAGATGAGAAATAAAATAATCGAATAGTTTGTTCGTTATTGGTCAGAAAGTTTCTAGTAAAGAAGTACCTGATTGGTTATTGCAAACGACTCGTGTAGCATAAACTTGTCCAATAATCTTTGGGATGTGATTTGGACAAAAACTTGGATAAAACAAAAACTTTGCAAGTTATTCGACATAATAGGGCCACTTTTTCCAACGTCGGTTAACTTTAACCGACTGGTAACCAGATACCAGAAGCATAAAAATAGTATCTGACACGCTGTGCTAAAAAGAAATAGAGAGAGTGAAACTACTTTTTCAATTTTTGCAATTTTTAACAGCGAGCGAACGCCTAATCGCGTCCTTCAATTGCATATAGCCAAAGAACGCGATAAGGCGTTCTTTGGCCGTTAATAATTGTAGGACGCGATTAGGCGTTCACTTGTGAAAAAATTGAAGAACTCATTAGGCGTTCTCTGACCGTTAAAAACTGCAAAAATTGCAAAAATAGTGCATTTGAAAGGGCTTGAAAAGAGCTTTCGAAAAATGTTCTATAAATTACTCCTCTATCTTCCACGACCGTCTGCGATTAGGGCTTATAACGCTTTGTACTCGCGTTTATCGGCACGTCATGGTACATCTCTAAAGCATAACCGTAAGAAATCGGCGTGTCTTGTTTCAGTATTGTTAAAAAACTCGGTAGAATAAGAGCCATGATGCAGGCGCATGCGAGTGTTCGTGCAATTTGGAAATTATATAATGTATATGCATGAGTCACACGATTTGTCACAGAATGAACAGCAGCAGGAAGGTGGGGTGAACGATGCGAAGTGGGGAGAGGAGAAGGGATGTGCAAACGTCAAAGTCATACAGCGTGATAGTCACTCATCGCTCTTTCCGCCGTACAATAAATAAACAGCCGATTTGTTTTCTATCTGAAAGACTTTCATATCGCATTTGTCATTAGAATTAAAGCCTCTGTGTCTTAGTAATGTATATTTATGCCGTTTACACCGCGTTACAGAGGCGATCGTGGCTCTTATACCTTTCGATGTCGATAGTGTGATGCGCTGCCATTAGAAATCTCCAGAAATCTCGTAGACGGTACGTTCGATTTCCATCTAATAAAACGTATTGACACTGCCTTTTGCATCGTTAGATTTATTCGTGTCGATATCGTGCTAACAATTGTACCATATTTGTTGCCGAGTTCTTCGAGATCAAACGGTTAAGAGCCGAGAAATATGTTCTGACGATGAGCGATCGTCTTATATACAATAGATTCAAATAATCGCATCTAATCGTTCGAATTACAAGTAACGATGCTTCGCAGAATATTCGTGCTGAGATCTAAATTTAAGATTCTAAGCTGTATTTTCATAAATCTTGCAGGAAGTTTTGGAAGCAACTTTCTACAATGAACAAAGGATGCTCCTATTGAATGTTATTGAAAGGTCATTGTGAGCAATGATAGAATTAAATCTTTTCGTATCGATGGGCGACATTTCGTAGCTGTCGGAGCATTTATATCTTTTTATATTCAATTCAGCAATCGTCTATTTGCGCCTTGGTGTTAAAAAAAATGCCAGCACCACCCCTGCCTCTTTCAAGTCTGCCACAAGCACCTATGTGTGAAAAAACAGAAGTTAACGACACTGATTCTCTGCCCCCATGGGCTAAAATCACGCTTACATCCGCAGAAGCTGAAATCGAAAAGCTGATCTCACGAAATGAGTTGAAAGACGCAGAGGTAACGTACTTCTCTCAAGTAGAACCGATTCTTCAAGACGGGCCACAGTAAGTATTGTTTTAACAAGCTTATGCCTGCCGCCTTTTATTAAAAAAATGGATTAGAAATTATCGTTTAATGTTTTATTATATTCAATTTTTTAATACGACACTGATATGCAACTTTTCGAATTTGCAATTCTTTCTGCTTGACAGAGATAAATTTGTAAGTTATATTTTGGTACAAAGTTCTCAAAATGTGCAAATGTTTTGCAGATGTGGATTAGTGGCGCTTGCAATGGCATCGCAAGAATATACAAAACCAGTCTCTGTGAGTCAGCTTCTCGCCGAAGCTCGTGTTCGAGGATTCACGCAGCACGGAGAAGTATACAGTGTTGATTTCATGGGAACATTAGCTGCGGAATATTTACCCGATCATAGACCTGACATTCTAGTAGATTTACAACAGTGTCCAGATACGTTAACTCATGCTTTGGCACACGGAGCGATGGTACTGATTCCTTACGATTCTGATTTCAATCATGCTCCATGTTTGAAGAGGGGCCACAAAGCGCACTGGGCACTGCTTGTGGGACTAATCTCTTCCAGGTATACAGATCTAGTTAAAATAACATTTGTATTTCTTTTCGCAAACTTTGCAGAATTAAAATGGTCATTATGTCATATATTTTCATGGTTGTTAATATTTTTTAGACAAGGATATCACGTTTTGGCGCGTCATGGTAAATCGCGTCATCTGGCTTGTTGGCCCTTGCGTGACTTGATAGAAAGTAACGGCAACTTAGAAGAGGAGGGTACAGCGAGACACGCAGGAGGATACGTCATACCAAAGGGCGGTGTTGGAGGCCAAAAGGGTTTACGCGGCAGAGCATTGGCGCTGCATCCGTACATATAGAGTTATATCAGAGAAAATTGTAGGTAATTGATATATCATGCTACAAGAAAAAAAAGAAAATTTACCGATACAATGTTACTCTGTATCTGCATTATGGTATGTGGTGAACATTCGAAACATAACATAACGTCTGCACACATACAGCTTCCGCAAGAGTCGACTAATAATTATATGTAATAAGAGATGCTTTAATTATTATAATATGTACATTTTTAATCCAAGCGAGATAATTCACGCAATGTTAGTCACAATATTTACCAAAAAAAAAAGAAACAGCATCGAAAATGCTTGTTGAAAATGTTTTTTTTTTAAGTGGTTATTTTTTTTTTACTTGAATTATATGATATAAATAAGAATTTCAGCAATCTCTGAAAATCGTGCGCGCAATCAAATACAGACAATTGTCTTGATAGTATTATGTCCCTATCAAAATCGAAACGCAGAAGTATACGCATGCATGGTAAAGAAAATGAGACACGTAAAGATGTTTACATAAGTAAATATACATGTATATGTACTAGAAAGCTGTTTAAAGTGGTAATTCAAATGAGCAGATCTAAATACATTTCTTTAGATAGAATGTGTAGGTTTTTCGATAATGATTGTGGTTTTCGTCCTATGTTGATGCAATAAATAAAGAGTAAATCTGTTATATCAATTTTGCAACTGCGTTTCAGGCAATTTAACTTAAGATTTTGAAGAACGCCTTTCTTTCGATTTTACAGTCAGTTTTAGTGTTCCAATGTTTCAATTTTATGCATCACTTTCTTGCAAGCCGTAGTATCGCACGATTTCTCGGTGTAAAAAAAAGTGCGTCACCCGACAGAATGTTATTGATTATTTTTTAAGATTATGCTTACGTTTATGTTTTAATATTTATTTATTAGTATAAAGAAAATTTATAAGTATAGTTTTCTTTTATATATATATGCATATGTATAAAAGGAAACTTATACACAATTTAGTAAATTATTATATATAAATTTAATAAAAGACTTGGAAAGGTACTCAACGACTGGCTGGATTCTCGCAGTCATACGATATATATATATATATATATATATATTCCATAAGTTTTATATCATGCCTGTCAATATATTATTCGTAATTGTAAACAAATTAAAGAGATGCTATAAATTTGTAGACTTAATAGCTGCTTCGAATTAACCGAGAGAAGCCTTTCAAAATAAATTCTACCTAAGTGCCGTGAAAAGATCGGAGTCCACATATTTATAATATGAGATATGCACTACAGATATATACTGTCCGATTTTCAAGCTTCTGATATTTTTATCATTGTATTATAATCAAAATACTCTATGAAAATATTTGTTAATGTTGAATCTTGTTTTTTTTTTTAGAATGCGTTTCATGTGCATCCAGAGAATACGAGCGACTAAAAAATATCCAAAAAATTGAAATGTTTCCTAAGCTTTAACGATGGCTTTAACGATGCTTCTTAGACGTTTGTGTTATCTGGATAATATGTAATATCGAAAATATTTTTTCTGTGTGAATTCATCAAGATGTAAGTGTGATATATACAAATATATAAAGATAGAATGATGTCTTCCGTTATCATCGCGATACAGTTCACAAAAAATTTTGCAGGAGGATGAATATAGGAAAAAGCAGAGCATATAATTAGATAAACGAATTTATGCCGACGTTCTGTCAAATATTTCGTTGACTTTTGTAAAATTGTTTAAAAGATTGTGTTATAATGTAAAAATTGTATACAAGATTTTATGTTGCAATTTTTTGAATTAATTTATAGGCACATATACGACATGTAGAATGTAATATTCATGATCAGGACGTTAATTATTGTTAATCTTTGTTATACACGTGCCCATGTATTTATGTTTAAATTAAGAGTTATTTATCAATAACTCTTAATTTAATACTGAAAAAAAACATAAATTTGTATAAATTGTATAAACTATAAATTAAATTAGTATATTTTATAAAATATATATAAGTATTGCGTATCATGCAAAGTGACTGTATCAGATGTAATTGGTGCTACGCTCGAATAAGACCGAGTGCTACACTTACTTTTTTCTGAATCATTGTTAATTCTACGAGAAAATTTTATTTCCATATTGTGAAATTAACGATGTGCAACGATTAAATCTAGGAATCTCTGCTTCTTATAGAGTACATCAGTAATAGTGATACAAAATATGTCAACGGCTTTTCACTCATGTTTCAGAATTGGAAATATTAATTGTGAACTAATTGTGTACGACCATTATTTCATTGTTACCACATTCTTGTTTTTATATTTAATATTTTACTGATGTTTTCCCTATGAATAGGTATCTATTTTTTACTAATGTTTAAATTATGATTATACCGATCTCTTTTATATCAATAAGTATTGTATTACTTCATCCAATCGCAAATGAGTTTATTTACATTGGAGATATTACTGTTACTGATACACGCTAGTTAGCACCTGAGACTGTATGAGAATTGCCATTATATTAAATAAAACAGCTCCTCAACTTTTATTCGAACAAGATCTGACTTATTACACATCTAAGGATACTAAAATCCTTTCTCGTTCGAAAGCCTTGCTAATCACACAAGAAAATTTGCGACGAAATAATATAAGGTATATAACACGTATCTCTACGTACGTCTACCAACAGCGTGGGATTTAGAGGAAAACGATTCTATCGACGATTTATATAAATTTATTTCAGCGTCTTTCGGAACTTGAACGTCTCGATATTAGTAAATCGAATGTAATTTCGAAAAAGCTGTGTAATTCTAAACGCTTCAACATTTCTCTACATATTGACGAACAATTTGTCTATTTATCTACTCTCTCAATTTGCCTGACAATACATTTATATCGAGCCCACACAGATATATATATCTCATTCTTTCTCTCTGACACAATTGTTTCACTCTCAAATTGGACTTTACATAAATCGAATGCTCCAAAAAGGATATAATATAAATATTTCACAACATGTACAATTAACGCAGTTGATAAGTTTATTGTGGAGTGTGCAAACACACTTCTCGTACGTATTCTATCATGTTTATAAGCTGTACACTACTGTAGAGCATATTGGTATAAACATTTGAAAAGCGTTTCTTAACAGTAAACAATGTATTCGTTCATCAAACACATATCAAATTAGTTTTCAACACTTTACATGTTTTTTTTCTTTTTTATTATATGTCCATATATTAATATGCAATATTCACACAGATAATACTCGGTGCAAAGAAATAGATTTCCCATTTTGCAGTGTTTTCTTCAGGTTTGATTTAATTGCAGATTATTCGCGTGTAGCTTGCACGGAACAGCAGGAACAACTTTTGGTCATACGAAAATTTAATATCGTTCCTGCTTCGTTTATTTCTCGTTTAACCAGGTTTCTCTCGTCACTTTTTACAAACTGTTTATTGATTTCAATTCTTTGCAAGTATTATTGACAACAATTCGCAATGTGTACATGTACAGTAAAGACGTCGCGTAATAAGCACAATATAGACGTCTAAGACCATGAAAGTTAAACGCTATCTAATAATCCTTTTTTTTTATTTTACGTACAACTTTAATATATTAATTATTGTAAGCTTTGAGCTTGAGCCGGTCTTGTTCACATATGATAAAACTCGCTGTACACGAAATGAGAATTTTCCGCCTATTTACGATACGATACGATAGACCTACCGATAAAACGTGCTAACGGTCGTTTGCAAAAGCGATATCGATATATATATATATATATATGGTTTAACGTTGACGCTGCCTGATCCGTAACGAAATCCCGAGTTCTTCGACGTTGAAATAGATAAAGCAATGTATCTTTTACGTCGCATATATTGCACGCTCATTGATCACGCAATGAAGCATTCACTCTTACATTTTGACTAGAATTCGAAATTTGCGTATAAATTATCTTTCACTAACTGCACCTCCTTTGAACTGCGGATTTCTCAAACAGTTTTGTGCCGATCTTTCGTTTACAAAAAAAGTTGACACAGCTTCTTAAAAATTAATTATTGCATCTTCTTCAATATCATGCGATTTTTATTTGAGACATTTTTTTCATAAAACAAATTATTTACAATTAATTTAAGACGGTAAACGACTCGCTTTATATATATATATATATTTAAAATTTAAAAGTTGAAATGAGTAATAACTTTTTTCAACATTTTTGAAAAACAATCGATTCAGAATTGATCACAAAATCCACAGTTTGATAGAGAAGTACTTAGTAAAAAAAAAAAAATACCCTGTATATGTCTTTGCAGAAATAAATCAATGTTTTTTTTTTGCAATTGGACCGTGAGCACGTGATTATTACTCTTCTAATATCTTGCGCATCTTAAAGAGAGAGAAAACTTATCTATACATATATATTTATATAAATGATTTAATCGATATATTGGACCTAAGAAAAAGCGGTAATTAATAATAAAATTAATGGAACAATCGATCAATAGAGGCAGGAACTACTGTAATTCATATAAAAAAAAGAAACAATACTAGTTCTATACCCTTCGAGTACAGAAGCTTTTGCGACTACTTAGATTCGATTATTCTCTAATGTATCTTTGGTAGCGAATTTACAAAGTTCGGAAGCACAAAACATTCCATAGAAAAATTCCAACTGATGATTTCCTTTCCCTGCAAACGTTCAAGCCATGTGCTCCGTCAAAATAAACGAATTAAAATGAATCAAGAATATTAGATTCCTGATTTTACATTTCGAAGATTCAGCGCCGATTTTATTTCTTTTTCATTCATATATATATATATATTTCTCAAGTAAATGTGTATATACGTTCGCCGTGTGTCCTCTAAACACGCTGGATGCATTTAACATGTAGCAAGTTGGCATCCTCTCGAGAAAAAAATACATACAGTGCGATTGGATAGAGAACATCAGGAAGATACGAGACAGAAATGTCGCACGAGTGTTTGAAGCAATAGATAAAGAAATTCGCGCGGTACAACGCTTTTTTTTCCAGAAACTTGAGAATAACGCTACATATGGCAGGTTTAATTGCTGAACTTGTTTCAGCATGCTTGGTGAAACAGAATCTTCGAAGGTTCTCTTCGAAGGTACACGTGTGACGTGCACACGCGATAATGTGTTTTTTTCCTCTTCTTTTTCTTTTTCTTTTTTTTACGAAAAGTACAGTTCGTTCTGACGAGTTTTATCAATATCGCGTATTCGCAATTAATTATCGATAGCTGCTGTGAGTTTTATCGTCAAAGACTATGTTGTTATGGCCACACGTTACTTCATATACTACCCTCAATGTATCAGGGATTATTTATTCCATTCGGTAGTTTTGGACGAGAACGGCATCATTTATTATTTAGCCGTAAAAGATGTAAAATGTACGACTAACGTTTATCACTCGATACATTAACAACTAATTGCGGACTAGCAGAAAGAGGAGCGCAAATGGAGATATTTCATCGCTACGTTTACTTTGGCAAGACACGATCATCACCAGTGCCGTCGTCTTTTAGTCGCACCAGAGGATGCCATTAAAGAGTACCTTTTTTTTTTTTTTTTTCACATCCGGACAAATCGAGTAGGCATTTTTTTTTTTAAATTTGGCATTAGGCAGTCAAAGCGACAGCTACGTCGCTACAAACAGTACTGTATTATCTATATGCTGCCGCTCCTTTTATAAAATAAAAAAAAGAAGTCAAAAAGTTACGACTACGCTTATATTAACGAATAATTTCTCTTAACCCTTTCAGAAGGCAATATATGTGAAACAATATTTTTTGTAGCAATCACATTAATTAGTAAATATATATATATATATATTCACTTGATGCAATAAAATATAGCCTTATCTTACGACATATCATTCCAATTGCACGATTTCTTCTGAAAGGATTAGAGAAAATCTTGCTCTGCGACGACATTCGCATTATTTTACTTCAATTTAAAACGCTTCAACATCTTTCTGATATGGTTCCTACACGTATAAGAATTAAATGAATGAATAATACGCGATAGCTCGCTGTATTATACAAAATTAAAGAAACTCTACCACAGAATAAAGAAAAGCTGTGTAACTATATAAATTCCTAGCTAACTGATCTTAATCATTTATCGAGAAATCACAATCGTGCTTTTCTTCAAGGGAATAAAATTTATATAAAACTGACACGCTACAACGAGTGTAACGAAAAAACTTCAACTAAGAGTGTGTTTTTAAATAAAATACGGAGTAAGCAGAGTATTTTCGCTACACTAATCTGAGGCTATAGAAATCTTGTTGAATAATACGCAAAAGTATCTCAGAAAGCCGAATGACGAAACAGTATCATAACAGATGAGCAATTTCTAAGAAATATATCTTATTTACATATATATTCGTTATTATCTTTATGATATTTTTATGTATCCATAAAATTTTCCATCAAATTTTCCGATATATTATCATTTGCATCTTGTGCGCTAAAAAAATGTTTGCCTGTATCACAGACTTCTTCAGTAATAACGCATTGTATAATATCTACGCAATTTCTTAACACTTAAGCGTGTATATACAGTGTGTTTCACCTCAAATTTCGGATTTTGGCGTAATAGATTCTTTCTATATTCTTCTTTCAACAAAAGTTACAGCGCTGTAATAAAATTGTTCTTTCAATCTCTTTGCACGCGCTGAATATATTGTCATAAAGTTGCTTCAAGCTCGTTTCACGCTCTATATATGACTTATTGCAAATCGCAAGTCGACAGGTAATTAAAATTAAATAATTGCTTTTAACCTTTTAAAATATTTACATTTTCTCGCTTCTAACTTGACAATTAGAAGCGATATGGCTGCAATAAAGGGTTAAAAAAAAAAGAGAAATCATCAGTACTCTATGGCAGTAGAGCTCCTAAACTTCATCATATTACGAATGCCGAAATCCGGAATTTGTAATAAAACACTGGTGTGTATACAAGGTGAGTCATGTAACCTGTTACAAGTCAACATCTCAGTAATTAGTAAAGATATGGAAAAGATTTTTCACGATAATTTAATAATTAAAAAAACAAAACAAAACATTGTTTATCACATACAAGTTATTTTTGTTAGAATGTCGTAAAATTTAGATGTGTTTATTCTTTTATATATTATACAATTACCAAAAGCAATTTTTCGAAGTCAAGAGTATCCACTCAGGTAGCACAAAACATCCTGGGGATATCCTGGATATGCTCAGGATGTCCTGAAACATTTTTCAGGACATCGCGATATGTTTTGAATAATCCTAGGATGTTTTGTGCTGTCTGGGTGAATACATATTTGTACCAATACATACTTCAATTAGTCTTGTATAAAAATATAGAAAGCTAGAGAAATTCATTCAAAGTAATCTTAAGATTTAAAAACTCTATCATTCTAGAAAATTATTCTTTGCCACCAATCCATCTTTAGAAACTTTTTCGATACATTGATTATCGAGATATTAAATTGTTATATGACTCATATACCTTGTTTGTGTGTGTGTAGATGCACACGCAGACATAACATGTAATTTAAATAAAAAAAAATAGCATATCAATTTAACAATGGAATTGTCCTTCACATCAGGACGAGAAAAATTTAATATTTGGGAAAACAATAAGATTTAATATCGCTGCTCAAACGTGTAATACTGAAATATATTTAAATAAGATAGTAAAACAAATTTGTCATTCGTATACTGATAATAAAATAATTTAAATTAAATTAACAATGATAAGATTTAGTAGACATAAATATAAAATAAAATAATTTTATTTAGTTGATTTCGGTAAATTATTGAAATCATAAATTGTAAAATTATTTAATCTTATTATTTCTTAAATTATATTATCACTAAAGAAATAAAACTCAATTTTACTTAAATATTGATAAATATCAATTATTTAAAAATATTTCAGTATTAAATTAGAGCGTATTATCGCATGAATACGTCGTGAGTGAAAAAATTTCGGTAATAGCATTCCCATAACCAACATCTCCATACCATTCAATGAAACTGTTTGAGATATGTCAACGAATGTGTGAATATCTATAATTTGTATATAATCTCACGATGAAATTATATATTTATCAAGAAATCTAAAAAAATTGCATACAAATTGTATTACGCAACATAATTTTAAGTGGTATGGATATATGTGCTTATCACACATAACTATACATTTTGTATAACATATCTAGAAAATATCTCGAGCGTTTAAACATATTTCTATTGCTATTACGAAATAATGGAATGAATGTAATGTACACCTTGAACATCGGAATTCATAACATCCGCTAGACTCTAATTCTTACTGGGCAGTCTTAAGAAGCTGATGGTTATTGGGTTTGCGTATAAAATGAGTCAAACATTAGTAAAATCATCGACAATGATACAGAGTACGTAAGTAATTCGCCAGAACTTTTATCGTGTTGAGAGTCTAGATTTATGTAATAGTCGAACTCTGTTGTTGCGGATTGTAATCCAATAATGCTATTGGAAACGTCTTGATTTGCGTCTGCCATTGCGCCGATAGTTGGAAGAATTTTACACCATACCATTCAGTACCATCAATGCTCACTGAATAATACCGAGAATAATAGTCATTAAATAATCAATAAACAAGATTATTATTAATCAAATTAATAATAAAATAAAGAGAGATCTGATTTTCGTCTCAACGCTCAAATCTAGGTCAATTTACTCCACATTAACTAAAATATGTACGTCCAATATATAAAATGTGTGTAATTTAATAAGGTTTGAAAATTCAATCAATATGAAACTATCTTACCTCTTAATGGAATGTTGTGAGTTTTCGCAGAACATATAAGACGCGTCACGCCATCCACAGTCTGACTTTTTGGCTCGTTTTCTTTCTCCTTTTCCTTCTTTTTGCCTAATCTCATTACTGTAAGAGCATTTTTAACATAAGTATCAGAGAAAATTTGATCTACAAGTGACAAACTAAATAAAACTTATTCAAATAATAGTAGAATATTTATCCTTACTCTTTTGCTTTTTCTCTTTTGTCGTGTAATTCATAGACAAGTGGTGTCCTGGAGTCTCGCCCAACGCGGGAAGTCTTTGCACATGCAACGCTCGGAAAGCTTGGCGCAACGTGCTCTTTCCTTTTTCACCTTGTGTTTGTTTGCTCCAATAATCTAGCTGAAGCTCCACCGGTTCCCATCCTTCTCTCATCGGCTGGCCCACGTTGGGACTGCTAGGTGGTGTCAACTTTCCGGGAGGCGGCACTGGCAACGTCGGAGGGGGTAAGGAGGGCGGCGAACCGGACATGCTAATATTACTCTCCTCCAGATCGACTGACGCGGAAGAACTGCTGTCCGGGCAACCTACGCGAACGTCATTTATGAAGGGGATAAAGATTTGGCTGCTATCGTCCGTTTCCCTGCGAACACAATCGATCTTTTGTCAACGCCCAACGTTCAAGAGCGCTTTAAAAAAAAAACTCCCGAATCAATTACCTGTATGTAACCATAGCTTCCGCTATCGGTAGCAGTAAAACCGTGTTCGCCATAGCCAGATATTCCGATACCCGCGCCGCGCCTTCGCTCGATCCCCCGCCTTCCCTCTCCAGAAGCTCCTTCCACTCGTCTCCGAAGAGCATCGAATATTTGGCGTCGATGGAGCCGAAGTATTTCGTCAGTGTGTTCGAGCCGAGCGGCACCACCAAGAATTTCATGTAGTTCTGCCAATCCGGCGGTCTAAAGCTCAGCAAATCGACATAGTGACGGAGAACGGTGTTTATGAAACTATCTCCGCCGGCGATAACCACTTTTATAGGCGCCGGTGGTTTTGCTGAACTGTTGCAACTGTGATATAAAGATATGATGTTAGTGAATTTAATGCATAAAGCAAACGGGTGTTAAATATTCGTGAACATATCGCAAGTAATTGAATCGAATAATTACAATTTTTGTATCCGCGTGACCAAGCATGTGAACGTTGCACGGATATCAGCCGGTGATGCAGTCGTAAGGACTTTATGGTTTCTTTCTTGAAGTCTTGCGGCAAGAACCGCGCCACCGGGATCTGCTATCGATACGAGCGACACAGCCTCGGGCAAACTATCGTCCGGTAATACTCGACTAAGCTGCTCCACTAAAGCTTTCCTCGGCTGAAATTGATAAACATAATTTAGAAATATAGCTTTGAATCCTTCAATGGATATATTTGTATAGAACGCTCGGAAGTATAATTACCTCTGTGCTGTTTAAATCGCTCGAGGGCTTCAAATCGACACTCAGACTGTGCTTCTTAGATTTGTTGCTGCCAGGCGTCCCTCTATCGCGCGCAAAGAGCCGCGTTTTCCTCTCGGAACCCTCGCTCTTGTTAGGCTGTTCTGACTTTGGCGGCGAACCCGCCAAGTAGTTCGGTGGGTCGTTCGCTTCGTGATCCGTCCAATTTTCAGGGTGAGAGTCGCTGTCAGCTCTTCGAGAACTATCATCGCTTTGTCTGTCCACTCCACGTTCTGCAATAAAATTAAGTTACTCTCTAATCGAGATACATACCTGAAAGTGTTATTTGAAGATAGTATAAAGAGCCTTTTCAAAATCGCCGATATATATTTGAGAAGTTAAATTTATTTTTTTAAAACAAGCTCTCTCTGTGTGTGTGTGTGTGTGTGTGTGTGTGTGTGTGTGTGTGTGTTAAACACACAGATAAACAAGATAAATTAAAATTAAATAAAACAGAGCACAATAAATTATTATAAACTGTGTTCAAAAAGTAAGATGTTTTAGATATTTAAATCCTTGATGCTTAATTACTAAAATTCAATTAATTTTTAATTAATGTACAAGAACTATTGACACCTTTATAGTATTATTTTTTTTAATTTTATGTAGCGAGATATCGGCGATTTTGAAAGAATCTGTACAAGTATTCAAGTGGGACAAGTGTAAAAGTGAAGAAAAGCACTAATGTGCCAATGTTAGACTGCTCGAAAAATATATTAGATATTATATATGTCTCATATTTGCAGTTAGGTATTTTCGCATCGTATCTGGATATTTGCTGACTAAAATGCAAAAAATTAATTTAATGTCGTAGAAAAAATTTCTTACACGTTAATAAACGTTTATAACTGTTAAACAGTTGTCCACGTAACGATTCACAAATATCCAAATACGATGCAACACACACATTCGACCTGGAAGTGAAGACACGCCTAGTGTACATCTGAACTCGCGGCAATGATTATAAGTTAAGTCGCTAACAATAAAGACAGACCTATCGAGATCGTAGCGTAATATTTATTACAAGGTGTTATTTGCAAATGACAAACAGAATTGTGAAATGGTGTGCAGTTCGTAGCGCGTTATTAGAAAGCAGAGTATATGAACTAAGATTGACAGAGTAAAGGATACGTACGTATACAAGTAGATAGAGAGATACAGGCCAGTATCACAGATCGAAGTCTAACAAGATTACATACAAGAAGCCGCAAAGAGACACAACAGCGTATGTAGAGAGAGAGAACACAGGCTCACACACTATAGATACATACACTACGGCGAATTCTTTCGAACAAAACTCGCGAAAAAATTCACGCGATCGGAATAACTGCAAGAAAATTAAATGCCAACACAAATTCATTTTCTTTTTTATTGGGATTTACATACATCAATACATGTTTGCATCCTTTCGGCGAAACAGTATTATAGAGAGAAATGTAAGAATAATAGAAGATCGGAGAGAAACAACATGCCATACACACGAGAAAGTTACACAGAAAGTTGATGACATACAGAAGCGCTAAGATTTGGGATAAGTGAGAAAAAAAAGAGAGAATCGTGCCACTTCGATTATTCTTGCATTTGGCTACATATTAGAGAAATAAGTTGCATTATTAAAAAAAAAAAAAAAATTTAATGTAATTAATACGTTTATATCAATTACATTAAATATATTTATATTAATTACATTGCTCGTGTGAGTGTAAATCGCGAAGCCACTTAATTACCAAGTGTGATTGAAACACCAAGCTTCTGTCGATTAGCAAGGTCATTCATGCGCTGGAGTTTCTTCTCCAATCTACAAAATTGTTGTTGCTGAATTGCTTTTAATTGTCCTTTCGCATCTTATATATTAGAGATATATTTGTACTTCGCGTTAATTATGTCATGGAAAAGAAAAAAAAAAAATACAAAGATTGAATAACGATTAGATATCACTCGGAGAAACGTTTTGCGAGTTATTACATTATCAAGGATGTATATGCCTCTCTTACATTGCATGCTATATTCAAACGCAAGATACGTGCTGTTTGGTAAGAAGCGGAGTCCTTAGAACGTTCCAACTAGTTCGGTCCTCATAGAGTTTTTTTTCAGGATTTATTGACATTTACATACCCGGAGTTGTGTGTCCGATACGGTGTTTCTCTTTCGCAGGCTGTCCCGCGGGTGGTTGACACGCGGTTGCCGTCGAGACAGTCCCATTATCCTCGCTGGTTACTACTATCGAATCGTAACATGCAACAGTGCAAAGCCAACCCACCAGACTTTCACTTAGTTCTGAGGATCTATATCTGAGTAAGCTACGGAATTTTTAAGGATCTAATTCTTAGTAAACAATATTATGGCTACTAGTCCGCTTATTTTTTAGTCATATAAATTATATACTGATAATATAACTATATGTAACTATACGTATGCTAACACGATTCAGAACGGGAAACCGATATGCGTATGTATGGAAAAAAGTAATTATTAATTCTTTAATCCAAAATCCGTTCTTCAAACAACTTGTTAATAAAAACTGGACGAACCTGTAAAAGATATTTGGATTGCAACAGCCACATCATGCTGCTTCGCCAAGACATCAACAGCCTAGTCAAATCGTAAATAATAAACGCACTTTTGGCAGTTACAAATCGTTCACTTTTATGGAATTATTTAAATTCCCTTTCAGGCATATTATGAATTGTGTATTATATTATATAACTTTTATCAGTATTACAGATTTCTACAAGCCTTAGGCAGTATGTATGTTTTTATTTATTTATAGAATATTTAAAAAATAAAAATACGCTATTTTTAAATTAATTCGGTTTATATTGTTCGGTTTATATTGATTTAAACATATAAAAAAATAAATATTCGATACATAATATCGTATTCTTTTCATACTGAATATAAACATAACAATTATCATTTTTTTTGCAATAAATACAAAAAATTTATTATAAAAAATTTAAAGTTTTTTATACTCAAAAGAATCTCTTACTGTAAATATTATCGAATATAATGCTGATTATAAAAAAAACTAAATTAATTAATTTTATTTATATAACACACATGTGTTAAAAAATATCTTTCTTAAAAAGGAATTTGCAAATTACTGAAAGGGTGAATTCAAATTACGGACATTATTTCCATAAAAAATTCCATTAAAAAATGACGTTTAACTGCGAAAAGTGAAAATTTAACGAGTGTAATTGATGTTCTAGAGCGTAAGCGAGTCGAGTACGTGTCAAGTACGTGTTTTGAACGTAATGTATTTTCGATCCTTACCGTATAACATTATTTATGACTAAACGATATCAACATTCGCTTTAACACCAGCCTTTAAACATGTCTGTGTTATTTAAATATTACATTGCAACGTTGGCAATATAAAGTAATTACGAATCGATAAAATACCTTGCCATGTGTCACACACATTTTTTTTTAGAATACACAAATGATCGAGTTGCATGATGACTTACCGGAGTGTGGTGGTGCAAGAAGGGATCGACTAGAGCTGAAAAAAGGTCTTAGCGATGGCTTCGGCGTGCTACTAACAGACATGGTATCCAATTCTGGTCCACTGTCCGATAAGTCTTCTAATTCGTCGAACAATTCTTCTATTTCCATATCGCCGCCTTTAACGAAACAATAGATTGCTTAAATAGATAATTCATTTACTTTTTACATTTCTTCGTTTCGACTAACATTTCTTTCGGGGAAAAATCTTAAAATTCTCTAATATTAAGCAATCGATGTTTAAACTTTTTTATACTATTTTTCTACATAATTTGATTTATAATAATTTAAATACCTGAGAGCTTTTGCCCGATTTCTTCTTGATCGTGCTCCAACTCCTCAGACACCCTAAATCGCTTTAGCAGAGCTATAAATTTTTGCTTTAAATTCCTTTGCTGCAAAATACGAATAAACGTCATAAGCTAATGTTTCGAAGCCAATTAAGTTTTATAAGCTAAATGGCAATGTTGCACGCACCCTAGCATTGGTCGGCATCTTTCCTCGACTCTTCCGCCTGTGCACCTCCAGCGTAGGCTCGCTATCGCTGCCCTCTGCCTCACCCTCCGAACTAAATTCCTCCTCTTCGTCACTGAATTCCGGACAGAGCCTCTCGTTGGGATCGTTTATCAGTCTTTTGTCGTGGTCGACAGGCTGGGAGCTCAGAGCGACAACACTCACACGCGCCAATGGAACAGAGTGTCCGCCGTATTTCTCTGCCTTGTCCGATATGAGTTCTAATTCGAGATCCATTTGCTTTTGCAGCACCTGCATTCGAAATCCGTATCGTCAATACCGTCATAGAGAGATAATCTAATTTCTTAAACCGATATAAAGCGTATAAATATATATATTTTTTAATTGCAACAAAAAATAAATTACAAGGTAAAAGAACATTTTAATTAATCTGGGAATCAAAGAAATCCCTCTATTTTCTAACTTTCTCTTGTACTATTATTTATTCTTGATAGGGTAAATTAAAATTTCAGGAAAATCTTGCCTGTGCCATGTTAATGATTCCCTCCGCGAGGGTTTTATAGCCGAGCATCGTGCGGTTCTTGTATCGCTTTCGCCTCTGTAGCAATATCAGAAGTTTGTTTCCATCTCTCTTGAGAAAATGCGGATATTGAAGTGCAAACTGCAATTCAAGCTCCGTGTCGAGCATGCCACCGGTCGGTATGGCCATCTCGTTGGATCGTAAGGTTCTCTTGGAGCTCTGCATCTTCACTGCGATGCTGATGGACGCTAGATCTGAGCCGAGCGGTCGGAGTATTACTAAACGAGTTAATGTCAAGGAACACAGCCTGAAAAGAGCGATAAATCGATTTCAGATCAGAGTATTTTAAGCTTGAAAATTGATACAAAGATTACCCACAAGACTTTAAGATCAAAATACAGCTAAAAATAAATTTGGAATAAAGTCTCACCGGTCTCGCTTATCCGTTTAAATATTAAAAGAATTGAATAAGTTTAATTTTTCGATGGGGGGAGTAAAAAAAAGAACGTTTAAATTTCTGCAGAGAAATCGCGTGGAAAAATATACTAAACTATGCATGCTAAAATTTGCCGGTAGCGGTAACTTCTTTCGTGTAATATATTTTTTTCCGACCGATCAATTCTTACTTTCCGCGCATCCTTTGTGCAGAAATTGCTTCTCGGCGATACACACGCGATAAAATTTATACCGAGTGGAAATATCGTCGACGAAACCCTTATTACGTGCGAGGGGGGTGAAGGCGGTTATCGTTATTTATGGAGAGACTTTCCAGGGTTCGGGGGCGAATACTAAATATAGCATCCACGGAGGGTTGAGACTACAGGTGGTACGCTTATCATATGTGTGCGCGTTTATTTCGCATGTGCACGGCTGTTTCGCTTGTGACAATATACGAACGCGAGGCCAATTCGCGGCAGGCACGTAAACGGATTTGATCTGTTAACAGTACTTGCGAGTTCACTTAAATTATCCAGCAATCCGTTCTGCATTCGAATTGTTTCGACTTGTCTGAATTCTATTCAAATATTCTTCAATTTATAAAAGAAATTGTACAGCGAAAGGTCGATTATTTGAATAAGAAAAAATGTTCAATAAGCGTATAATCTATAGTCAAAGAAATAAAATCAAACAAGGCGTAATTGTTATTTAAACAGATTTAAAATCTGCGTGCTTGAATGTCATCTCGTTTTCGATTACATTGATTCATTTTATTCGTGCGCTATTTTTATGTGGAATTTTGCATGCAATGTATTCCTGAAGTATTTCGGAAAATCTTTTTCTGGCAACCACTTGAAAGTCAACAGTTCTCGGCAAAATCGCCGATGGCAACAACTATGTAATCACAGCTACGCTACAATTCGAATTTATACCGAACTAACCGCTGACTTTTGCTAAACGCGTGCCAATTGCAATTTGGCAGCGGAACCGGAAGACAAAAATACAATAATCGTATATCATCGCATGCCAACATTGCTATGCATTAATAATATACGCAGTATTCCTTTTTCACGATAGCTTTCCAGCTGATTCCAATTCAGCTCGAGTATCTTTGATAGTTTCGCAATACTTAGACACTTACATAGATATTTGAAACCTCGTCGTACAGTCGGCAGCCAAAACATTGTAAAATTTCGGTCCATCTTTGGAACTTGCCAAAATCGCGAGGACAATCCTGCGGTTATGGTAAATTTCAAAGTTCAACAAAAAAAAAAAGAAATATGCCTTATCTTGTTGGAGATTTAAAAGCACTCTCTATTTCCGGTTTTGTCGAGACATTTTACATATTAGTAATAAAATAAAATAATAAATTAAATATTTCATATATCTGCAATTTTTAAAATCGAATAAAAAACAAATTTGCAATTTTATATCTTTGTATAAGTTAGAACAAATTACTCAATAAAATGTAAAGATGTCATTTTACTTCTTTTATTCAAAATTATTTTCAGTAAATGCGAATTAAATATCTAAGTAAAATAATTAAGTTTATTAAAGCAAACTAAAAATTTAATTTTGAATAAAAGATGGTGATAATAGAGAGACGAAAGTTTCCACGGCATTAAATTTAATATTAATTATAATATTAAATTTAATATTAATTATAATATTAAATATAATATTAATTATTTATTAATATTCTATTAAATTTAACTTTTATCCCACTAGAAATATTATTACTAAAAATTCATTGTAAATATAAATTAATAAATATATTAATTTATTTTATTTTAACTTTACTAAATAATTTAAACTTTATATTAATTTCCATTCGACATCATATAAAAAATTTGAAAAAAATCATGAGAAAAAACTTGTTGATATTAGAATATTATTGGTAAGTCATTTCTTAATGTTGCTAATGTGAATAAAAATAACTAAACATTGTCTCATATTAATTATTTGTATTGACATTCGTCGAATACGCATTAATTACTAACATCGGGCGATAAACAATAAATATTGATTGTAAATCAATCTAATATCACAAAAAACAATAAATATCATAAGAAAATAATAAATATTTTCTTTAAGAGAATCGTTAAATCATTATACTTTAGAAGTATCGAAGATAAAGAATATATCGACGATTGACAAACGAGCTATCCCCCCCTTCCCACCCTCCATTCATCACGAAAGCGACGATCCCTGTATGCGGACCTGTCAGTTTTCGTTGACAGTTGCGGTTGTTTCGGGAATCGCAAGAATGAACGCAATGCAACATCCGATTGTGATTCGGACTGCGAACAAAGGCACAAACGCGTCTATTTATCCGCGTGAATTCGAAAATTCAACCAAAACGGACACCTTAAGTGACCGAGCGGGGACAAAAAGGGCGTGCAGTCGCGGAATCGCGGAGACGTCACTTGGCGTGTCCACCATAACGTTCGAAAAATGTCGAATAAATTTATTCCATAAGAGTCAAGGAACGCCTTAACAATCGTCGCCGAGTACGATCTGTTACCTGGGTATGCAATTTGGGGGCGTACGATCCACTTCCCAGGTGGCGAACAGCTTCATGGGAACGGGCCGGGTGGCCGGAGCCGTCACCTTCGTCCGTTCCGCCATTTTTGGCCTAGGCGGCCCACAAGACACGCACAACACCTACGTTTCACCGCGTCCCACAGCTCGTAGACGACTGTATCAATGACTGCGAAGCTCAACTCGACACGGGTAGATCCGGCGGGAAATTCTCGTTTGTAACGCCATCTGCTTCCGGGTGTACAGTCAGCCTTATGTATGATTCACACCAAGTTCATTTCCGACACTTTTCGGACCCACGTATCGTATCTAGATATTTGTGTTTCATGGACAAATCTAAAATATATTTTTGTTCAATCTAATATTATATGACATTCTATCTATTTTTGAACTTTATATCACTCTTATACACATCAACTTATTAAATATTTGGCATTTTTCAATAATTAATATGACTGCTCTTATAAAAATTGATATAATTAATTTAGTCTATTATATAATTTTAAATATCATTTCAACTTGCAGTTCATTAAATTTATATATTTACTTATTAATTTTAAGTTAATGATTCATATATTTATTATATATAAATAAGTTTTACTTTTACTTTAGCTGAAAAGAATAACAGTAAAAAATTAAATAGTACTAAAAGAGACAAACTTATGTATTATCTAAATGATATCATATTCGAATTTTATTACAAAAAAATGTACAGGTGATAATAATCAAGTAATAAATATATAGTTTTCTCCTCAATGGTATTTTATAAATTTCCTGCCTGTCATTTAAATCAAGTGATACGACAACCACCACATTAGAAGGGGTTGTATACCAGCTAAGAAGAGGATAAAGTAAAGCCGTCTTTTATTACCAGAGGCTGTGTACGAACTATTGCTGATGACTCTTAATTTTAACGATCGCATCAGAAAGACAGCTAGAGAGATACTAAAGTACAATAGCATCACATAGTAACCGTATTTTCGAAATAGCAATGATATCAACAGGGCCGCGTTAATACCGACATACTTATAACCGCAATACGCCAACAAATCTAACGTTGTTAGACTCGTTTGAAGATTCATTACGTACAAACTCACAGTATGGACAAGCAATTCAATCACACCCCAGGCGAGAGCGGAACTGGCCAGAATACCCAGCTGCTCATGTGTGAAACGTTCATGCATGCCTAAAACTAATCCCGCCGTAGCGACGTACGTGAAAAACGCCATTGTAGGTATATACATGTCTGGTGCATTTTTTTCATATCGTGGTTGCAACGGTACATCTTGTTCGTATTTCACAGACCAGTCCTAGAATTGTTATTGTGTTGTATTTGTTTGACGCATATTTTTTATGGAATCAATAGAATAAAACTTGTACATAACTCACCTTATGAGTAAACGGGAAGAACAACAGCATTAACTTTCCAAAAACATAATCTGTGTTTACAGCAAAGTAATATTTCAATGCTGTAACTGGCACATATTTTTCTAAATGCTGTTTTCCAGTACCAACCAATGCATTCCCATATTGGACCGCCATGTTTGTTACAACTGGTTGGCTTAATAATTGTGTCGCAAATTGTGAACTTGCGACAAATTCTCCTCCTTGATTGTCAGGAGCCGGATAACTGGGTACCTGCTGATTAAATCCATATGGTGGTGGTGCCTGTCCAGAAATGTTAAAACCATATTCCGGCATTGCATCATGATTCATCGGTGCCTAAAATTATATAATCAACTTGTTAATATAAGTTCTGTGAAAAATAAAAGTGCACAAGCAGAAATATTGATTCAGTATATCTTTAAATAGTAATTTTATTTGAGTTAGCTTATTCCACGAATAATTTATAAAAATAATGCAGTGATAATTTTAGATAAATTTTATAAAATTCACCTGTTGATTATATACAGGCATATATGGATTTTGTGGCATTGGAGGATTTTGTGGCATTGGTGGCATTGGTGCCGATAAACCAGCTGATGGATCCAGTAATCTTTTTCCTGTCAACAAACAACAACCTTTCTTCAGCAATCTATTTATCTTTTATTCAATATAATAATAAATAAAAATTATAATAAACTGTAATTATATATTATTAACATTATGAGAAAGTGATGAAGAACATAATTCATATAACAGTTTCATTTTTATATATTTCATAATGAGGTTTCTGCAGCAAGATAGCAATAGCAATGTATAGATGAGTAGAACAAGAATAAATATTCTTAGTATCGTAAATGTACCAATAAAAAAATATTTTTTATATAAAATATAGAGCTAAACATAAGTTTACATCTGCCATTCATAGGTTACCCTTACCTCGGCGTGCGTTCGAGTGATTGTAATTCATTTTTCAATGATTTACGTTACACTACGTTTCGGATACACCTTCAATCACTTAATAAGATAAGATCAAAGTTCGCTCACACAGGCTCCAATTATTTATAAAAGATGATAGTCAAAAACAACTTCTACTACACGTCGCCATATTTCGCTTTTTGTGGCAACCATAAATTTTTGTATACCTAGAGGAGGATACTGCTGCGGTATAATTCTTAACGATTGTGGCGTCACCTCTGTAAATTTGTCATGCAAGCTTAAGTAAATTCGTACACGCATGTCATTGATGTTTAACATTTCCGGTTTAAATTTTTTTTCTGTGCATTTAGCTTTAGATTGTTTAACTAATTTTTTAATCCATCTTTAATCTTACCTTTTTAATACTTCTTGATCGATGAGCTATTTGAATAGGATCTGAACTTTTTGATCAACTAATTCTAGGTAATTATAAAACAAGATAAAGGATATTTTGTTTATTTACAGTAGTCATAAGTCAGATATTTTTCATTTAATAGATTGTCGTATAGAGACCATTTTCTGATTTACTTTATGTGGGACAGATTTATTCAGAAATTAGCAAACTTTGTTGGTTAACACAAATTTATATTTTGATGTTAAAAGCTGCTATTATATACATAATATTACTATTCTTAATTAAAAACAACAAAGAATATTTGTTAAGTAGTAAACATCTATCTTTAGCTATTTATTAACTTTAATGAGTCTCTGACATTGAAAAAAATGTAAGTATTACAATGAAAACTTTTTTACAATAAAAGAAGAAACCAGTTTGGAAGTATGAAAAAATGCTCTACTGCAGAGGACAAAACATTATCAAAATATTATTTTTAAAGATAAAAAATAGTTTATACATATAACAATCTTAATTAAAATCATGACATTTATACATTTTCTGTACTTATGCTTTTTTCAATGTCAAAGTTTCAAATAAATAGGAGTATATTCGAAGCTATCTACTTTCACATTCATTTCATGTAACACAAACGTCCATTTCAATTATAATGCATATTATAATTTTAATATTGTATTATTAATGTAGGGAATATATGTCACTACTAGAAATTCTGCATATTTTCAATGATACATTTTTATGATTTGATGATAGTTCAATGAATTATTTCCATTATTTTCAATAAAAATAATACTCATTAAGCAGTCTTTAAAGAGTTATTATTATTTAATTAAATAACGTATATCAGAACTTAATTATATCAATAATCACCATAATATTACACTTATCACAATAATTGCAAAACACAAAAAGTTTCAAAAAAGTTTACTTGCTAATACTTAAAGCTGTCCTTGAACCAAAAATGTTACTTGAACAAAAAAGTATTCAAAATTATATAATAAATAAAAGACGTTTTATATTTAAAAAAATCCTCATCACATAGTAAAAATAATTAGAATAATCAGTCTTAATAGAGAACTTTCGTTTTTTTTCATACATATGTGATACTATCGTTTCACTGCCATTTAATACGCAACACAAATATATAAATAATCTATATAAAATAAACTACCGAATATGGTGAATTATGGTTTGTGCAACTAAATATTATAATGTTATGTCTGTTGTTTAAAGATAAACGTCAAGAACAGATGCATAGCAGATGCGATGGATGATAATGAAGTTGTTGAAGCAATTGTTTTAAAAACCGGAAGCAGAATCCAATACATGGTCATCTATGATTGGACTTATTGCCACTGTGACCGAATTATCGTAGTAACCACTCGATATTAATCGTACTGACGTTACATCATACGCTACGAGCTCCTTTACATCTGAAAGAAGAAAATTTGCTTCTTAATTAATGGTAAGATATTTAATTATAAGCATTGTATGCTTAATTATACACAACACTCAAGAAGTGTATAGATTGCAAAACAGTATGAATACATGGAATTAGTATCGTTCTATTTCAGTTGCTTTCAATTGTAATTTGTTCTACGTATGAAACGTTCGTTACCTGGTTTGGAATCAATACCGCAAATGGAGTCAATTACGTCGAGTTTTGTGGTGTCGAGGCCGCGACTACCACCGATCTGCACTTGGTCCCGCGGACTCTTCGTTTCGCACTAAAAATGAAGGTTCGTTGAAGATATTAATTTCATCAGCTATCTCACAAAGAGTCAAACAAGAACGGATAACTTCACTTTGAGTTCTGCCCACAGCTTTGTCTTCGAATACTATTTTCAACATTTTAAATGTTTCAATAGAATATTTTCTTTATTTTACACAGAATTCACACAAATTTGTTGCTCGCGAACAATTTTTATTTAAAAAAAAAGTCACCAGACACATGCCAAACACATGCTCGCAAAAAATGAATAACAACAATGATTTAATTTATTAATAATGAATTAATAATTAAGCGAGACTGAACGATAAGCATTTGCCTCCAAGTTAATACATTGACTGGCTATTTTTAGAATTGGAGAACTTTTCGGATAGACCTTGTGCATACCTTGCGCAAAGTGCCGGTTTCGGTTGTGTGAGCGACGCCGTGCGAGCTGCTACCGCCAACTCCGAGCGCGACTACTTGCACAGCACCAGGATACACTGCCATGAAGGTACAATTGATTCGCCTACCGTAATTGCGAAGAGTGAATGGATCCGTTGTGCTGACCGACAGGACGTTGCAGGCTGAAAGACGTAAAATTGCTTAAATTTGTTTCGAGGTAAGCTTTATTTATGAATTAATGAGCGTAATGTTTTCACATATGCCAAATTGACAACCTTTTCGTGGGATATAATATCCTTAAAAAAGGCTAGAAAGATTTATAAAATCATTTTTTTATATTTGTCCTGAGACATTCTGATTCATGCGACTCTCTGCATCGTGCTACTGTTAGATTAAACGGTCTGTGATCAGAGATTGATCTACAACTGGTTCTAATATTCGGGCGTCGGTATTCAATTAGAACGGCGTAAAGCCTGTGCGACAAGTAATTAAATTATAGGACCAAAATGCTGATGTGGCCGCGAATTTGCAATGTTAATGCAATAATGTGGGCATCTCACGTAGAGCGACCAGATAGCATCGATTTTCTAACGGCTGACTTCGAATGGTGCGTTGGGCTTTTATCAATCGCCAAATAAATAGATCACGTCATTCAACGTAGAATTCAATATTCCATTTTCTCAAGAAATAGTTTAACATTTATACTATTGAAAATAGCGTATATTTTAATTTTAATTAAACATCTAATAAAACGTGTAGCAGAGTCGAGATTGATTTCATTAATTTCTTTGGGAAGATATTTTGATTTCTTTTTTTACGTTTTTTTACACTTGGAATACAGCTGAAAGTTACATTTGAGATAACTTTCTAGCAATCGGGAAATGTGAAGTTAAACTCAGTTAAAGAAAGAAAAATCCAAGAGTTAAAGATAATATTTTTGCAGAATTCATGTTAGTTATAATCAAGCCGTACTTACGTCTTGGATTCTTTGGATATTTCGCGGATACGACGAAACCTTTTCCAGTCGCAGGTATCCTATACTGGAGAAGTGCAGCATTTTGCGAAGTTTTAAAAGTTTTTTTGTACCATCTGTTTTTACCGCAGAACTCGTTCACCCTTTCTTTTATCGGTAACGGATGGTCGCTCTCGCTCGGAAATACTTCACCATTCAATTCCCAGCCGTCGATTATCTGCCAAATGAGAATCAATTAAAGATTTATGCTCTTGCAGCGTGAAATTGTTCTTTAAATAGAAGCGCATTCTTCGGACTACAAAGTTTATACAATATCTATGAGTAAATTTATTTTGTTTAGTTGTGAAAAAATTTGTAAATATTATAGAATTTAAATACTACAAATTTATGTGCAATTAAGTATTTAAAAAAAGATGATTACAGACTTTGAGAGCAGGTAGTATTTATCAAAATATAAGGAAAGAATTCTTAATGAACATAAATCCCAAAATAAATCTTTTCAATCTTCTTACAGATGTTCCCGTTTAACAAGATAGAAAGTCAGTGCAATATATTGAACATGAAGATCCATGTACATCATTTATATGTGTTTACGTATCTAGCAACTCTCATTAGCTTGTAGTAAGAAAAGATCGATGGGAAAGCTCAACATTGAAACATTATCTTCAGAAGGATGAAGAAGTGAATGAATGACGCTTGATAGAATGATATATTGTCTTCGTCAAGCAGAGAAAATAAAAGAACGCAACTGTGAAAGAGACTACAACTTGCTACAGCTTGGCTTACAAGTTAATATAAATTGCTACAAATACGTGAACGTATACAAATGCATGAATCTTCATGTTTAATATATTGTACTATTACTTTTTACTCACAAAAAATTAAATCTACAGCATCTTGTAAAAACACATCGAATGAAATTTACTTCTCATGCTTATGTTCATTAGAAGTTTTTTCCTTATTTTGAGGAATATTATTTCCCTTCAAAATCTGTCGTCTTTTTTAAAATATTTTATATAATACAAAAAGTATATAAAGTATATAAATTATAAGAAAAATCTAATGAGAAATGAGACAGTATTTCTCGTGGGAAAAGTCGGAAAAACCTAATTATAGTTGCAACAAATGCAGAAAAACTACATCTGTAGTATTTTGTAGACACGTTGAGCAAAATTCACTTCTTATGTCATGTTAGAGATATTTGTTTTTCGTAACATTGATTGCTATAGATTCGCGGCACGTAGCAACACCGCTCTCGTTGGGATTACTCGAGTTTACCCTACAGGAGTTTTCCATTAATGGTGACGGGGAGAATGAGCAAGAGTCGAGGGGAAACTTTGCATTTCGATTTGCACGAAAATTTATACACGCGTAATTCGTTTACGGCGTCGCTAATGTGATTTCTTTGAAAGCTTTCGAAGTTTCGCTTATTGTCGCTTAATGAGCACAAACAAATGACAAATTCCTAATAGAGACATTTGCCTTGCGGATCCCTTTTCATTCCAATTCTCAAGAGAGAAGATTCAAGGTTGAAGAAGACCTTTGTCCTTTGACCTTAGAGAACATTCTGTGACTTTCGCAATTAATTGACTTCTGCGTATTGTGTTATCTAATTAGTGACTCTCATTTTAATTATATCATATTTCTTTTGATTAATTTTTTATGAACTTTTTTCAAATATAACAATTTGTTTAATTAATAAAATTGCACATTGTTGTTATATATTTTTAAAATTATTTTAATTACTATAAGCAAAATACTTTTTAATTTGTGATGCAAATGACAAAAAAATATTTAAAAGTTTTAAAATTGATATTTAATAATAACTGACGTATTACATACCGCCAAAAGTCCACGATGCTCGCAGGGAACGTCGAAACTGTGGAAATATATTTCCACTGTGCGATCGGGATCAGTTAAAAAATATATACCACAAACGACGTCACTGTCAGACTGCGATATGTAAGAAAGAGGTCCAGTTTCTGATGTGACAAACGTACACTCTATAACAGGATGTCAATAATGATTCCTTTTTAAATATAAATACACAAACATTTTACAATGATTTATATTATAATACGAAATCACATTCTGAATTAAAATTCTAAGTTTGTTATAGTTGAAAAATTCATACGCAAATTTAATCTTTATATATAATTTTGTCTTGTAATTTAGTTAATTGAATTACAAAGAATTTTTTCTTTACTTTTGTATATCTCAATGCAATTTATTTTCAAATTTATTGCTGGTTTTATAAAACGTAATAAAGCGCCGCTGAAAAATGCAAAATGTAAATTAAATCAAATTCTAATTTTCACTGGATTACATCAAGTTTTAATTGCATTCTTTATAAAAACGGGATTTGGAATGATACGATTACTGAGTAATGCACAATATGTGGAAAATATACTAGTTCGATCATTGTTCCGGAAACTGCGCTGTCCATCCATTAACGCGGTCCATAATTTGTGTAACGCAATTACCGTATCAAACGCCTCAATTACGAAGCTTACAAGCGTACGATACGTTTCCGCAACACCAAACGCTTGGCCCACATGCAGAACTACTTTTACGCATTTTACGGCGCGGATTATAGCATAAATATGGTTCGTTTAAAGAGAAATTGTGCAAAATTTATAGTGCAGTGTTCCGGATTGGCTAAAAAGTATTTTTTAAATCAAAATGCAAAATCGGTTTTTCTTTAATGTAAATAAATAAAGCGCAAACTATTGCAGAAAAATCCGTTCATAAATAGAATAAATTATTGTTTAATCTCAGTTTAGCCTTCAAAAATATATTAAAATATTTTCATAGAGGGTCTTATAATTAATCTCGTTAGATGCATATTATTATAAACTACGAAAAATAATGAGGTACAAAACAAAGAAACGCAAAATTACTTTTAGTTAGTTTTTTTAAACGCGTATATTATTTTAAAGCAATTATCAGAAGAATAAGCGCGATTTCGAAGAAACGTGAGCTACTGTAATGGATACAATCTTTCCGCTCAGATTATCCCGTCTGCAAACATATTACCACTAGTTTCAATTAAACGAGCGACCGCTGCGGCGTTCATTAGCAACATTAGCTCACCGCGATAAAAATAAAAGTATCGATTATATATCCGTTTAAATACAAAAATAAATGTTTATATAATTAAAAATAAAACGCTTGTTTTATAAAACAAGCAATACATTTTCATTTAATTTAATGGCATAAAATAGAGTTATTTTTCTATAAATTCTCATGACGCATTATTCTTATACAATAAATTAATAAAGCAATTTAGATAATTGGTCAATTAAGATATTAAGTTTCTGTATTGCATATATACATATTACAATTAGCATGTCATATGTTAGATTATATACATTTATTATTCACTTGCCTGTAATGGGTCGATAATGTTCACGAGGTATCTCGAAGGAAGCCTTCCCTCCCATTTCGAAAGCCAAGATATTAGCAACAGCTTCATTTGATATCTGAAAAAAAAACATACGCTACATTAAATATATTAATATACGCTACAGAAAATTTTATATATTTTAAGTTAATTAAAATGAAATTCATTTTTAAGCACGATAATACAAAATCGTTTGTTTTGTCATTTCTGTACGTTTTTACATCGATTTTAACTTGTACACACAATATAATCTTGCTCTAATTTAAAATATCTCTCAGAATGTCTATAAATAACCATAACTTCCTTCTAGTATAAAGCAATTTCGGTTTCATTAAACACATTTTATCGTAATCGATTGCTTATTGCAAATTGAAAATGAAAGACTTATTATGTATTGCACGCAAGCTTGGTATTTCCCCTTCGGCAAGTTTCAATACACCAACGTAACGATCGAAGTTTGTAAAGTTCAATCTATATGCGCTTTTATTTCATATTTCTCATTCCTTCTCTTGCGCGAAGCACGCAAACAAATTTAATGGCATAATTTATATGCTTTCATATTATTTCCCTATGCAATTGACCACATGTTTTTATTATCTACGACAAAGTCTCACAACGAGAATGTCTCTGAATGGCTAAATACATCGTTTCGATACTTTCGCGACTGAATTAGTCGAAATGCGTCATTATTGCTAACATATTGAGCGTGACATGATAGTGCATTACGCACGCAATATTTGTGATAAAGGGCAAATAAATTTCTGTTCGGTTAATTGCACAAGTCATATGTCATCTCGTATGGCGCTCGTTGTTCTGCCTCGTTCGTACAAGTGCGTTCATCATTTTACGCTGGGGCAAAAATTGCGCAAATTGCACTCCCTACTGTGCGAAACGCTCTTACGCTGTCGCGAATGTGCGAATAATATCCGTTATTCAATTAACATTATTTCTCGACTGTCACGGGGATGTGGAGCCGCTGGGAAAAACGCATTCCCGGTTCTCACCTGCCAGATAAATCTGTCTCGAAAATAATTGGCAAAGTAGCGCGCTTAAATGATGATCTTTTTGCGAAATCGCACACGAGTGCGTTCGCCCGGCATTGCAAGCAGAAAATAATTATCGCGCACTGCTAATACAACACGCGAGATTTCTAGAGCGCGACATGTAAAACACTTCAGCATTTTCGTTCATCTTTTCTAAACTTTTGGACACGTAAAAATTGAGTTACAATCAAACGGAATATTACTTTTATTTATATAATATAGATTATCGCAATTTTTAATATTGAACAATAAAATCATGCAAATTAAAAAATTTCTGTGCTTCTGTTTTTTTTTATAAAAGTCATAATAAAAATCGATATCTATCTTACTGTAAAATATTGCTGAACTAATTTAGCTTTTCTCTTTGACGTAGTCACTTAATACTGCTTATTTATCTCTATCCCTTTGTAAAAAAGATGAAAAGAAGGGTGATGCAAATCTGACTAGTTTGGCTTGTTTAGAAGCAGAAAACTAAAACTCATTAAAAGTTGGCAAATGACGTCACCTGTAGTACAAGTCAAAAGTTTTTAAACCTTTTTTGGTTCGATGAAACTCCCTTTTTGTGTTTTACTTTAATTTCTAGCTGACATCATTTATTTATATTGCATCTATTTTTAACTTAATTGAATTTTTAAATTGCGCATATTTTTATAATAATCATGTGCTTTCTCTTCAAGCAATATTATTTTTTCTATTAGCATGATAAGACTTTGAAAAATTTGGAAAACGAATTCTTTAAAATCTTATTATGTTAATAGAAAAAATAATGATGCAAGAGTAAAGCATTCTTTAGAAATATGATAGAAACAGATAAAAAAGCCTTGCTGCGTCTTCACAATGAAATAATGACATAAAATTATGAAATTTTCATATTGAATAACTTCTTACATTTTATATATTTTACGAAAAGAATATTTTAAATTTAATTTAAGATTCTACATATATAAATCTGTCTAATTTATTAAAAATTTTTTTTGAAACTGTCACTAAAAATAGCATTAATTGTCGATCAAATTACAACGTAAAAATACAGCAAGAAAAAATTAATTAAGCAATTAATTTTCTTAGTAGAGAGGTTTTTTCGCTGGTTGTGGAAGAAAGCTACTGCAATTTTACTGTATAGCCGCCCGCGCTGTAATTTTATTTTTTTTTATTGAATTTATTACGATAAGAAAAATTCTTAGATGAAACCTGGCTGCAATTGAAAAGAATTGCAAAGAATATTCTATTATTTTAATAAATATGTAAATATTAATAAGCAAGTTAATATTAAATGGTATTTTAAGAAAATATTAACTATAAAAGTACAAACTTTATACTTGTTTAAAATAAAAATATCAAATATTTATTTAAATCTAAAAGAAATCACTTTTTGAGAATAAAATAAGTTAGAACAATAGAATATCTTTAACATTAATGAGTTTCTCTAAATAACTGTAATCTTTGGTTAAATATAATACCGCAATATTTTATTCAGTGGCATAATCAATACAAGCATTACTTCTTAATAACTTCTTATGATATTTATTACAGAACTCCTTTTATGATATTAAAAAGGAATAATTATCATGTAGCTCAAAAATAATTGCGAGGAGAAATCTCTGTTTAAATTATATATTCTTTCGTATATGTTTTATGAAATATCCTAAAAAGTAAGATTCAAACTATAAAGTTTCTTTTATTAAAAATATTAATATTCTTTTCTGATTTTACTCTAAAAATGTATATTCAAATACACTTACCTGTTGCTGACGGTGATCATTGGCAACCGCTGCTCTCGCAACGCGAAACATCGCGCTGGCGATGACGATCAAGAAGATCGACGTTGAAATCAACTTGGAGAACATTTCACGACGAGAAAAATATAAGAAAGAGACGGTGAAAGCAGCGCGAAAATAGCGAAAAGAATGGAAACTTTTTTTATAGATATGGATCGGTTTTCTTGTCCTTCGTTCCTTTCGTCCTTCGTTCCTTCGATCAAGAGAGATCGGAGTGGTGCGCAAGATCGTGAAGCACTGTGCGAGCTCAGGCCAAGCGCGGCAGGTGTTCTGGTGGCGTCGCGACGCACGGCGTCCCTCTTATAGCCGCCTCCTCGCACAACCACCTCGCTTCGTCCTGGCTGCGCGCAACCCCGAACCTTATTGTTACGCGCTATATATACATATATATATATATATATATATATATATGTATGTATATATTACCGTACGATAAATGCGAAGGCGGGAGCGAAGCAGTGTGAGATTTGCCCAATTCAAAGGAACAGAAGACAAAAGAATTTTTATCTGCTTGTAAAGTGGTTTTATTAGGCACATATAGCCTTTTTGAAAAGCGTCAGAAAATCCAATAATTATTAAATTACTTTTATGCCATGTATTTTCATCTTTCAAATTTAGTTCACAAAATTCCCTTTATTTATAATTATCAAACGAGCGCGCATATACCAGCTTCGACATTTATTTGAAAAATTTGAATATTCGAGAAAAAATTCGAGTAACGCTATATGTCCATTTTTGCTAATTTCAGGACACTATAAAAATCTCATTAACATAAAACAAAATTGTTAGAATGTACGAATATTTCTTCGGCATTTGCTTAAGCATCGACTTATTTATATAAGAATAGATTACGAACACGGGCCATAATAATCTGTAGATTCTCCTCCCCCTTTTTTTCAACAATAAAAATTCTGGCTTGTTGATCTTTTCATTCATTGTCAGTGTGCATTCAACGCGCGAGTATCAGAGACTGTTATTGACAGATTCTACCGCAACTGCGAAAAGCGCTATCGCGGCATTTTACGTCACCGGCGAATATTGCCACTGAACATCATATTGCTTTGGAAAGCAGATTGACATTTTAAATATTCTTCGACACTGGAGAGAAAATGTTTATGTGTGGTGATACTCGCCAAATATCCCGCGTATGTATGTGCCAGCATTTTACAATACACGTTTGCAACGCGGTTCTCTGATCGGCAGGAACAGGATGCGCGTGTCATTCTGTCAGTGAGATAGACGTTAAACGATCGCTCGATTAGCGCAACCTGCAGAAATTCACCGCAGGATATATATATAGGTATTGTACCGACATTATCTAATTCCGGCTTTAATCTTAAAACCGTAATCGAGATCGATGACGGTGCGGAGAAGTTGTCGGCACGATTTCTGTAAGCTTTACAAATGTTCTCTCGGAAACACCGAGTCGAAACACTTTATTGCGTTTTTTTTTTTAAATTTTGTTCGAGTTTGGCAAAACGCTTGTACACGAAATTCGATCGGATAGAAATTAGAACGAAAACGTTCGGCGAGGGTGCTTTATATCAATTATATAAATTTCCGCACTTTACTTTTGTAAGAAAAATATATTGCTGTTAGAAAATTACTTTTATATTACTTAGTCACGGAAATAAACACTGATACAAGGATCATTGACCGATAATCGCTCATTCATTATTGAGATCTGTCTGGACATATGGTAAAATACAGAAAAATTAAAATATAAAATAAACAATATTTTAATACAGATTTCAATCTTTTATGCACGGTAGAATGAAAGTATTTTGGATGTCAAAATCATTCCACTTGACGGTATCTATTTAGATGTAAATGGTGGACATTGTGTAAGCGGTTCTTCATGGAAGTTAAACACGAAGCATGACATATCTTGATGACTCGTGAATAAATAACCGAGACTTATTGCGATAAGTATGGTTACTTCTTAGAATCTACCAAACTGTGAACACACGCAATATCGCTCGAGTTATCGATTATGCTTTATGAGAAAATCTGTGCGGTGAAACGATATCGGTTATGTAGTGATCGATGCATTATTGCACGCGTCTGCATCCTTAAAAGAAATATTATTAAAAATTATTTTAAAAGAATAAAAGGTAAACATAAAATTTAAAATACAGTCTAAATATTGTTATGCATTTATCTAGTCAACGATATAGTTTTCGTTGCTGAATATGGCTCGGCACTTACTGCGCACTTTCTGTGAGGAATTATGTATAAGCTTTATCATAACGACTTTCAAATTGCCTGAATTTGATAGCACGCTAACATGCTGAAATGCTATGTCAAAGCAGCTGTTCTTAAAGTTTCACCTTTATAATCAATCATACATTTTTCGATCAAATTCGCATTAGGTGATTCAAGGTGAAGGTCGACTCGAAATGTGGATATCATTTTCGACTTTTCCACTTCGGTACGCAAACAAGTTACAAGACCCATTCTAAATTGTTGTCAGACTCATGCTCGCATTATCTCGTGACAAGATAAAAATTGGACAATTTACTGGATAAATGCATATAGATATTTAGATTGTATTTGAAATTGCTTGTTTGTTCTCCGAAATAATAATCTTTCCTTCAGATGTGTGCGGACGAGGCTTTTGTGTGTGACAGTTTTGTATCCTCGGCGAGGATCGCACGTCACGGCGAAATAGAATGTGCGCGGACTCTCATGTTTACGATTAAACGGTGGTCACAAAGTGGAAATCGCTGCAAATAATACAGTCCATTCCGGGGTCTATCAATAATACGATTGTCGATTTGCAATTCTACCGCAGCTGATAAATCGACACGACGCGCAGGTACCGAAATCTAAAAAAATCGTAAATCACTTTCAGTTCTCTGGCGATCGCGCGATCGCCATTCATTAAAAATTCACTATTAAATTAAAAAAAAAAATCGTATTTACTTTGAATATATATTAACACGTTGTTTATATATTAACACAAAATGCTATTAAAATATATCAATAAATGCAAAACAAATACATGCTACGTGTACGTGATTGCTAATAAAATTCTAGGACTTCATGAATAATTTATTCAGAAAATACTGCCAACGTAAAATTATACGTTTGTTTTGTCTTATAATTTATCGATAAGAGTAAAATGTGCCAATAAAATATACAATATGCGGTCGGGACATCTCTTCGAATCATTCGTACCTCCTCTGGGCGATGAATTAAGGATGCGGAGGCACGTATGCTGGATAATTTTGCTCTTCTTGCTCGGGAAATACCTGCTGACTCCTGTCGTGCCAGCCGTGGTGCTCCGATATGACCGGAGCATGATATAATCCGTAATTAATGCCGCTGGTGGCGATCTTCTTCAGACCCTGTATGCTGGATAATATAAGGGCCATCTTGGCGAGGATCAGGGCTTTGCCACCCAGCACTGCAAGGAATTGGAAACCCATCGGTATCAGGATCGTGCCCATCAGCAACAGACCCATCATCATATACGGCATCACATGATACTTGCGACGACGACGTTTGCGAGCTAAATGTCAATTCATTCTTTAAGTTAGTTCTAAAGATACTTTGTTGAATTCGTAATAATTATTAAATTTGAGAAAATTGATTTTAAACACATTTATTAATATATTTAATGACTACGTTAATTATTAAAAAGTAAGTTAACAAGATGGAAGATTAACAAACAAGCTGAAAGCAACAAGTTGAAGATAAACATTGCCCGTTCATGATTGTCAAACGAAATGCAACTTGCGTTGTGACTCACCTTGGACAACATTGTTATTCGGATCTGACTCAGACGCGTTAGGAGTTGCGTTAAATATGTGATCGACATTAACTTTGAAAGCGTGAGTCCGCAGAACATGCGTCAATCGATTCCAGACCATCGCCGACCAGCTAGCGTCATCTTCATCTCTATCGGAAGAATTTGTTTCTGCTGAGAATCATTTTGCACATGCTTCAACCGCAAGTAGGAATTTCATTTGAAGATAAATTTACTTGACATTTACAGCACAACGATACGTTAAATTGAACGTGGCAAATTATATCGCGCATTCGCCACGAAAACCACGTTTCACCGTGAAATTCCGGGAACAACACAACCTTGCACAATTCCGGAAATGCAGAAGCACACCGGAGGCATGTAATAAGCGTACTTTTTTGTCTCTCCGTATCCTTCCGAAAATAATTGAAAGTTTTTGGTTCACAGCTGAACACGTTGGATCGCGCTGCGCATTCTCTCGAAAAATTCGATGAATTCTAATATAACAAATTACAATCTGTGCTGTAAGAAGCTTTGATAAAATTCCAGCTTTTCCGATAATATTTCCTACATTTACGTATCTTCAGTATTAAGTCTTTATCAGATAGAATTTTAATTTCCTTTTACTTTTTTCCATCTCTGTCCTACTTCTTTATCTCTTCATCTGTTTTTACAATTTACTCATGTCATCAAATTTATTTTTTATCTTTTTTTTTATTAGATAGTCGTAGATTACAGAATTCTAACTCACTTAGATTTTGTATCGTTTTCATCTTTAGGACGAACTCGAATCAGATCGACTCCATTGAACACAGGAATGACGTTTTCGTTGAGGAGGGTGTCCAAGGTATCAATGGCTCTTTGCTGAACGCAGTTCCTAAACGCCTCCAGTGAATCATCCTGACCGATACTGTTCTGGGATTCCAACGGACAATTCTTGAGCATGGATCGCAATCCGGAATACCATTTTGTTTTATCATCACAGCCAGCCCTTACGGCCGCAGTCAGTGCAAGGGCAAGGACGTGGAGAGCACGAGGGTGCATCTGCATTTAAGTACACGTGGACCTCTCAGAATTGGCGACATCAACGTGAGTTAGTGTTATGTTGCAATTAAATAAATTTCTCGTTTCTTTCTCTCTCTTTTCTTAGTGTCCTTCACTAAAAATCAACTCGCTTCCTTTAAACTGCAATTCTTTGAACAAATTTGAGCAAGTTTTTCTTTGGCAAAAATATAAAATTTGACTAAAGAATATTGTTATACTGTCTTTTTTTAAATTGGAATTTTTTCACTGATTGATATTTGATATTATTTTGATAAATGATCAACTTTAAGAATAAAATTAAATTTAGAAACAAACTTTTGGACAGACGTTTAAATTTCAATCAAGTTTATCAGATATTTAAAATTGATAATGTCTACAATATTCGCGCACGTGCTCCATTCCTGCGTCCTAATTTCTCGTTTATGCTCTATTAACAATTTCACTTCTATCACTGTTATATCTTTTACATATTTCCTTTCCACATACATACATACAGGATGCGACGGAAAACGTAATACATATTGATATGAGATGATTCTTATTGAAAAATAAATTAAAGTTTATTTTTTTTTTTCAAATTAAAGCCTTATAAAAAAAATTATTGCAAAATTTTGACTTATTTTTTAATAAGAAATTGTCCCATATTTATATCTATATAAAAAAAAATATATATATATATATTTATTTCGAAATTTTGTGTAATATATATATATAAATCGCGAAATTGTTATATTTTCAACGTGTGAAATTGAAGAAGTAATTGATTGAAAGCAAAATCGGATTTGAAAAAAACCAGGACCACTCGTTAGCTTAATGTATTCCATTCACACAAATGCGCACAGACCTTTACCTCGAAAGATCCGGCACTCCTCCGTAGACTTCTTCACCAACGGACACGTCGCGGTGCACTGCGAAAGACGGTCGTGCGGGCGGTGCATCCACATACATTTATACGTGCAGAAAATAGACTAAGGTGCCGTGCAGGCAGTCATTACGAGTCATCGAAGGGCATCAAGGTAGCGGTCAAAAGGCGGCCGGACTTTACGCTCGACCGACCGTTCTCCGCAATCACCGGCAAAAACTATGTTAGTATTTACTGCCTGCCGTCTGACAATACGAACATTACGATTTTCTTTCCGATGATGGATGGAATATCCGCCGATTTACGATAACTGTTAGTTAGTATCTTCATCGCTGCGGAAAAAATATATTTTAACATAAAAAAAGTCTTGACATGAATAAAAAGTTTTTTCAGAATATTAGAAATAAAATGGGAAATTTAAAAGTGACATCTAAATAAAAAAATTAATTGTAGTATTAAATCTCTAATTTTCAAAATCGATTAGTTCAAAAGTCTTTATCGGTGAATAGATAAAACTTTGATAAATCTTAATTTCGAAAAATTAGAATAACAGCTCAAAAACATCTTGTTTTCTTGAAACACTTAAAAGTATAGTAAAAAGTATCTATTTAAAAAGGAATTTTAGAATATTATTGTTTCTTCCATTAAAGATAAATATTTTCACTTGAAGATAAAATTATATGAGAAATTTTACGTGATGTATAAAGTAAATTCGTTGATAGAACTTAACTGAGTTGAAATTTCTCATTTAGCGTTGCATATTTTTCCGCATTCGTAATAGCATTAACTTATCAATATCACATATTTTTGTAATTTATGAATATAATATAATTAACGTTTAAATTATGAATTCGATAAGTATGCAAGACGGTAACAGCATATAATCATAGTAAAGATGAAAATTTACAGAAAATATTTATTTTTATGAAATAAAATATAATAATATTAAAAATTTACTTTTTACGAGTAAAAGCTTGATATCTAAATAGTTTCAAAAATGTTTATCACAGCTACATGGATAACATTTTTGTATTAATTAATTCACAGTGTATATTTAACTTAATCAAATTCGTTGAACGTAAGCACTTTTTTATGAATACATAAAAAAATATTCAGTCTTTATAATATACAATTTATACATCATGTCGTCAACAATTCCGTCAAAGCACACGCAACAGCCGAATGTTACGTTTTGCAGATGTAAGAGTTGTAACTACGCACCGAATAATTGTCCTCCGGCACTGCCTCACAATCGTCATGACCGTTAGGGATCGCACCCTCGCTAGATCTAGTTGCCTTAACGCGATACTTGTTTCTAGGCATGCCGGAAGTGATGCACAATTCTAGCAGGGCCCACTCCTCCGTGGAAGCTTCTTCGTTAAGAGAGCTCGCCGAACTGTGGCGCGAGGGCATCGCGCTCGACTTCATTGTATTTCTACACGTGCAATCATTGTTTTCTGCCCTAAAAATCGACGGGCCGCACTTCACCACGCGAGATCGCACAGACACACAGAGATTGTTGACAGAGGTGTTGCTATTTTCACTCTCCACATAACGAAGCGGCGATCTTCGTGCGCAACACGGTGAATTGTTTATCCTCTCGCGCGCACCATTATCACAATTTCTTAATGTCTGACCCGAGGTTTGTGCCGCACTGCTTGTCGCTCTTCCGGGAAAGCAATTAAAATTGCTCGATACATTTCTGGCATAACGCGGGTCCGCAGTGTTAATATTCACAGATTTGTACATCGACGGTGAGTGAGGCGTGGCATTTCTAGGAGCATCAGATTTGCTCACAAAGTAGGAAGGAGGCGAAGGAGCAGGAAAATTCCTTGTAGTTCTCGAGCACGGCTCGAATTTTTTAGCTGCAGACGGCACAGAACTGGTCTGTGGATGGACGAATGGCATCGTTGTAGGCATAGAATTTAGAGCCTGAAATATCATTATAAATTGTTGCAAACGTCAAAAATATCTATTCTAATTTGCAACATATTATACATATAAGTAACTTACTTTTGGCATTCCAGACCTAATGCACTGTGCTAACATAATATCTTCCTCTTCTTCAGAAAGCTCAATATTGTCTTCGAAAGGTAAAACCTTCTTCGTCACACTCTTTCTTTGCTCCACATATCTTGGTTGAAAATACGCTGACGAAGTGGAGGGCGTTCGCATATTCATCGTTTTAGAATTTTCAATTTGCGGTAATGGCGATGATCTGGTTAACGGTGATGCACTGCATTTTGCCTAAAATAAATTCTTTGTTGAAAAAATATGATTCCTTCCTAACTAATATTTTTTTTTCAAACATAATAATCTAAATATTTCTTTTATTGTTTTTAAAACTAACCTTTGGCATTGCAGATTGTATGCATTCTGTCAAGATTGCTTCATCCTCTGAATGATTTGGACTGTCGTCAGAAAATTCCTCAGAATATCTCAACGATTCGCTTGGTGGTTTAGAGTTCAGTATAGGATTCTTATTCCCGTGACTCGTGTCAACGGGTGAAGATGACGGAGTACCACATATATTAAACTTGTGCGATAATCTTTCAGATTTTTTGACGAACGAGATGCTGCTTGTTACAGGTGGGCTTATTTGCCTCGCCTGTAAGTGATGAATAGGATAGCTTTAACAACGTGACGCTTTGATTTGAATTCTGTAATTGGATTTTGAAAGAAGGGAAGAGAAACCAATTAAAAAGATTAAATACCTTAGGCATGCCCGATTGAATGCATTCATTTAATATTTTCTCATCTTCGCCCGAAAGATTGGCACTCTCATCGAATAAATCATTTCCGTGACAATCAATCTCAGCTGATTTGTCTTGCTCGATATTCTCTACATCCTCTTGTACACTCGGCATTGAGAGAGCCGACAGATTGGATAGAGATCCCATTGGAGAGATATCTGCGGGAGTATCTTCTGTACAATACACGTGCACTGTGTCTGAAGCAACATTCTCTATTGTAGCTCTATTCGTTTTTGGTGGATTGATAGACGTTTCGACAGGAGTCGCGTGTGATTCCAATCTGTTTGGAATAGAATTTCGCTGATATGATTCTAAGATACTCGACGACTCTGATTGCGTGGACTTTTGAGAATTGAGCGATTTCGAAGACTGCCTGTATCTGTAAATATATTTGCAAATATTATTTTATGTAAAATAAAAAACAAATAAGATACAATTAAGTATTAGACAATTAAAAAGTCGATTTAATAGATGATTTATGTTGATTTCTAAGCTGAAATTTTTATTATAGTTGATTTTTTACGTTAAAAAATAAAAATTTTTGATTGCTTGACAAATTCTTGTACAAAATATTACCTGTTGGTTTGCATTCCCATATTAATACAAGCAGCTAATATATCGTCATCTTCATCACCGTCGCTTACTTGTTCCTCTTTCACTTTATTCTCAAAACCGCTTATTGTCACATTACGCATATCTGCCTCGAGTTTATGAATATCTTTTTCATCTGCATCGGACGCTTTTTCCGGTCTACAATACGTTTTGGAATCGTTCGATATTTTGACTTCATCGTCAATTGTAAGGGAGCTTAGACTTGTTGCACCAGAAAATTCAATTGGTGTTGATTCTTCTTTGAAAGTGGCAAATTCATCTTCAAAAACACTATTCCTCGCAATCTGCGGTTTAGTAAAAGCTGCAACAAAAAGAGACATAAAATTTAGACAATTTTTTAAATAAATAAACGTTTACATTAGGATTATTATTGTTATTACTATCATTGCATTGATGATCAAATAGCATTGCATACATAAATGTCGGAGTGATGGTCTTACTGCTTCTTCTTGTATCTTTGATGGAAACTCAGCATTGTGGGCTTTATGATTACGTGGACTGGATAAAACTGTTTGCGTGGGTGAGTCTGGCAATTCACTGGGAGAGACTACACCGCTGGTCCTGCGACTAAAAAAAAAAATAGTATTAATTTTTACATATAAAAAAAAATATGAAATTACACTATATAAAGAAATATTTTATACTACATCTTATACAACAGTTACCTGAAATCGCTAATTACAGAACTACGATCATCATGGATGGAATGTTGTTCGAATCCACTCAAAGAGCCAAGCGAGCTACTTCTTGAAAACATTAAAGGTGTTTCTTCTACATAGTAATCTTGGCCACCAAATGTTACCATTTTTCCTAAAATATATCACATTTATAGTAACTAAATCACGAATAAATAGAATTATATATAGAAATTATTTTTTTAATCATCAAATTAATATTTAATGCAAACCTTCTTTATCCAGCACACGAGAATTATTCTTGTTTTCTGAAGAGTTGTCATTTTCTGAAGACAATTCTATTTGATTATTGCTTAATGTTAGAGCATCGTTATGATTTTCATTTTCCAATTCTTCCTTATTTGCAGAAGGTGGTGAATCTACTTTTGACATAATTCCTGTAATGTCATTCTGAGAGGTCACTGCACTGTTCAGAGAATTGAGCGAATTGGCGCGAGAGAAACCTTGCAACGTTCCCTCTTCCTCATAATAACTTACTATCTTTTCCGGTGTTACTTGTCCAGGATTAAGAACTGCTGTATCCTTCGGGTTTTCTTCCTCAAGCTCTTTCGTTATCAGATTGTCTTGTTCATCGCAGTCAATTGTCCTGGTTTCTTCGATAAAGGACACAGGACTTTTGCTGGTCATCTCAATTGTTTTCTTCGGCATCTTCTTTAGGAGATCGCTCTCTTTCATGTCTCGAAGATCTGACATAGAAGTGGCGGTGGAGAAATTGAAAGGAGTTTCGTATGGTGTACCTTCCGTACAATAAGTTTTGATGGTATCCTCTTGCTCGCTGCCAGGAAAATACTCGGTGCTCTGCTTCTCCTCTTCATCAGTATCGCCCTCGGCACCGTATCGTAAACTGTAATCCGTCGGCTGATCGAGATCGGTTTCGGCATAGTCACTGAACAGGTCCACCTTGGAGTCGCGCTCGTCGAACTCCTTTTTTGAGACGCGGCGACTCGTCTGCGACTCATCGGCCAGGCGGTTTTGCGGCGGTGCATTTCTCTCGATGTATTTCTTGCTGTAATCGACTGGTTGATCATTTATATCCTCGTCATACGCGTCTTCCGTGCCGTTCATATTCATATTAACGATTCTGAACAGGGAGATTAAGCGAGATGCATTGCCTATATAAAAAGAAAATCGAGAACTTTTGCACGAAAGTGATCACAGAATTAAACAAGGTAATTTGCATTAATTTATAACGGTAGTTTCAACAATGATATTGAGCCTCGTATGAAATTGTACACACAAAGCCTAACAACCGTTGCAGAACCAAACCGACAACATTCCAATGACACTACTTTAACAGCTATGCATACCGTACACCACGTTGCACATAGATGCAAGAATATCGTTCGTGTAGCTGATAGCTAGCGTCGCCTTACGGTGAACCAGTCGCATTAAAAATAGCATTCAACGTGCGCTAGATGGCGCCTCTTAATCTGAAGAAAAGTGTGTAAAAGAAAATTCATAAATAATGTCTAATATATATGTCTAATATATATAATGTCTAATAATGTCTAATATATATATATTTAGCATCAATGGGACATTATATATATATATGTCAAGTAAGAACCAAATTTGAATAATTTCCTGATTTTTCTTCGAACTCATAAAGATTCAAACGGACTTGTGACATAACTAATTTGTATGCGAAAAAAATTATCTAACACAAAAAATATCTATATTGATTATTTACATTAAATATTTGAGTAGTTAACTTCTTCATGCATATGCATTATGCAAATTTCTTTGAATATGAGTTTGTTCGTTTATATATGTAAGCTAAAGACATTCAAATGTGATAGAAAATGAATAGCGTCTTAGGTTTATATGTGCATCAGTTCTATTGCTTATGAATTACGTTTAAGCTTTACTTCTTAAGCTTCTAAGTTCTATGATTTGTATTATATTTTTTTATTCTTCTCTTTTGAATTATGCATATAACTAATATGAACAGATCATTAATGCAGACGACGTATCGAGTCAATGAATCGGCGGGAGACGTCGGATTGGCTCGACTTTGGATGGCGCACGATGATTGGCGACCGCACACGACACGCGTAGGGATTGGCGCGTTTATAGGTGGTTGGGACAGGCTCTATCGATTTAAATTTGGTTTGCCGGTGCGCGTGTCAATAGTGAACATAGAGCCGTCGTCGTGTGCTTTAGGAGCACGATAAACGCGCACCCCCGTGATATTTGAAGCGAGTTCAGGCCCTTCACGTGGAGAACATGTCCGATCGACGGAAGCATGGAACGAGCGCGGAAATGACAATCGCGAATGAGCCGATAAAATTTGAGAGCGTCGTGCCGAAAATCAGGTCAGTGCCGCGCGATCTGGCAATCTTCGCCCACGAGACAGATTGAGGGAGACAGATGCGTCCTATATATACATATACGTAGATACATACATATGTATATATATATATACACATAATTGTGTGCGGTGGAGTACGCCGGTATCACGCGTGCGTTTAATCGCAGCGTGGCCACACCTCTTGCTATCGTGCTGTAAAAGTGTGACTCATTGTCGGTGTCGTGGTTTCCTTGCAATGCTTGAACAATACGAGTGCAAACGCGGCCGGTCGATTATAATGTCGATCGATAACAGACTAACACCTCGTATTTCGTTTTCCGAAGCTGTACATCCACCTGTACGTCATTTGTATACAAATTTCTTTTTTTATTTCTAGCAAAAAAAAAGAAAAAAAAAATTTGCGCCATTATTAATTAAAAGACAGATAATGTTAATTAAACAATTTTAAATTTCGAAAAATTGTCGAAAAAAGGATCGGTCGATTGATCGAATTGATCACGTGACAAAATGTGCGCGAGCACACACGCACAAAGATTCGAAATATATCTCGAAACTCACGCATACTGTAGGATATGATTATATTTAGCTTTTGTCGACGGAGACGCTCACGTGTGTTTCACTCTTGGTTTTAGGCAACAGTTATTAAGATGGAACGGCTGGGGTTACAAGGATTCCGGATTCTGTGTGAATAATAAAAATATACTAGAATTTACTGGTAACAGGTGAGTGTCATTTTAATTAATATGTGGATATTAATAGCATTGCAATATCTTCCGACGTATTGTTTTTGCAAGTAAATAATGCTAAGGAACAACGTTTAGAGCTTCAAAAATAGACAAAGATAAACATATATATTTATTTAAGTGAAATCACAAGTAAACATGTGATCATAATAATAAGAATCATAAATAAAATGTATAAATTTAATTTTTATTTTTTTTATTTTATAGAATTAATAAAGAAAAATCAAAACTTTTATCGTTGTTTTGCTTAAAACTTTTTTTTACAATTATATTGCATGCATCATATAAACAATGATATATATATCGCAATAAATTTGTATTTTGCCAGATATAAGCGATATGAAAACGTGAAAACTGTTTTATTAGTTTTCTAGTTTATTCTAATTGTTTTTTTTTTACATTTTTAAAATTAATTCACATACATAATTGCACGAAACTAAATTAAATGCTTTGCTTATTTATTTATCCAATAAATTTCTTGCTTGTTTTTGACAATTTTCTGAATTATCAAGTTTAAGAGAAGTAAATAATAATAAAATTAAATAAACGGAAAATGATGTCAGTAACATTAGCAGTTAGCATGTTGATTATACATATGTATACTTGAACGTTGGAATCCTCTCGTATTGTGTAGGTTTCCCTCCACACGCCTACATAGCTAATTATGTTTGTTCAGTTATTGGTAAGAATGTCGCCGATATATGTCATGGTGTTTTGCTTATGTTGCGTGTGCATTATTCATTTGCACTTCTTCTTGAAGGGCAATTTGAAGTAAAATTTAACATCTTGTCATCGACTAATTGATTTGCTTTTAGCGTAGATCTTCGTGGAGATGTACATTTGAATATTCTTAAATAAAATCCTCAAATAAAACAAAAAAATTGACGTCATTACGCAATAAATGTGTTAATCACAATTTTTCGTTATTTTAATTACATTATATTGACTAAAATTATTACTGCCAAAAAATATGTATACTTTTACATTAATTAAAAAATAACATTTTAATATTTTAAAGGATTATATATAAAATTTCTAATATTAAACTATTGAGATCGTTATAATTAAAATAGGATTCAAATTTTTAATTCAAATTTGGATAAAAAGTTAACTTTTGATTAACAATAGATGAACGATTCGTGCACATGATTACGAACTTGAAGTCTTTGTAGACGCTTAACTTTCCAGACAACACGCATGTCTCGAAGGCATTTTATAATTGTACTAGTTTACAATCTCGACAATGACATAGATTGCGGAAAGAATTCTAGAAACTGTTATCTTTGTGTCTTTTGCATATGTTTTTCTTCGTGCAGTTAAATAATTAGTCGATATCGATAATTGGCCAATTATCAACCAAATAATTGATTTGAACAAGATTAATTCTATGAAAATTCGAAAATAATTCAGTACCCCCCAAAAAGTCATAGTGACATTACAGACTCACAATAGATTCACAGAAAAATTGTGATGTCACTGTGACATTATCAGAGAGTTACAGTGATATCATTAGTTACAGTTATCATTAGTTACGTGGTGATATCATTATAATATGACATAAAATGTTACAACAACATTGTAAAAACAGTATTGTCATTAGTCTGTTTGCTTGCGCTATGTGACGCACCATGCACTATCTACCTCATATTTAATTTATTTTTTTGTTTTTCATATCACAATGATGTCGTAGCGACATTATATTTGTGATAAAGCGGACTTCGCATGTCACCATGACTTCATTATGATGTCATTATGACATACCAATTTGAGCGTCCCAGAAATATCATTATGATATCACTGTGATTTGTTTTGCTATGGAGATAATATATATATTTCTATGAGTGATATTATCCAAAATAGAGATTATATACATATTATCGATGTAATAACATGTTATTACATAATATGTTATAGGAATGATAAGAGCTTTTTATACCTTCACATTATCAAAGTTATATAGCTTTAATTTATTGTTAGTTTGCTTAAGATGTATACATCTTGATACGAGTTGTATCTCGAGTTTGAATTGCGATGTGCGCATTGTGTATAATAAATTTAAAACTGCATTGTACTAATAACGGTATAATTTGGGCAGCAAATAAAATAGTAAAATGGAAAAATAATATTTGAAGGTGATGGTCAGCTTGAATCACTTCTACTTTTGGGACTATTATGACCTCGAAATAACATGAATCGCCGTAGGAAATATGAACACGTGAATCTTGCGCAATATAACAGCTTACTCAAAGTGATTAATTATGTAATTGATTATGAATTGGCGGCGCACATGTTTTAAACAAATTCAATGTATATTGTTCTATGTTAAAATCAGCTGTCATAAATATATATCAGTAATATAAAGCAACGATTCATTTGTTTTCATAAATTAATTTAGATATTTGACACATTTATTGGCCTGTACATGAAGAAAGATAACAAAAGATGAGTTTCTTCTACAGTCACATAAAATCATCAATATAATCGAGTGACATAAGCGAAACTGAATATATATAATAATATATATAATTAGATATTGATATCAATTCCTATTTAATTATTCTGATTCTGAATTTGTCTTTATATATTAACAAAAAAATACATATTACAATTAGAAATGTTGATTTATCATTAAGTTAAAAATAAATTCAGAATAAAGTTTAATATTTTAATGCGTACGACACAACTGTTATAATTTATAATTATGCGAATTTTATTTTACTAAGTTATTACACTGAAGAAGGCCTGATAGAAGCAGAAACATTTGTTCTTTACTATCGATCAAAAAAAGTCAAATATATGTAATAACAACTAACTCGTTTTGCCTTTTATTTTCTTGTGTCGATTTATATGTCATTGGAGCCTTTATACATAAGTATTGTTAATATTTTAACATGTATGTGTTCATATACATAATGCCATATTAAAATATTAAACTTTATTTTGAATTTATTGTCTGTACTTTTTAACTTAATGATAAATCAACATTTCTAATTGTAACATTTATTTCTCGCTAATATATAAATACAATAAATTCTGAATAATTAATCAGAAATTAATCAATATCTAATTACGCGATAAATGGCAAATAATTACGCAAGTTTTATTTCTAATGATGAAAATACGACATTGATAAAGTTTATAAACTGAAAGTTAAGATTATAAAGATTATTCAAATCAACTAAAATCAATTTTATTATATATTTATGTATGATTTTTATGTTATTAGATATCCTATTGGAAACCAGGAGCTTCCATACTTCACAAAGTGGTGTGAAAAAACTTTTGATTTATCATGGGACATGAAGATTCTGTCGCAGGATTTACCAACCGATTTACCGGAACCGATTCTTTCGGAGGAATTATTGAATGCGGTCAAAGAGTTGAAGGTCGACCACTCAACCGACGATGTCGATCGTCTCTTTCGAGCACATGGTCATACACTGCGAGAAATTTATCTTTTGAAGCGTGGCTGCTTCGAGAGAATACCGGATATCGTCTTGTGGCCAAGTGAGTTAATGTTTCGACGATCATTATCGTAAATCAACTGTAAGTTTAATCTATTATTTATTTGCTGCTCATCACTCTTGTCATTAAATATCTTTTTAATTTAAATATTTTTCAACACGTGTATATCAATATATTAACTGTTTAAACAAATTACTGGAAGAAATCAATTTAACATTGTCGAACAAGATTAGAATCATAAATTTTCTTCAGAATCAAAATTAAGTGAATTTGATAAATGTATCGACACTTGGGTATTTCGAGCATTTTTCAAGGTTTTCTCTTGAATGAACTTTCTCATAGCTAAGGTCGCTCTTCACACATTTAACACATACGTAAATATTTATATAGTATCTATGTAAATATCTCGATTAAGAAATTTTATAAAAATATTTTTATATGCAGAGTATTCCTCTGCTCCATTTTTTGTATTAATATTTTGACGAAATAAAATAAATAGAAAAATTTCTGTAAAAGGGAATCATACAATTAAATCAATTCAATTAAAAATGTAGAGAAGATTTTCAAATCTTAAAGGCAGTCTCACATAGATTCCAATGTTTTCGGCTCAGAGCAACTCTGATCCGGTTTTGTCGGACGGTAATACGAGCATTAATTAATCGAAGATGATAAGTGTGGAGGGATTACAATTATTTAACGTAGCATTTATTGTTGTGCCCGTGTCGTACCAATCAGCTGTACTTGGCGATCGCGATATCGACATAAACCGCCGAGAAAATCAATACTGATTGACGAGTAAAGACAGGCATGGCAAAATATAATTAAGAGGATGACAATAAGTCGAGAGCATTGATCTCGAATTCGAGAAAACACGGTAACGGTATGTTGTAACGGATGTTGCAAAATATATAAGTAAATTATATTCTTATTTAATGTCCTTCGAGTTAGTGTTCGATTAAACTGTGTATCATTTTCAAAATTGTTGTAATTTATTTCTCACGTACGCGAGCGAACTTCGTGATCGTGGAAAAATGTGCGCCTGAGTTGTGCAAGGACATCTGTTGTGACGATCCACGCGGATGTCATAATTTAATCTTGACAATTTGAAAAAAAAATTGCAAATAGAAGTATTTTTTACGCACAATTTTCCGGAAACTTGTGTTTATAAGTCTACAATTTGTGGAACAATGCTAAGGTTACTCCGTTATTATTACCATCTGCAATGTAATTGCCGCAGCAATTACTTGAGTGATACGAATAATACTTCAGCTTGAGTTAGAGACATGCGTGTAATGTCTCTGTAATGTACACATGTAGCAATAAATTCATTGTTCAGTGTTAGTTCTATAAAAATTATTGCGCAAGTTTTTAGATTAATTTTATCAATGCGAATCTTTAAGGCGCCTCTTTCCTAGCTACAACTAAGTTGTTATTTCAAATTTAATTAATGCAAATTGATGCGTTTCTCTGATTTAATTTTTAATACGATTTAACGACCATCTGTTTACCTTCTATTTTTACATAACTCGTGTGTAATTCACCGCTTAATTTCCTAAATACTACTTTAATTAGCTTCTATCAAACACTTTTATTATGTTACGTGTTTTTAAAAGGTTTTGTAGATATGCAAAAATTTAAAAAACTTAAGCGATCGTCAATATTATCGTTTATTCCAATGCTCGACATGTTAAACGTAAATCGTGAAACTGCTGTATGCAATAAAAATGTTTTACAGAAATAACGCACTGATAATCCAATATAAATTCTTCTGATTAGATAGTTCCGAGGACGGACACTCAATCCGGATGACGTCTGTTTTTTTATTATTTATTTTAATGTTCACGTGCGCAATTGAATTACACAATGTACATTTTACATCGCGTATTAATGAGAATGTATAGTTTACTCTTTTGTCTATTTGTGAAAACATTTATTATGCAAAGCATCCTCCATTAATATTCATACTTTCAGAATCTCATGACGACGTTGTCAAGATTGTCAATATATGCACACGCTATGGGGCCGTCTGTATACCTTTCGGTGGCGGAACCAGTGTCAGCCGCGCGGCAGGTTGTCCATCGAATGAACGGCGAACAATAATCTCGTTAGATACGTCGCAGATGAATCGGATATTATGGATAGACAGGGACAATCTGTTGGTATGCTGCGAATCGGGCATTATTGGCCAGGATCTCGAGCGATTACTTCGCCTTGAAGGATTTACGTGTGGCCACGAGCCTGACTCCTATGAATTTTCCAGGTACACGCATTTACAAATTCTCTCTGAATCTAAAAAATTATGTTTTTATATTAATGCATGATACAGTGAAATTGTGCTATGACAAAATAGAACGACTTACAGTAAATTTATAATTAATTTCTTTTATTATTTTTCTTTCACTATTTCTTTCACTAAATAATATATACTGACTCGTGGTATAAATTAACATTTAATTAATATATGATTTATGCATTACACATTTATTGGCTTGTATCACAAAGAATTGACTTAATTTATTTATGTTCTATTTTTTAAATAAGTAAATTCTCTTTCAAATTAGAATATTATTTACTTGTTTGCGTTAATATAAAAATAAATTGCATTAATCTCTAAATAATGTAAAAATAACTCTCGATACAAATTCAGTTAGAATTTAGTTGTCTTTCTTGGATTTTTACATAAAATAAGATTGCATTTCGTATAAAATTAATTTTATTTATCAAGATATATAATAATAATATGAGTGTATGTGTGTGTGGATGTGTAATAAACATTTTCAAAAGGTGAAATACAAAACACACATTTAGCCGTAGAATCGCAATAATAAAAAAAGTATTCCGGATTAACATTGCATGCAACACGTTTTTTCATTGCACGCAATGTTAATCTAGAATGATAAACGCCAATTAGTAAAATCTTGTATAAAATTTTGTGTAATGACGAAATTAGTTAAATTATAATATCATAATTATAATCATAATTATCATCGTAATTATCATCATGATTATCATCATGATTATCATCATAATTATCATCAATACGATATATTAAATAATTATTTGCGATTTTATATATATATATAAATATATATACGATTATAATTTTTTGTGTTAAACGTATTTTCTGATTACATTTATTTTAGAACGCAATATCTCTTTTAATTCAGAGTACAAATTATATAAATGTCTAATATGAAAAGCAAACACACAACATTCTCATCGTTCTCATCTAATATGTTGTAATAGAACGTGTATTCTTTTAAATTAAATATAAGTGTTTAGTAAAAAAAATTAATATTTTTAATGTACCAGGAAAGTTGTAGACTACAATCCATATTATATGATTTTGCAATACATTTACGTTCTTCTATGATAATCAAGATTAGTCAAAATATAGTAAATCTATCCTAATTGTAGAGCGTGAAATAGAATTTGTACACAAAAAAGATTTGCAATTTTATAAAATATCATACTTTAAATATAGAACACGCCATAGTCAAAATACAAAATCTATGAATGCTCTTGAAGAGTTGACTTCGTGTAGAAAGAGATATGCATATTCCATATTGCAAGTCCATATTTAACATCGTTCAAAGATTTACACAAGCTGCATATGCAAGGTAAATTGAGTCTTGAATCCAGTTCTGGATGACAATCAGTGATTTAAGTCCCCCCCCCCCAAAAAAAAAATTT